GATATTTTATATTTTATACACTTACGCATCATTTATTAATATGGGATTCACAATTCACATTAAATAATTTAACGACAGAGTGAGACAAATATCAATCGGCGAACCATGGAGTAGTGCATGCGCTAGAAAGAGAGATAGATATGATGTGGCGGAAAAAAGCAGATTTTCCGCTCATACCTCAATAAAATAAACAAATTAATTCGATTGACGCCTCCATGGCATTTTTTGTCTGCCCGAGTGTGTATGTGTGCTTGTGTACAAAAATTGTTTTTAATTTATCAATTCATCCGCAGAATCTCCAATTGGTGGCAACCATGCGATATTGTTTGTGAGCCTTTGCATAAAAATTTTATGTTCCTCGACAAATGGTGGGACTTTCCCAAATTTGGTGCTCCAGTGTGTGAGAATACATAATCCCAAGGCATAGTATATCAATTTTTTCCGAGGAATTTATCATGTATTCTTGCCGTGTTAGAACAAAAATGAATATCTGCTAAATGATTTTAAGTATTTCATCACGATGCCACATAGAAATTTTCATGGTAACATCAGGAATGAATATTGTATTAAAAAAATTATCCATATTAACAGGAATATTTCACTCTGGAATTTCATTTTAGAGCGATATTATTGATGATTATTTGAGATCTTTCTTTCTCTCCCTCTCTCTCTCTCTCTCTCTTTCAAACATGCCACACAAGTGCTCATCGTCTTTCCCCTTATCATCTGTCGGCAGTCTCTTTATTTCTTTATTTTATTAATTCTCCCATTCTCGCTTTGTGTCTTATTCTTCCACCTATACCGACACTTTTCTTACTTCACAATTCCCTTGTTCGTCTCTTTACACATTCAATACAAATGTACAATAAAATAATCATAATACTAATGTTATTTCTCTTAAATTCTTGCGTCCTGACTTTCGGTGAGAATTTGTCTCAATTATTGAACAAGATCTCATTTTTTCCACAGTCTGAAAACTCTGCCCCATGAGAAGTGTGTAAAATATTTTTTTCTCACATTAGAATAAAATATCTCTTTTTTCAATATGAATATTTTTCGCAACTCACAACCATGTCGATTGCACGGTATAAGAAACTCAGTGGGGGAAACACTCTTTCTGCGATATGAGGAATATTAATGTGGTTAAGGTGAAAAAGAAGTGAATTTTTTTATTTGTCATGACATATCGCTCGCTTCACGATAAAATGTATATTCTGCAAAATACATATACGGACATAAGTAAGGCTGAAAATTCAGTTTTTGACAAATTGTTTCTAGGATACTCACGATGATATTTCTAGTGGTATACAATTGCTGTTATTGATATTTCTTATCGATCTGAATGGCTTAAAAATATGTATGTATGTATACTTAAAAGGCACTCTAGGAGTATTATTTTATCAGAAAAGAAACTTAACAAATTGTAAACGTGGTAAACCTCACCATTGTAACGCCACGATAACCGTATACACACATTATGTAGCATTGAAAGTGTTTTATTTTCCAATGTATTTAGAGAAAAGAAAGTAGTTTACAGTTTTTGCCATAGTTTGAGGCGCGTAAGCTGGAGGAAAAATGTAAAGAAAACCGTGGTTTTGCTTTTTTGGCAAAGAACACACATTTTAGTGTGTGCGATTCATTAATGGGAAAATTGCTACTACGCGGCATAATTGTATGTATGACAACACTGTGAAAAATTAGTAAGATAGAGGCAGTGAACAAACAGGCAAAGAGTCGAGCAAAATGTTGCGATATATTTATTACCTTGACGTGCTTAGATGTGTAAATTCGTGAAATAAATTCACTTTGAGGCGCTTCAAGAGCATTCTCAATGTATTCGAAATAAAAGTTTAAAAATATTGTATCTTTTATCGCGTTTTTTCTTTTTTTCTCTCCTCACAAAAGCCCATATTTCAGTTAATGCTTTTGGGATCTATATGATGATGTTCTCTCCGCAGCATGATTTTTGCTCTCATGCAACATTCTGTGACGTGTTTGTATGAATAAAAGGGGTCATAATTAATGCTATATTCCCTCGCGCTCTCTTCTTTTCACTCTGCATTTATTAGAAGCAATCGTCACTTGGCAGTGTATTAAAATTCTTCTGTCATGGCATTACGAATGATCAATTTCCCCATATTGTTGGCTTGAACATGTTGCATTTGACCATTGTTTCATGGCTCTTTCTCCGCTTTAATTGCTCACTGTGGCGAACTGAAATGGGCGTGTATGTGTAGTGCAAGTGAGACAAAGGAGTTGGACGGCGAGGCAGAATATTGAAAGACACTGGACATCCATTTAATTTGCAGCTTTCTTTATTGCCCACTTGCGCTATACTTTTGAGAGCTTCCCAGCGCGACAAGCAAGTGTGAGAGCGTGTGTCCACAGATAAATCCCAAGTTCATCTGAACCCGAGCATCACTGCCGCAAGCGTAGTGACATATGAGTGTGTGTGCATGTGTGCCACGAATAGGGGGTATTAAGGCAAGCTGTGCATTCTTCACTTCAGAGACACCCAGTTTGGAATCTCCTTCGCTCTCATTCTTCCTCCCGTTCGCGTGAAGAGTTCAGGAGGTGTCGGGCGAGAAACGGACACGAGTGACAATAAAAGGTCTTTCGGGGGCGAAAACATACAATGAATTATGTCCTCAGCGGATTCAGAGACTCTAACCACCCACGAAGGCACCCACTCGGCAGCGAATCTGTCCCCTGCGCGGTGGCTTTCCTCCTCCCGGAAAAAAAACACCCCTCAAATGCCACAAAGTCACCAGCAACAGGAGAGAATTGTAATTCAGCGATAGACTGAATTATACGATTTTCATGCTTTATTAATTACACATTGGCACAGCTACACTGTTCACACAACTTCCCCCACACGCAGTGCCTCTCTCGCTGCTTTATCTTATCGGCAATGCCAAATAGGAGGCACGATGGGTATGTTGGGGAGATGCCTAATGTGTTACATGATATGGTGTATTTGTAAATGACGAAGAAATAGAATTAATGAATATCAATCGACAGTCTAATTCTTTGATTGATTTCCAGTCGCTTTTTTATCCGGGTGATATAATCATACGTAAGGTCCCCAATTAAAGTGACAACGTAATGGCTTAATACATACATATGTACATACATGTACAAAAATTTAATCTTTTGATGGTTAAAAGTTTGGTTATATTTTTGCTTGTGGATTTGGCTCATGATATTTTAAGGTGGTTTACGCGTAACGCTGATTCACTGTATTTTTCAAACAACATTATTGAAATTAGAAAAAGTGCCGAGGGGGGTTTGAGGCTACTTAGTTCAGAGGACAGAGAATGAGTTCATTTTTACATAAAGTTAAGGGTCTCTTTCTTTTAAATTACCCACGTGAAATTCATGAGTCTCTGCTTGGCATTCATGGATGCTTCCAGACACCAGAATCCTGGCAGTAGTTTGTCACTCTGGTTGGACCACTTCATAATGTACAAGTACAGCTTTCCTCATTTATTCTCAAATCATTCCATATATTTCTTGGTGTGCCATTTGAAAAGAGAGATGACCCTAAATAATATACGTTATAAATTGAAATATATTTTTGGTTGTGGATTTCCAGAAAAGTGTGTTTCGCTTGTTGCTTAAGATTAACTAGAAGATATTTACAACATCCGGATTGTCAGGTAAGTAGCTCCGTCAATAAGGCAACCTTGAAGGCAATGCCCGTCTACTTAAAACTATCCATAGACGAGTGGTTTTCTTCTTTAACTACCTGATTGTGACGTTTCAAAGTGGCAAAAGAGAGAGAATTGTTATGCACTTAAAAAAAAGGATTGGTCATTGCTTTGTCTCGCTTCTGGACTTTTCAGGTAAATTGAGAATTGTATTGTGAGATGACTATCAGCATTATATTACATAAAATGAATAGGTTCGATAAATTATTATTCAGTTAAAACTATAAATATGGTGGAGCATTTATCGGGGTGGTGTTGAATTTTACCCAAATATCCAATATTGTTCTGATCTGAATTAATAACTGGAATCGATGCTTGGGAAAATACTATGAATTTCCCCCTTATCAATTTCCAACCACAAACTCTCTGATGATATCCGCTGTTAGACCGTGAAGTGGCACAGTTGAGTCGAAAACGTGTGGTGAGAGTTTTTTTTTCTCTAAAGCTTTGGTCTGTGTTAGTTTTGCCTCTTATTCTCGGACGCAGAAAGAAGAGTGATTTAGTGTCTCAGTCGGGTTTCCCATAAATGGTAAAATGTCGATATTTCAGCAATTTACATTCGGGAGTGTCGCATATCATTAATTATCACTATTATGACACATTGTACCATAGATCACACTTGGCCCTATGGCAGATGCTCTCATCACCATCTCTTTGTAGTCGCGCTCAATTGGCTCTCCTCTCACTCTCTGCGTCACTAAATTGGCTACGATGGCCAAATGAGTGGCCGCGTCATAGGCATCAAACATAGAGGACATATTTTCAATCTACTTGCTACTCGCCTTTAGCACGCTCTTGGCTGCTAAGCTGACAGCTGTTGTGCTGCCGCTCGCTTCTTTAGCATATCAATCCTCCTCGGGGCGAACAGAATATTGCTCAGTGCATATCCGCATAAAAGGCGTAAGTGAAGTGGATACTACACGGAATTGCTGTCGCCGTGTGTATCATATTGTTGAAGGCGCACAATCGCTTCTGAAGTCATAAATGTGAAATAATAATTATTACCACTGACTTGTCACGCACACACAAATGCCACTGCTCATGGCCCCCACCACTCGCCGAGAGAGTGAGAGAGGGAGAGCAAGGACACCACTACACATGGGGTGGGGTGTGTGAGTGAATTGAAATTTTATTTGCCTCTCGTGCCAGATAGAGAGAATCAAGTGAAGATATCGGCATTGCTCGCGAGCATCAAGTGAGAAAGTGAGGGCCCACGAGAGCGTGAGTGTGTGCGGTGAGAGCGAGAGAGAGTTGAGCGAGTTAACGCAGTCGGATAGCAACGTAGTGTATGGGAGTCGGAGCAGCAGCTCAGCAGCATAGCGCCCAATGTCGGCTACTTGGGAGCGAGCGACATAGCAGTCTGAAGAAAGCGCTCCATCAGTGAAGACGCAAAATTGTACGACGTGGTGTGTTTCGAAAGTCGTTTCAAGCGATAGGGTACCCCCACCCCAGGCACCACATTACTCTCTTGTGTGCAGTGTAGACACACAAGTTGAAAAGCTATTAATCTGAAAACGGAGGCGAGGAGAGTTGCGAGAGAGTAAAAACTGAATAATACTCATTCGAGGGTGAAAAAACTATATCTGAGTTATTGATAATATTTTGACAAATCCGAAAAATAAGATCCGTGTGTGGAGTAGTGATATGGACAATGGACTCTAGAAGATGTGCTTTTGCTGAATCTTCGTGCTGACACTTCTCCAAGAAGTTTAACTGTTGTTTGTCAACGAGTGTTTTTTATTCCACTCTCCACACTCCATGTTCTTGATTTTTTCTTCATGTTGTAATCTAACACAACAAATTGGGCTCCACACATACGTTTAATTTTTTTAACGTAACCTACATTCTTCTGCGTAAAGTGCAAGAGACAAAAAAATATATAAAGTAGAGGAAAAAGAAAAGGCTAGCGGCAAGGCCGAACAGTACTTCTTTGAGTGTGAATTTTAAGTGATTGGTGTGACTTATTGAGCCAATTTTTCTGTCGTGGACTTCAGCAATCATCCACGGGACAGGCAGTGTAATATCAAATAAGTGAATAGAGCAATTCACCATCTGATGCTCTCTATCAGTGTGTTATTTAGACTTGAGGATTTTTAAAAATAGCAGATAGTGCATGTGAAGTCTATTGGCTGTATGGTATACCTTAAGCGAAGGAGCTATATATGCTGCGGTTGGACTATTTTTAGGATACCAAAATATACACATCACACATTTTAATGCTGCCGCTTTTCACTCTCAAGTGTGTTGTGTTTTCCCTATTATATTATATGGATTTTTTGGATACACAGCGACACATTTGATCAAATTGTGTCAATTGCGGTCACACCACAATTAACAAGTCTGCGCCAGCAAGAAGCAACAGCCAACAAAGAGATTGAGAGACTAGGACACAACAAAAGCCTCCTGATCAAAAGTGTGTTGTGCTGGCGAATTGGCACAAAAGGAGCAATTGTGAATAAAGTTGAAATTGGTGGAAGAGTGAGCGAGAAGTGAGCTATTGTCACGCACAATTTATATTCAATTACTATCGGAAATAAGTGAGCGATAAACTTTCAAGGTATCCGCATTTAATATTTACCGTGGATACTCGGCGGTGTACTTGATACAGACGTTTGGAAGGCATATATGTAGACGGAGAAAAAAAAACACAACAATAGAAACGAAACAGTGTTGAGCAAATAGTGAAAGGACTGAATACAGAGGCGCGTACTGATGAGAATTTTTGGCAAGGTGAAAAATTAGGCGGAGGAACCTAAAGGGGAGAGAGAACCAAGTGCATCGATCTCTCATACTATCAGGCTCAGGCAGTTCAACAGCTGATAGAGGTGAACACTGTTCTCTCGCTAGTTTAAATGCCCTCAGGTTTAAGTATAGCCTGAGTGGTGTGCGTGAGACCGCCAGCTAGAAAGTCCCTCGTTAACAGTCGACCATCAACACACTCGCGAATCGAGCTGTCGATGGAGCATAGAGGAGAGCAGCCGTGAAGTGTGAATGCTGCATAAAATTACGCTTCATTTTGAGCGTAAGTGAATCCGCGGCTGATTCGGATCTCAGGCAAAGGGCACCCGAAGACCTACTACCCCGACTTGAGAGGGAGTGACGGGTAGACGAATTTTGTGATACTACCCCAAGTTGAACAAGGGACGCTCCTGACATAAAAAGAGCAGAAATCCAAGGGATTTTCTCAATCATACCCTGACGAAGTGAAACATATTTTCACACATACAGGAGTAAGAGGAGGGAAAAAGTAATTTCTTATTAAATAATAAATATTGTACCACCATATACAAACGAACCGTAGAAACCCATAAACGCTTAAGAGGGAAAACCATATCTCAACAGTATATAGTTACTATATTATCACATCTACAACAATATAAATAACACTGTGAAAAAAGAGCGCGAGGAGGGCCACAACGCTAAAGCGGTAGAAGGCGAGCAAAAAATCAAATACAGAGCCAACAAGCAAGTGAAGGAGAAATCATCTGCACACATTGGCAAACATGACTCTCCCCACCACCACGCTAAATGCTTCCGATGACGATTCGGATATGTTCGGACCGCCGCGTTCATCACCTTTACGCCACAATAGGCCACGGGTGCCGATGATTTCGGCAAAATTGCGCCTGAGAGAGGAGAGGAAAAGGATATTACAATTGTGTGCACATAAACTGGAAAAGATTAAGGACTCTGAGGCAAATCTGAGACGGAGTGTCTGCATCAATAACACATATTCACGGCTAACGGATGAAGTGAGGAGGGAGAAGCAGAGCAGATATTTAGCAAATTTACCAAAGTAAGTACCGTACCGAAAGTTACATAAAACCGTTGCCTATGATGACGGTGTAGCGCCACGGCACTGCGGTAGATTATTTTCAGTGGGAAACATAGGACGAGTGGCTGTCGTTCTGTGACATCACCGATGGCACATCGAGATTTCGGGCGACTTTTCGGGTAAATCGCCCCAAAGCTCAATTGTTCAGACTGCCACGTTGATGGCCTTTCGGGAAACCAATTCACTGAGCCCTATTAAAATCCTCATAATTACATCACACTGGGGTGAGAGACGCTCAAACGAAAGCGAGCAGTGTAGGTCCTTTGAAGATGTGTGCCACGACAATTGCCAACGAGTGGCATTTCGTGAGAAACGAAAGTTTTTCGGGAACTGTAATCGGGGAGGGGAGTTTCAGAGTGCAGGCAAAATTACAATTCTCAGTTCACAAGACGCACCCCCACTCATTCTATCCGTTTGGCAAACTTTTCTGCTGAGATTCTTTTTGCTCTTGCCCACTCTATCAGTTTACCAAATCCCCTGGACTTTTGTCAGTTGCTAGGACGGGTTAGTTGAAAAGTTCTGAGGCATTTCGATATCTCAACATCGAATGATGCTTCGTATTAAATTCCTGGGTCTGTTACAGACACAATATCAGTCAATATAGAAAGTATAGAATTAGCATGGATTTTGTTGCTACACCATATACACCTACTACTTTTAAGCAACTCCACATAGCTTGAAATTATACTATGATGCGATGTGCTTCCCCTCGAGTCGCTTCGACTCAGAATTATTCAATAATTGACTGTATTGGGGGCTTCTGTTTAATGTAGTTGAGGTTTCAGGCTGAGAGAGGCATCAAAGACGACAAATGTGTTTTTATCAAATAAACCTTAAACATTACAAATGAGATACGGTTATCACAGTCAATTTATTGATTGTTGCTTCAACTAATTCGACACTTTGTCGTCACTTGGCTAACGATATGCCTCAGCAGTTGGGATGAACAAAGGCGCGAAAAATATTGTGTGACGCTCACAATACTGAGCTACTGTGATTCTATCCGAATGACTTGGCTAATTAGTTTGAAATTTCGTGATTTTCACATGCACCACATGATCAATTTGATACTGAATGTCTTATAGCTTAGTTTGCACCAAGATTATCAAGTGTGATAATCCATTTAAGTGTGGGGGTCGTTGTCTCTTTGATATTCATTCAAGATTCTTTTCCTCTCCGTCTTTATCCCTCCTCAAAAATATTCCCTCCTATTGAGTATTTTGTGCTGAAAAGACGTGCGCGGGACACGAAAGAGAATCAGAGGAGGACGGAAAAAATGTAGAACAGCCGGAGAGAAGGAAAAGAAGAAAATTTATCTAACTGGTGGTTAACACAAGTATGACGACGTTGACGTCGTACGAGTGCTCATCTCACACTCTTGGGTGAAAAAGTATACGGTGGAGAATGATGTGGATATTACATAAGTTGGGTGAGAACGTAATAAAATTGTTACATTTTATACAAAATTAATTAAACGCCAGACTTATAAATAGCTCGCGATCATCTAATTTTAGGAGCATTAGCACGTACTACATAATGCATGCAAATTCACTCCTGCGGTGCAGTATTTTCACGGAATATAAATAACTCCAATCATCATTGCTATTAAATGCATTTGACACTTGTTATAGTTTTCCCTCTCTGCTTTAGTGCAGAAGAAAGAGGCAAGACAATATAGAGAGTAAGTTGTGATATCGCGAAAATTGACACAGATGTTTCAAACCAACATAATTGCACTTAGAAAAGGTGCGTAGAAATGTCTGGTGTTACTATGATTGTGTGGTGGTGTTTTTTTTTCAAAGTCGCATTTTCAAGCTGTGAATAATTTCAACATGTACGAAAATTACTAGTTTAGTTTCCTGCTACATGTATAGCACCAAGGTCTATTTATTCTACCAACGCAGCCTTGCCTTGAGGAATTTGTGATGAGGCTAAAAGAAGGGGTGGTGCGCTGAGCACATTTTACACATACAAGTGAGGGGATGAGGCTCCTGAATGACCTCTTTTCCGCATCTCTGGGCAACACCTATATCGATAAGCGATAAATATTTGATGACTGAACGGTGGTCAGCATTTAAGATGTGCCCTCGTGCAATAATTAAGAATATCCTGTGATTTTTAGTAATTGGGACACAGTTCATAGTTCAGAAGATGAAAAAAATGAGTGTTAGACAAAATGGCTGTGTTAGAGACTCTGCAGGCAATGATGATCCTAAGAAGGGAGATTGATAGTTGAGGATTTTCTCACTGTAACATGAATGTATGTTGCAATACATGGAAATTTCTACTGTGTATTGGAATTGTGAAGAAAAGAAATGTAGTCTCGAACAATTTTCTCCCTATCTTCGTACCGACATTTCACTCCTCTTGATCACCCCGTGACTCTCTTTTATTCAACTCTGTACTTCATATTGGCAGTGGTGAGCTATAAGTTTTCTCTCCCCTTACTGCGCCCTTCATCGCATGAGTTATAGTGTACAAATTTATTATTCAGCGAACAATCTCAAGTGGCAGTTTTCAACTCTGTGTAGAAATGTATATATCACACATTTCGTAATCGATAATTACTCATCTTGCATGCAAATAGAACATGCATATCTCTCCAGAGTTGAAAGCACACATCAAATTTTGTTGGAGTTGGAGAATATGTTTTGAAATCGACTTCCATCTCTCATCTCTTTGACAATACCCGCGCGTCTCGGCATGAGCATGTAGTTTGGGCGGACAGAGTGTGGGTGCCTTGGACCCTGCATAGCATCGCTTCGTTGATTAGAAATGGAGTCTCGCCGAGCAAAATAGGAAACGTGAAATTAATAAAGCAAATTGCTTCATTGCACTACTTCTGGTTCAATTTTTCCCGTTGATCTCTTTCTTTTTGTCGCCATCGCTCAATATGTCGAAGGGAAAAATTATGACACATCGTTCATAATACGCATATAATAGCAAATTCCATACGATGGAATAAAGTGGCACTGTTGGAACTGAAAGTGGATCTCGCTAGTTTCTACATAAAATATGACACTTTGCATATGCATGATATATCTTTAAGAAGAAAACTCGCTGAGACTCGTAATTTTTTTTCTAATTGATAAGCACTTTTGATATGCCTCACTTCAGTCGAGTATGACATTTTTTATCATGAATAGTAATGCTTTATTGATTAAATAATAATGAAACAATTTTGGGAAAAATAGCAGGCGACAGTTCTCACTTGATGTTATATATCGTGAAGATTAATTGAGTGTTCTAGTATTTTGTCGACAGTGTCATATGGTGCGAGTATAGTAGTAAATTTGAGAGTTAATTTCATTTTACTATCTGGGAGAAAAATATGACAGTGAGCGAGTTTATGACGGGGAGACGGTGGTAAAAGTTGGGTCCCAAAGCGCAACATTGGATTCGGTCACTCCACTTTCTTGTCACCTCACAAAAGTCGCCTTGTAATATCATCCATGTGTCGTTTCAATTCTCCTTCCAAGCATAATGAATACAAATTTTGTGACACTTCACCGCGACGGTTGTTTACTTTTATGATGTCGCGAGGCAGAGAGCATATAGTGGCATATTGATTCACAAACTGCGCACATTTTTCGTTAAATAATTTCTGGAATAAACAAAAATATTTGTCTACGCGGATTGGGACAATAGTGGACAGTTCAAGTTTGTGTTGTAGTTAAAGTGAAAGACCAACAGCATGCCACTGATACCACTTTAGCTTTAATTTACTGATTTTCTATGCGTAGAAGATTTTTTTCGCCGCTCCACGGGACTAAAGAGTGTAAGTCAGAAGTTAAGCGGTGGCGAAAAGAAAACTCACACACTGATTTGAATGTGTTTGATGATTTCTATACTGTGTCGTCCTATTTGGAAATTGTAGCGGTGTTATATCAATAAATATCCGACTATATATACATACATCATATATATATATATAATATTGCACTCATTGTCTATATGGTTAGTATGGCAAAAAATGTGCTATGAAAATTCACTCTATCTAATACCATCTTATTATTGAGAGCGCGATAGGGGGGAGGGAAGGAAGAGAGATAGTGAATAGAAAGTGGTGGTAGGGGAGAAAAAATTGAAATTGAGGCAAAAACACGAGAAAAAACATAAACAAAGCGCGCAAAAAAGAATATGTCTTTCGTCATATCAGCTGTGTTCCACTGTAAAGTTAGTGGATTTACCCGTGCAGAAGCATGTATGTGTGCGGAAAATCGCCGAGAAATCGACGGTGGAGTGTGAGTGGCACAACACCTACGTGGGAAGTGAGCGTTAGGTGTATTCTGGGGAGGACAGAGAGAACGCGAAGTAAAAAGGTTGTACATAATACTTTCGTCTCTTGGCGAACTATAAAACATCTCACCATGGACTCTGTAGTCAGTGAACCAGCCACTCAATAGCGGTTCCCAATACACCGCGGAGAGCTATAGGCACCCATGAGATTTTAAATGGGGTATCTGCACTACATTGAAAAGACACACCGCGCAAATCCCACTTCTGATAGTGGAACCAATCAGGTACACTCACACCTTGCACCTTACTGAGACGCACGCTTGTGGTCGGACAAGGTGAAATGGGGAGACGTGAGAAATTGAGATGGAATCAACAATAAAATGCTATGCCTTAGATCAGATTAATATACAACATAAGCTGTTAACTACCGATACCTCCATTTCAGTATGAATATCGGACTTTTTCTATCGGGAAAGCCCCTTCTCCGTCATTTGTAATTTATCTACCCGCCCCATTGATACGCGCATAGAAAGAGACTCCGTGAAGTGGAGGATGTAACATCCCAACTGGAAGTCACGCAAAATATAGTTGAATTAACAAATTTCACCGTTAGTGTTTATTATTCACTTGAGTCTTTTTTTTCTTTCATTCTCCCTTCTCGCTTAAATTTCACACACATGAACATAAAGTGGAAAAAATGAACAGTAATATTTATGGAATAATGATAAATGTATACATAAAAATTTGCTGCACAATCTCGAGTATAAAACGGTCAGAGGAATGAATTTCTTGGCGGGAGCATAATTAAAGAGAATTTCTCCAATGTTCCTCTTCAGCTTTGCATCCCAACGAGGGATTTGTGTGAATTCTCACGATGAAAATGGAGATTGGAAAATGACTTTATTGACTTATTTCTCAGGGAAACTTACGCAAATTAAGTGTAGAGATTCCTTTGAAAGTCTAGCTTACTTCCAAGAGGATTGAACCAGAAATTTCGTAGGAAAACTTAAATTTTCTCAATAGTCCTCTTGCAAGTAGAAGCAAATATCAATATCACTGAAATTAAATCCATCTGCATCCCACGAAATGTTACACGAAGCACTACGTCGAGAGAGCGAGCCTCTATTTGCGGCACTTCTATTGGCAATCCCACTTGTGAACTGTGCACCAAATTGGGCGCTAATTTATGTGCGTGCTAATTCAAATTCAATTAAAGGTATTTCTCGCGATGCATCAAACAAATCCACCAGATAAATATAGACTGAAGAGCAAAAAAGTGCGCATTAAGAGACCTAATGGAAAAATCAATAAGATGATTTTGCAATGTAGGCAAACAATCGCGAGATGCAGTGTGTCAGTATTTTCCAATCTTCTCTTCTCCGTTTTAGTATCGACAAAGAAAAAGAGCAAGTCTGGAAGGTTGGCATGAAAATAGAGCTCAAGGTGATGAAGAACCTCATGCCAGTGATTTATTTCGCCAAGGAAATTTCTCGATTGAGTCTCTGTTGCTAATTTACCCAGAGACTGCGGTGATTTTCTGCACTTCTCAATCTCTGCCGATTGTTCGGGGAAGTGGAAGAAAAAAAACTGATCAATTATATTGTTTATGGAAAATTCAGTGTTTCATTTCACTACGAAGTGAAGGAATACTCATGATGAAAATAAATCACTTTGTTATCCTCTTTGCTAATCGCTTCTTCTCTGACTGCCTCACACTTTTCAAGACTTTCCTTAGGAAATTGTGGACATAAAAATGATATTAACCTCTACAATATTGGTTGACTGCGTGTTAGCAATTGATTAGGTGACCTCATTCCTACATAATGTAACGTACATACATACATAAATACATATGTGTTGCTCATATACAGTGTGTGGGAAAGGCGAGGCGAGAGGAATGTGAATTTGTTGAAGTACAACGACGTCACGTCTGTCTTTTTCTGCCATCCAATATTACATTTTCTCCCTGATTTAAGCTCATGCAATAACTTGGCAATTAAACAACTGATAAGACTTCAGCTGAAACACACATATTTACATTGAAAATTTCAATGGAATTTTCGGGATTGGAGCACACTAGCAAAAAGCAACAAGGAAGGCTTGCTTTTGCTCTTGTGTGCGATCGGGGAATGGCAAGCGCTCATACGCAAATTACATTGTGAATAGATTAATATTAGCAACGTAATTGGAATGTGATTCTATGGCGCTAACTTTTTTCCCTGCCACTGACGACACTATAGTTGTTTTTCTTTCCAATTCTCTGGCACTGAGAAGATACTGTAATTTTATTTTGTGATGTGTGCTAAAGTGATGACGTATGCTTTACAGTGAAAAACACACTTCTTGCTCAATAAGACACGGGGTTTACACCACAGCGGGAGATTTAAGGTGTTTTTATAGCGAAAAGCAATGAATTCATGGTAAATTTGTCGGTGAAATATGAAAGAAATATACTTAAGAATTTATCTGATTGATAAACTTTTCTTAGAAATCTCAACTATTACGTTTAACACTAAATACATTCACTATCGAGCAATATATTAGCGTTGCAAACAAATTCTATTGTATTTGAACTACGTAGATACAAGTCAGAATTACGTTCTTATACGCTGTTCTGCATTATTTTTCTTCATTTCTTAACTTGACACCTAATACACTAATTGAATTTTGTAAGGATGCTATAAACTGTCATCATAGGCTTTGATCAATCGTTATAATTGTAGTTGAAGATTGGAATCTTATCTACTTTTTCCATCTTTCAGATCTGAGACGTCCAAGATGGACAGTGTTTCACAAATCAGCAGCTCATCAGGCAACAATTGTGATGTTCCCGCCACAACAGTGAAGCCCAAGCGTGTATCCTCTGCGACGGACGCGGATCTTGAGACGCTGGATCGTGAAATCAACGCCTTAGACGCAGCGATGCCACTCGTGGACCCTGAAATTACGCAGGGCGCTGAGCAGCTGGAGAAGGCATTGGTGTCACGAAAGAGGACGCGTATGGAAGAGGACAATGACCGGCTGGTGCGTGAAGCTTTGTCTCAATTCTACCTACCTAGCCCGCGTCTTCTGTCTGGCATCGATGACTGTCCGCTGGTGGCGGAGAAACGGCCCAAGACGGACATTGAGTTGGACCAGAATCAGCGCGAGTTTGAGGTGATTATGGAGACTCTGCGACTGGGTGACTCCTGTGGCCAGGCCGCCATGATGAGTGACAACGGTGTATTCCACAACCTGGTCGTGGCGTCGCTGGAGACGTGAAACAGGCCCCCTTACGGTGATTTTCAGTATATTAACTAACAATCACCGCTTTGGCATGATGTCCAAAAGAGGTTTGCGATGTAAATTCTTTCCAAAATTCACCCACAATTCGAGAAAAAAAAAATTACAAATGCGCCTTAACAGATTGGGATCGGGAGGGTGGAATACGATCCATTACGATTAGCATTGCCAATTCAGCAATCCAACAGCGAAATGTTACCGTGCAATCTCAATGCGTCGCCAATACTTTTGCTACTTTATCCCTTCCTCGGCATCCACTGGTGTATTTCATTTCTTCTTCCAACTCTACTCAATTGTGCATTGTTGCAAAACATTCACTCCAACCATTTCGAGAAACACTCACATTATAAGGCGTATATTTCACTTTTTATACATACTGCCTTTTTTGTCTTTGACAACGTCCAAACTCTCCAAAATTGTACACCTCTTCGGCCCGATTTTCAACACGCAAGAGTTGAAGAGATTTACAGGTGAAAAATTGTCGACGTGCCATAGTGAAAAGTTGGTCTTAATAACTCGCCATGACACAGAAAAATATGTCACAAAACTCCTCAATGAAATATTAGCAATTAATGTTGGTGCGAAAGTCAATTTTTCCCGCCGAAAAAAGCTCAAGGTGCACTATCAAAAAATTATATTGCACTTTGATAACAATCGAATGCCACACTGTGCCCTATTTATGGGCCACAAACTAAATGGAGTGTTGAATAAGAGTGGTTGGAGGAACACCCTCCAGAGTGGGAAGAATGAATAACGCCAAGAGAAGCCCGAGAATATTACTGTACGAAAACACAACACATTATTGAGCTGTGATATTATTTAATAAGGAATTATATAAAGTTGTGTAAAACGTAATGTGACTGGATAAATTACTGCTAACCGGAAGAATAGACGAATTTCTATCCACTTTTTGTTACTTTTTCGGCATAATTGTTATGCTGAACGTTATGCAAATGACATTGACAGATAATTAGTGTCAAAAGTGGTCACTCGGCTGAACTCGTGACTGCTCGGCATCAGTGAAAATGTCATAATTCAAATGAAAACGCTACATTGAAACGCCGTTGAAATCTGTTTATGCTCAGTGCATAAGCTCTAAAATACCATAATTTGAGATAGCTTAATTAAATTGAAGCAGAAGACGTTCTATTGACAGAATTGCCCTGTAAATTTATGACATATTCCAAATTTGAGAGCGAAAATGAAGGAAAGAAAGATGCAAAAATGCACAGCGGACAGTGAAACAGTTTATTAGCAACTGAAAACTAATTGCAGTCTATATACACAGCAAAATCCACACAATATTATTTATTAGGTGCAATGATGGTAGGAATAAAAAAAGAGAGTACATAAATCAGAGAAATCAAGGCGGGTTAGTTTATTAGCACAAGAGAGGGCATGGAAGAAGCGAAAAAACGGAACAGACTACCAAAAGACACTTCGTGGCTGTGAAAAAGAGAAAAGAGAGACACAGCGAAGAAGAGGATGATAAAACTTTCACGCATCAATTCTTCGAGTGTGTTGTGGTCTGCGTGTATTGGTAGAATTGTAACAAGAGTTGACACCTGTTGCCCTGCTCATATCTAATTAAAATACTAACTAATTAGAATCCCCGAAAAGAGTCCATCGAGGGGGGAAATGCAAATGGACAACGTGAACAATATCCAACCGCTTTTGCAATTCAATTGACGTCCTCAATGCGACATCGCGCGCGCCAAAAATCCCGCGCTTTTCCCTTGAAACCTCTTCCGCCCCTCTTGCCAACAAAATGAAAGAGAAAAGCATAAACATTTTGCTAGCGGGGAGACGAAAAATCATTCGTACGTATTGTTGAATTCTCCCTCCTCTCATGGAAATTTTTCACGCGTAAAATCAATGTGAAAATCGTTGATGAAGCAAACAGAGCCGCGGTTAGGAATTGGCACGAATGAGAGAAAGAAGCCACTGAGGAATGACAGAAATAATGGAGCGGACTGCATAATGTTTTTTTTTAATGTAGGAGCTTTTGAGTTTACTTTTCCGTTCATCATGATCTTTTTTTGGGGTACAACATGAGTAAATAAAAATAGAAAATGCATTTGAAAATATACTTCTATTTTAAATAATAAAAGGGTCAGTATTTACTTTATTAGGAAATAATTTAAAAAAAAAAATGGTATTGTGCATCGAAAATGAAGTTAGTTAATTTAAAATGCATGACAAACAATTTTACAATTCTTCTTTTTTTCAAACAATATCTCAAATCACGATTTCTGTCTCTGCTGCCCTTAGATTCCGTGCAACACTGTAGAAAAAGTCTATTTTTCCGCTCTTCTGCGAATTTTTTTTTGGAAAATTGTTCATTGATTGTGTCGCATTTTTTCATAATTCCAGAAAATATATACATATGTATGTATGTTCTGATATTTTACCGATGATAATGTAAACCACTCTCCCGTATCTCATCCCTTTGGCGCATTCTCTTCAATGTTCTGAGTAAAAATAAAATAGGAATTATTTCATGTGAGGCACGTGCTGTAAAATTCACACACGAGTCATATTTAGTGCGAAGTGGGAAAAAGCATTCTGAGCACTGTGAGCAAGTTTATTACTTTGTCTTTTTAAAGGCGACACCATGATGAGGTGAATTTTAGGCAAGTGTAAAGCAAAGCAAAATGTGTAAATAGATAAATCTCGCAAATTGTATTTAGGACCAAATAAAGAACGTAAATTATTTATGCCAGAATAACTAACGTAACAAAATCTAAGATTATTGTTAAATAAGAAACACATGAAACATGATGAAAAACTCCAAAAGTGCTTGAATTAGTGATTAATTTGATGGTAAAGTGAGAGAGTGAAAGTGAGAAAAATCACTAACATTTTGTGGGCCACAGAAATTTTGTTGAGACTTCTCACACTGAAAACATTTACAAAAAAAAATAATAAGATTTCCATGTATATTTTCTTATGTTCAGGAATTAATCAGAAAGATCTCACATTGATATCAAATTTCTGGTGTTTTTTGATGATTTATTTTGTAATATTGTGTAAAGAAAACCTATGACAAAAATTGTTATAAAATGGCACACAAAATTTCAAAGATTAGAAATCTTGTAGCGAAAAAAAAACATGAAAAACAAGTCAGTTCCAAAAAGTAGAATGCCAATAAATATGATTAATTATCAATTAATAATAAATAAATGTGTTTATTCTTATAAATAGATGTGAAAAGTAGGAAAAATGCGCGAGGATATGAGAAAAGTCCTCTTGAGCGTTTTAAATGATGAGAGAAAAAACTTAAAGATTTATTATACAATTAATTATAAATTATTATAAATTAAAATATACATGAGAAAAAATGATAGAAGAAACACTATAAATAGAAATATTAATTAATTTAGTCAATTAAGGGCATCTTGTACGTTATTTGACTTTTTATTTCCAATTTTTTATGTATATTTTTCCGTTTCACAGTTTTATTTGTTACAATAAATTCATGTATAGCGTAGAGAAATGACCAAAATATAAATTGAAATTTTTGTTTAGACTCCTTTTTTTTAGTTTTTTTTTGTATTTGTATCTAAACTTGTGGTTACCGACGTTTTTTATACTACAAAAATATAATTACTTTTTAGAAAAGAATAATAAAATAATAACCCGAATAGGTTTTATAATATTTTTGCATTTTTGTTTTCCGCTATTTTTTATTTGACACTATATTTTTTTTGTCAGTACTTTTCTGTTCAGCTCTGTCTTTAGCTCCTCGACCCATGAAAAATATAGAGAGAAAAAATATGCACTGAAGGGCATCGAGGGGGGCAAAGAAGGTGGAGAAAATGTGAAAATTTTCAGCAAAGAAGATGAGATGATGATGAACAAGCGACAGTATTTAGATGAGAAATATAACTGTAGCCAGAGAAGTAAATGATAATTGACACTATAAAGCTACTATTGATGAAATACATATACTACACATAAAATATATGTATGTATTATATGGATAAATTCAATATTAAACTCAATGGGTATCATTTAATGTTGTGTAGTAGAGTTCCATCTCCCACAATAAATGTACCTGGAAAAAATGAAAACAAACTGATTTTTTTTTGTATTTCCGATGCCACGTCGCATTCCCCGAGAAGCCCTTTCCCCTCCTCAACTCACACGTAATACCTGGTGAGTGAAAGTAATTGTCTCTCTCACCATCATATATTATTCAATTCACATCATTTCCATTTTCCGCGCCTCTTCTCTCACTCTGATGGGAATCCAGCGCCCGTTGCTCGAAAAGATGCAAATCTCACACGCATTACCACGCACTCACGGATGGTCACAGAAGAAGCAAAAGATGCCCGCAAAAGTCATTCTTCGCTGAAATTTGAAAGATTTTCATAGCTAACGAGAGACCAACAGCGGTCAAACTGTGTTCAGAGCTTTTGATTGATAACAACTTTCTGTCCCAAAAAGCTCTTATACAGTGTGTCTATGATATATCCAAGACACATTAACTTCCACAAATCCTGTTTTACCGACGACAAGTACTAAAATTCGGTTAGTATAGACACAAACCGCATTACAGTACTTTCGAATATATCGAATCACGTTAATTACCGATAAATTCAGCATTTTCGTGTATTATTGCACCTAAAGTGCTTCGTATTTGAGGTATTTGACATTTTTTGCCATACGACACGTGTGTATTGAGCTACCACAAATCGTTGATGCCGTTCAAAGTGGTCGAAAGAGGTGAATTTTTTGGATGTGTACTTTCGAAATACCCGTCGTCTTCGACGTGCGCTGTCGGCAACGTGGGCCAATCGGAGCTCTCCAGCTGCCTCTCAAAATTCTCCTACGAGGACCACGTCAGTCAAATTTTCACGCAGTTTAGCTGCTGTTCCGAGACTTTTTCGACTACAAATAACCAGTAAGGACGATCTTCACAAGCTAAAGTACTTTTCTACACACCTCTAGTTTAGATTGTGAGTGAATTGTAAGCAGAACACGAGAATTTACCTTGATTGGGGAATGTTTTCAAATAACCTCACATTAGAGTGTCTGCTAACTTTCCCTATTTCTTTCTATTTTCCCAGAGGAAAAATGCAGAAATTGCATGGGAAATTATGTGCAATTGCCTGCATTGTGCTGGGTATCCTGGCTGCCAATGGGGTGAGTGGAGCCGCCGTGATGTCAGTGGATTTCGGGTGTGAGTGGATGAAGGTGAGTTTCAGGAAGTGTATTTACATAGGTTGTGAGTGTTTGACTTATTGTCGCTCATCTGCAGGTGGCTGTGGTTTCGCCGGGAGTGCCAATGGAGATTGCTCTAAACAAGGAATCCAAGAGGAAAACAGCCTCAATGGTGGCCTTTCGAGATGGCATCCGGATCTTTGGTGAAGATGCCCAGAACATCGGAGTGCGCTTCCCACAGAACAGCTACGGCTATTTCCTGGATCTCCTGGGGAAGAGCATTGATAATCCCGTGGTGGAGCTGTACAGAAAACGCTTTCCCTACTATAAAATTGAGGCGGATCCCAAGAGGAATACCGTGGTATTTCGAGTGGGAGATGACGTATTCAGCGTGGAGGAACTCGTGGCACAACTGCTGCAGAAGGCGAAGGAATTTGCCGAATCCACAGCTGAACAGAAGATCACAGAGTGTGTCATCGTGACTCCCGGATACTTTGGTCAGGCTGAGAGGGCGGCTCTTATAGCGGCTGCAAGTCTGGCTAATTTGAAAGTTCTGCAGCTGATGAACGACTACACGGCCGTAGGATTGAACTACGGTGTTTTCCGAAAGAATCAGATCAACGAAACGGCTCAGTATTATGTGTTCTACGATATGGGAGCCTACAAGACCTCAGCGGCGGTAGTGAGTTTCCAATTGGTGAAAGACAAGACCACAAGGGAGACGAATCCAGTGATCTCTGTTCTGGGTGTTGGCTACGATCGCACATTGGGCGGACTGGAGATGCAATTAAGGCTGCGCGATCACCTCGCCAGGGAGTTCAATAAGATGAAAAAGACCAAAACGGATGTTTTCACAAATCCTCGTGCCTTGGCAAAACTGTTCAAGGAAGCGGGACGCGTGAAAAATGTCCTGAGTGCCAATGCAAACCATTATGCGCAGATTGAGGCCCTCCTTGATGACCAAGATTTCAAAGTGCAAGTGACAAGAGAACAATTCGAGGGACTCTGTACGGATCTGTTTGAACGTGTTCCACACGTTATCAACCGCGCTCTTACGGCTTCAGGGCTCTCCATGGATGTGGTGACTCAGGTGATTCTCTTTGGTGGCGGAACTCGTGTGCCTAAGGTGCAGGAGATCCTTAAGAATACTATAAAGCAAGATCTGGGCAAGAACCTCAACTCTGACGAGGCCGCCGCAATGGGGGCGGTATACCGGGCAGCGGACTTGGCCACTGGATTCCGTGTACAGAAGTTCTTGACGAAAGACGCCGTGGTGCTGCCCATTCAGGTGGTGTTTGAGCGCGAAGGTGACAGTGGAAGCATGAAGCAAGTTAAGAGAACTCTCTTCGGCCCGATGAATCCTTATCCACAGAAGAAAGTCATCACATTCAATAAGCACACGTCAGACTTCACATTTGACGTCAACTACTCGGAGTTGGATCATCTGGATAAGGGAGAAATCCCCTTTTTGGGTTCCTTGAACTTGTCACGCGTGGCACTCAGTCAAGTTGGTGAGACTCTGAAGGAGCATCTGGTGGAAAATGTGGAATCCAAGGGAATAAAAGCCCACTTCGCTATGGATGACTCAGGAATCTTTGCCTTGTCCGGAGTGGAGTTAGTGTATGAGAAGTCAGTGACGGAGGCAGCTGAGGAGGATGATGAGAGTCCTCTGTCCAAGCTGGGTAGCACCATCAGTAAACTGTTCTCCAGTGAAAAGAGCGAAAAGGAGGAGACCCAGAAAGAAGACTCTGATAAGGAGGAGACCACTTCTGAAACCCAATCAGAGGAATCGAAGCCTGTCAATGAGACCCAGGAAATTCCCGCGACCAGTGAGAGTGCGCAGGAAAAGACGGAGCCCAAGGATGAAGAAGCTCAAGCACAAAATAAGACTGAGAAACCAAGAATTGTGACTGTAAAGCAGGCAATTCCCTCAGATGTTACCTATCTCTTCACTCAGCCACTTACCGAGGACCTTTATCAGGAGTCCAAGAAGAAGATTGACGCGCTGGACGAATTGGAAAGACAGAGAACTCGCCGGGAGACCGCTTTAAATGCCCTTGAGAGTTTTGTCATCGAGGCCAATCAACGCATGGATCAGAACGAATACTCCAGTTGTGCATTGCCGGAGGAGATTGAGAAGATCCAGAAGTCCTGTGCTGAAACATCTGACTGGTTGTACGAGGATGGCAGTGATGCCGATGCCAAGACGTATGAAGAGAAATTGAAGGAGTTGAAGAAGCTGACAAATGACGTTTACGCCAGACATTGGGAGCACACAGAGCGTCCGGAGGCGCTTAAGGCACTCAAGGGTATGCTGGATGGTGCTGAGAAGTTCCTCAAGAGTGCCAGGAACCTCACGAAGGATGCCAATGCGGAGAAAGATGTCTTTACAGCTGTGGAGATTGAAACGTTGGAGAAGGCAATTCGAGAGACTGCGGAGTGGCGTCAGGCGGAGGAGCAGGAGCAGAAGAAGCTTGCGCGGAATGACGCTATTCGGCTCACGGTGAAGTCCATTGCGGATAAGATGGCCCTCCTGGACAGAGAGGTGAAGTATCTCGTGAATAAGCTCAAAATCTGGAAGCCAAAGCTCAAGGAGAAGAAGGCAAAGAGTAACGAGACGGAGAAAAAGGAGAGTGAGGAGGAGGAAGTGATTGCTGAGGAGGAACAGACGGGCAAGGATGAGGATGGACCGCAAATTGAGGAGCCTGAAGTGCCCGTGGATGATGGGGAGAAGTCTGAGCCTCCGCATGGCGAGCTGTAAGTTCGCGACTGTCCACGGAGAAGTTCCAGCACAATTTCTTAGTTCTTGTGATCAGGGCTCGTTTTACCAACCGTTTCCCCGGACCTTTTGCGGTGCGTGACTACATTCTTTGATTTGTACATTGACCAGGAGGATGCTGAAGATCGATTTTTTGAATCCCCCACACGTTAGAATCCATTCCGTCACTACCAACAACTTTTTTTTCGCATAGGGAGAGAGTGTCTACAGCGGGATGCACCCGTGACGTGGGAGGCCAATAGAGGGCGATTTATTTATTGCAAAAAAGAAAAATGGATAAATTAATTTGTAAATGAGACTAAAGAGAAAGAGAAAAAAAAACTTCATGCGATTGATATTCCCGAGTTATATTCCATTCTTAAAAACTCTCTACAGCTGTACAAATTGTGTGGAATTGGAGGAGAAAACTGGAGGTTAAGATACATGGGCGCCCCTTCTATTGGGGACTCAAGTAGTAGTTTGCCTGCGGAGCCGCGTGGGCCTCCTTGATGGCATAATAGATGTTCTTCCGCGTGTCCGTGACCACCTCACGCACCATCGATGTGAAGAAGGCAGCGTGTTTGGGCTTCTCGGCATATCTTTCGTACTGATCCAGTGAATCTTGCAGCTTCAGTGTTAGATCGTAGTTCTTGCGCACCACCTCAAGAATCTGATCTTCACTGGGTGTGGAGATGTTCTGTGAGTCGAGCCACTCTTTGATCTTGATCTGAAAATGTTTGATAATCGCCAAGATGTTCACCAAGGACTGCAGAAGCTTCAGCACATCGTCCTTGTACTCGCAATCAGGTATTGTGGTGTATCTCAGTACTGAAAATAAGAGTCTTTTATCGTTCTAAATATCACATTAAGGTGCATATGTTTAAGTAAATTTTGGTTATTATCTTGAACAAATATAATTTTTCCTTATGATAAGACTTCATTTCAAGTTTTCTTATCTCTCAAGAAAGCTTAGCTTCTTCAAACCTATTCATCATCATTCCTGGATTTACTATAAATACAATTTACAAGAATTCAGAACATTAAATATTTAATCTAAAATGAAAGTTTTCCAAACTCACCCATTGCATGAATTTCACTGAAGACTTTCTCTTCGCGATTGAGCTCATAGTAAAGCTCATCGTAGCTATTTGTGGTGGCGAGGAAGGTGTCACCGTATGTGATGAAGAGATTGAAGATGTTGACAATCTGGATGGCCAGATGGAAGATGTTGCACTTCTTCACCAGATTCTGCTCCTGTCCAACGAGAAACTTCAGCAGTCCAATCAGTGCTGACCACAATTCCTTCCACGGATACACAAGTCTCACGCGACAGCGCTTCTGGTAACACAAAATGCGATGGATAATGCCAACACACACCAGGTACAGCTCCATGGGAAACTTCTTCATGAGATGCGACACAATGAACTCCACCAGTAGGTCCAGCAGTGTGGCCGCCAGTGGCTGTGACTTTGATACACGTTCCCCAGGTAGTTTTCGGTGTCTCATCTGTGCTCGATGGATGAGGACTTTGAACGTGAGATTGACGTCGTGCATCATTGAGTTGGCGTACTGATCTTCGGCGATGCACGTGAGAATGAGGAAGCAGAGCTTCAGATTGATCGTGGAGGACTCATTCTTGTGGTCTTGCATCACAATGGAGCAGTACTGAAAGACCGCCACGAGGAGATTCGTGGGGAACTGCGTGACATCGATAATAGGCGCCGTGGCGAGATCGGGCACCGGCTGACTAGCGTTGAGGGTGTTGCTGGGCGACGGTGGTGCCGACGACTCCGCCTGACTGTGCGCCAGTGTTGGGATGAAGTTCCGATTGAGGTGCACGGCCTCGTACAGTGCCAGCAGGAGGGCGTTATTCGCTCGGATCTGTTGCACTTTATCACAGCCTTCGTCCGACACGAACATGTTGCCCACAATGTTGGACAGTGACGAGAACCACGACGATGACTGAGCCTCCGCGAGATTCTGCGTATACTGCCGGCAAAACTCGATGAGGGAGGAGGAAATCACTTGTCCATATCCATTCAGTGCCAATTCGTCAGCCAATATGGAAAGCTGCACGATGTAAGGATTCGGGGCCTCGTATTTTCTGTAGTTCACAAGGAGCGTCAGCAGAATGACGATGTCATGCCCGTGGAGGGCTCGCAGTGGTGGATCACTGAGGATGCGCACGAAAGACTCGAAGATGCTGTTGATCATAATGTACTCCAACAGTACATTTTGGCTCACATTGTCTGTGCCCGTGACCAGGACAAGCAGCAGCTTCAGGCACATGTCACGTGGGCAGTCTTCGGTATCACTGACCAGGAACTCGTTGCAGTGATGGACGAGCTTCTTCATCTTCTCCTCCGCCTCAGAGAAGCCCACCATCGTGTTGATGATGTCGAAGCCGGACTCAGTTCCCGAGGAGGACTTTTTGAAGATCGCATAGATCAGAGCGCAGAGGGTCTGCAGGGAGTTATACACTCTCTTGGGATGATCTGCAAGAGAAGTCAAAGTGAATTCCCAGACAGATGGAAACTATCCAGAGCATGTACCTGAACTGAGGATGTCTATGCATCTCGTGAAGAGTTCATTGATGTTTCCTCTAATCGCCATTAGTTGTTCATTTGTTTGCTTCAGCAATTCCGCCTCCAGGCTCTCTACATTCGGCTGCAGCAGAAAGAATTCATTCCAGAACTCTGGATTGCTGTTGCTGTTTGCCGGATCTTCACCCCGAAATATTAACTCATAGATGTACACCACTTTCTCCTTGGGGCGCTTCGATCCAGATCCGCTTCGCTTCCTGGATGTCATTTCTACGGCTACACAGCTCAAGGACCACTATTTTTCGGCACAAGTGGGTAAAAAACGCAAAATAAAAATCAAGAAATAAAGGTTAGATTTCACTCTCTGGGAGTAAATCAATTTTTCAGGACAAGCCAATTAAGTAGACGACGGATAATCACACGAGAAAATTCACTGAATCTCCACGTACTTATTTATAAGCGCATTTTTATAATTAGACCGTCGCAAAACAAAATAGACAGGAATTTTGGATATTTTTGTTGTGACGACGCTGAAGTTCGAAAAGTTGGGTGACATGTCAATTTCGAATTGGACGACTTTCTCTTTTTTCGACGAGCTTTCATTCAAGGGGCTGCGCAATGCGAAAATTTTGCACCCTTAGAAATGTTAGATGAAATTCTGATTTTTCAAAGGATTTTTCCAAAATTTTCAGCCGTCGCTTTGTCCGATGCAAGTGAAAATCAAGTATTGTATCATTAAATTTATTATTTTCCTTCAATTTCTCTGAAAAGTCAAGACCTTACTAGTTTCTGGAGCACTTCCGTTGCTTCTAAGGGCGGGACAATTGTTCAAAGTTCCTCAGAGATTTGTCGTGAAGCACATGATCAACCTCAGTGATGTTGAGAGCCAACCCATCATGCTCTGAACACTTAATCCCAGTGTATGTATTCCACTGTCCTCTGTAAGCAAACTCACAGAAGAATGTCCCATTTACGGCGATCCTGAAGCCACGTTCACCAAAGCCAAATGCGATCTTGAAGGTGCGATTGAACTGGAATGGAAATCCTCCGCCTCGTTCTTCGTCATTTGGATTGAATCTGTAGAATAAAATGAGCAATTGATTTAAATTATATGTCTTATATGTACATTAATTCCCAGATTTCGAGACACTCACTCCATTCGGCTGTTGACTGTGTGATTTCTCGCCACTTCTCTTTGAGAGAAGCGTACATTAAAGTGGAGTGCTTGCTTCTCCGTGTGTCCGACCAGGAAGCGGATCGCGAAGTGTCCCTGTTGATTTCCCAGGGCGGTCCCAGTCACGACGACCACATGACCCGCTTTGTAGGTCACGGGTAAGTCATTGGAGAAGGTAAACCAGGAAGATCGCGTCTGTACGGGTGGATAAGGTGAAGGATATGCCTTCCGATGGTCCACCTGTCGGATGTACTCCACATCCTGCAACACTTGTAGCACTGAAATCCTATTCAAACCCGTGCGGAACATAAATTCCGTGAAGGGTTGATCATTCAGCGCAATATGGAAGCGATCCACACCCACGAGAATGTACACCTGGAACTCCTGTCCGGCGATCAGGGGATTCCTCACATTATTGAATCCCGGCGTCTTGTCCTCCAGCCCAAAAGAGGGGCCTGTCTTGCTGTTCCTCACCACCGCATTTTCGCGAAATCGCACGGAGAGATGCAGCGGAACCTCAGCATGGCGCTTGTCGGCGGCCAAATTCACATCCAGTCGCTCGGCAGTGCGTGTCGTCTTGCCAAATATCAGAAAAATCTGCCCAAACTCCACAGGACACGCCAACTGGCCAGAGAATGATGTCGTCATGTTTCTGTTGGGACTAGCGCTGGATCCACTGCCCATTCGCGATGAGTAAAAGTGTGACTAAATTGGTGACTCTCCTTACTGCCATAACTTTTTTCCCAATTTGCTATTTATACTCCTCTAATCCACTTTATCAATCTTACCATATTACAGCTTATCTTTATAACTTTTGCACATTGGTGAAATTTTCGAGAAAATGATATGGAGTTTCAGTAAAGCGATAACGATTAACTTTACGTGTTACATTTTCTGATCAAAAATCATCGTTTATAAAAATAAACTTGAGAAAGGCTTCATACGTTGGATTCATCATCTCGTAGATATTCTTGAGTATCCTCTGCTTGATTACAATGAATAAAAATGAAAGCAGACGCATATTTATTGCTATTTCACCATGAAAACTAAGCTTCCTGATCATCTATTTCTGAATTAAAATCAAGAAAAAATAATTACAGAATTTTGTCGTCATTAATTATTAATGTGTTCACAGATGATATACCAGTCATCTTTCGAAGGACAGATACTTTTTCACTAGCATGAAATGATGGAATTTATTGCACGGACAGTAGTAATGAAAATTCAGTGAGTTGTGGAATGAAATGATTTTCAAAAAGTGTTAAAACCGCTAAATTTCATTAATAAATAATAGATTTTTTTTTCGCCAGATTCAATAGAGCAAATTCAATGGATAATATAGCGTTTTACCATTGTATAGTTGTGATATCTTCATTTTCATGATATCACTGATAAGTGCAGTGTAAACAAAAACACTAATTTTCAATTCCACACCATCATATGAATGTAGCAAAACATTCAGCGAGAAAGACAACAATTCTGGGAGTTTCTAAACACTAAGCGCATCTCGCTTTCCATTGCTCATTCGCAATTCAGACGCAAAAACGCTATTCTAGTCACCTAATTGCTTCTAAATGCGGAAAATACAGTTTTTTTTCGGTGGGAAATTGAGTCAAAATCCATGTTCGCGAAATGTAAATATTGGAGGTAAATAAATTTCGCTTTCTTGCTCACGAGAACGCGTGAGCAAGAAAAAAAATCGGTGTTGTATTGTTTGGACAGTAATTTGGTGAGTCAAGCAATCATCAAAATTGTGAACAAAAAGTGTTTTGTACACACTCGTGTGAGGACTCTCTTGGACACATTTTAATATATTTCACCTCTAAAACTATCACTTGTGTATTCACCTTTGTTTGTCTGTGGGCGCGAATTACTCTCAAGTGATTCAATTTGCACGCGACAATGGGTAAACTCGCGGGGATTGACAGTAAATAAAAAGGCAATCCATACAGCGAGCTTAGCCCATTGTAAATCCCAAGCGACAGCAGTGAGGATCGACCATGAAGTACCTGTGGTGTTTCGCTCTAGGTATGCGTGAAAGGCAATTTTCTGTGATCTCATCTTCCCAGGCTCATCATTATTGTTTTTTCGTCGCATGATTTGCAAAAGATTGTGACGTGAGAGTTGTGGAGGCTGAGAAATTGCGCGGGATTTTTCACATTCTTCCTCTTCCGTTTTATAGTGGCTCTGTTTGCGGCCGTGACCGTTGCCGCTCCAGCTCAGAAGACGAACTTCAATGAGTGCCTGAAGGCTTGCGGCTACCACTACTCGCCGATCTGCGCTGGACCCAAGGAGGGCGCCGAGAAGCCCCAGACGTTCGGCAACATGTGCGCCCTGGAGACCTACAATTGCGAGCATAAGTCGGAGTGGGAGGTGAAATCTCAAGGAGAGTGTCCTGGTGGCGGCGCCATCCGGCTGCAGTGATACTAGCAATTCCCGCAGATCCATCCAAAATTTTCCAGCCTACTCTCTCAACTCTCCTCCAGATCGAATTGGAAATCGATAAACCGTCTCTCTGACTCACGACAGCGATCCGTAGATAAGGTAACTCAATGTTTCCGTGGCGTCGCCAAACTTATTGGATTTATAGCGAACACCCCCCTAGTCAGTATCGTTGGAATGTTTGCAAGACACTGACCGAGGGCAGGCCGGAAATAATTAAAGATTGGCGAACATACAATTGCACGAGTTCGATAGCGTAGTGTCTGTCACTATCATGTGTTGTACATCTCGTTTTTTGATTTGCGTGATGAATAAAGAGCGTCCACCACAAAACGTGTACCAAAGGTTCTGTTTACTTGCTGAATGTTTACTTTCGTACCAGGAATTTGGCTATCTTGCGCCAATAGCATTAGATCACGTCGATCGTGTTAAGATTTTGATGGAGTTGTCGCCACTCTGTGTTGCCAATACAAGCTGTGAAAGCTTGTGAGTGTTGAGATTCTAAGGGTGCTGATATGGAAGAAAATTAGCAAAGAAAGTTTGAAATAAATTCTTTATCGTGATAATAAATTTCGATGCAGATTACAGCTACTATCAGTGTTTCATTGAATCCACTTATAATTCAAACAGAAAAGTATTTGTTAAATTCTGGAGAAACCCACAATATATGCACTCCCGTAAGTATATGTGAGATCATATGGATATAAAAAAGAAAATTCTCATTTGATTGCAGTAGTTGTGAGTTTTGTGGCAAATATTTTGCCCAAAAATCGATGGTTTCAAGAGGAAAAAGTAGGGCCCTCTGTTTTAATGAGATTCCTTATCAGGAGTGAGTTGACGCGGCAAAATAGGCAAAAAACATGTTGAAGTGATAAGAGTTGAATGGAGAATTTCAGACAATCTCGCACGGTTTCTCCTATAAAAGTGACCGCGCCACCACGAAATTTATTCATTCCGGATTTATTCTTCGATCACTAAGAATTGTCAGAACAAAAATCTTTGCCAAGATGCGCACCTTGCTGATCTGCCTTTTGGGTAAGTTTCCACATTTTATCTATCGTTTTCTAGGAATTTTAACCCTACTCCCACCTTCCTGCAGGACTCTTCCTGGTCTTTGCTGTCTGCGAAGCTGTCTGTCCTAAGATCTGTCCGGCGATCTACCTCCCGATCTGCGCTGATACAGGATCTGGCCAGCAGACTTTCGGCAGCCGATGCGAGATGGACTCCTTCAATTGCGATCGTCCTGCTCCAGCAACCTATCTTTATGACGGAGAGTGCCACTAAATATCCTGAGATTTCACACTGTGTCAAATGATAATTTTATCAATAAAACGAGAAGCTGCTACAGAAATGAGATGTTTGCTATATCATCAAACCTGATTACTTAAGAGCTTTTTTTTTGCTCAACAACAGTGCAAACTCTTTTTTTCCTCTCGATGGTTCTGTAATGAAGAAATCCCCTCAGTCAAATGAGGCCACGTAAGTCTTGAACTCTAATATCGAACAACTGATTATTCAGCGTTGGCTTGATAAATGCGAGTAGACAAGAGTTTGAGCATCGCAGTTCTCTATCAACTTTCCTACAATGAAGACCTTTTTGTTGTGCCTCTTTGTTGTATGCTCTCTCGTGGCCATGGCCTGGGCTGAGTGCTCCCATGCCTGTCCCTTCATCTACGATCCCGTTTGTGGTGGGCCACCAGAAGGAGCCCGCGGAATTCAGCTGTTCGACAATGAGTGTGCCCTTAATGTTTACAACTGCGAGAATCAAGCGAGTGAGTTTATTTGCGCAGTGGGAGCCGAAGTATTCCTATCTAAAAAACTGTGTGATATTTTCAGATTGGGTCAGGTACAGTGACGGTTGCTGATTTTCCGGAAAAAGCATTGCAATGAAAGTTTTTGTTCAAGAGCTTGTATGAAGAGTTGAGTGCAATAAAACATTTGTGCAATAATTTGAAAATATATTTACTCTGACAGTCTCAACTAAATCTAATGAAAGTAACCTCTAAGAGCTATATCATCTCACTAGTCGTTCTTCTTCTCCTGCTTGACCTTGTAGTCAGCAAGGGCCGCCTTGATGGCATCCTCAGCCAGCACTATAAACGACATCACGAGTTACTGACTCAATTTCTTTGTCCAACATCAAACTGAAACACTTACTTGAGCAGTGGAGCTTCACTGGTGGGAGAGAGAGTTCTTTAGCAATATCAGTGTTCTTCAGCTTCCCAGCTTCGTCGATTGACTTCCCCTTCACCCACTCCGTGGCCAGAGAGCTGGAGGCAATAGCAGATCCGCAACCGAAGGTCTTGAATTTTGCATCAACAATTTTTCCATTCTCATCAACCTGCAAGGAAAGTTCCCAGTGATAAGCTCAGCGATAAAGTTAAAGTGTCAAAATATGGTAATTTATGGGACTTTATCACATTATGTTGGCAACTGTAGAGAGCTGCGCTAAGTCTGTCATGGTACTGTACCTTGATCTGCAATTTCATGACATCGCCACAAGCCGGAGCACCGACAAGACCAGTTCCTACGTTCTTCTCATTCTTATCCATGGATCCAACGTTGCGAGGGTTCTCGTAGTGATCAATAACCTAGGATGGATGAAGAGATGTTGTGAAATTCTGGGGTCAAGGATAAACAAGGCGGAGTGCGGAAAAGCCTCACTTTCCTATTGGATTTCTCTTATATTTTCCTACTTACATTTGCATGGTACAATGCAGTCGGAACGCTACGGGTTTTGGTGACCTGAAGGAGGCGGGTTGCACGAGAGAGAGACATTTTTCACAAGTTAATTTTCACGAGCAAAATTTCAACAAAAATCACCGTGGAAATTGCGATGGAAGAATATGTTGTGTCAAAACAACTTCCCCTCCTTTTCGAACTTTCGACGAGTCGTCGACCAGCTGTGAAACAACACGTCAGACAGTATGACGAAATTATCAGATATAATCGTAGTGTTTTGCTAAAGTCCACATTTTCACGAAATTAGAGCAATGAAGAGTGGTTTTCTTGTGATTTACTGTACCTACCTCCTCGTGGGAGTCACATTTTCCACAGAGGACAATGATACATTTGTTCCCACGCGTGAATGGCAGAGAGTGAAAGAGGGTAAATTTCCACGGTTTTATCTATGATATGAGGTGATTTAGTTGATTTGCAAAATCCATTTCAGGTCAAAAGGTGCCTGCTGGCCTACATTATCGCATAAATCTCGAGACCGGCGAGAAGGAGGCCAAGATTCTTGAGCAAGGTGAGGAGACTGAAAACCCGAAGAGCTCGCTTACAGTCATTGAGGATGAAGTGGCTAATGAGAATGACTCTGGTCGGCCAACACACGAGGAAGCACTCAAGAACATTCCTGGCGAGAACTTTGAATACACTCCTGAGCAAATGAAAGAGATAAAGTCGAAATTCCGTACGTATGAAGATATCAAACACGAATTGAAAGATCACCTGAATTTGGATGTGAAGACTGACGCTGAAATAATTTCATCATTCATGAAGAAATATGATGGACTTAAGAAAAACACAGTGAATCCTGAGGTAATCAAAATCCTTGACGAACTGGAGTATCTGGTGCATCAAATTGACAATGCCAATAACTTTGTGGATCAGAATGGCATTGAGAAGATCATCATTCCCAATATTGTCAATCAAACTAACTCAATCATCCGGACAAAAGCTCTCCTGCTTCTGGGAGCTGTGATGCACAACAATCCCAAAGCTCAAATATCAGCGTTTGAAAGGAACATAATAGAATACCTCACGAGACTCTTGGCCACGTCAAAGTTGGGCGATGAGTTGAGTGCTGGAACTTTTGCCATTGGTAGCCTTATCAGGAAATTCCCTCTTGCTCAAAAGGAGTCCCTCACAAAGCGAGGACTTTCTGTGTTGCTAGACATCTGGACAAAGCATATCGAGCTAAAGGTAAAGCTGAAAGTTCTCATCTTGATCGCTGATTTAGTCCGGGAGAGTCACGATGTGGCGTCTCAGCAAAATGAGCCTGACGAGAAGGACGAGGAGAAATTCCGTCAATATCAGAGAGTGGGCATAGAGAAGCTCCTCGATGAATATGAGTTCTGTCCAAGATTCGAACAGCTAATGACTTCGTCCAAGGCAGATCTGTCAAAGTGCACAGAGTCCATGGAAAAGGTGATTCACAGTATGCAGCTGACTAAGGATATGTGCTTCGAAAGTTGGTCACAGAGTGGTGATCTTAGGCACGTTATCCTTGTGCTGAAGAATCAGGTGACATGGCTCCTGAGTGCGGAGAAGGATCCTGAGAAGTTTGAGTTCCTCATTGAACTTGAGGATGGATTCCACCGATTACATCAGGAACTCTATGTTAGAGAGGATTATGAAGAAAGTGATACGAAAAGGAAAGATGAATTATAGCGCGTGAATTTTTTCAAGACTTTCAATAAATAATTTATTTCTTTATACATTTATTCGCGATTGTGATTTTAAAATAGGTACAGTTGGAAGTTTGTTGTTTGCTGATTGAAAAAATCCTTTTGATTTTGCTTAAAACGAGACTAAAAAAGTAAATCAGGAAAGTATCCAAAGTGTAAATTAAGGGTAATATGAAAACTGCAAATATTCCATATAGTTTCACCTTTTTTGAAATCACTTTTATCTTTCCTCAAAAGAGAGGTGAATCTCGGTAAAAAAAAGACTGACGTGACTGTGAATAACAAATACAGATCCTTGATATTTCGAGAGCAATTTCACGAATAAGAGGATTAAGATCTCAAAAAATGTTAATTTGTAAAGTCTCAGTGAATTTTATGGTTGTCATCTTGAAGTGTTGATGGTTTTTTATTCACTGTGTCAGAGAGAAAGATCTTTATCGCGTTAAAGTGTGAATTACCCAATCGCTCTGGTGCAGAGTTTTGGCAAACTCGGGATATCGGATTTTTGCTAACGAGAGGACATTTTGTGGCGCAGGAAGGAAACGAGCGAAAATCAGGAGGGTGAATGGAAGTCGATACAAATGAGGGGGTGAAATGTCTCGTTGTGTGATGGTCTCAATGGCTCCTTGCAACAATAGAGGCAAATTTTGCCGTATATACGGAGTTTTTTGGTCGATAGCATGATTCTGGGGATTTTCGTCTTCTCCTTTTTTTGCCACTCCGCAAACCTTATTATTTGTACATTTTGCGAAGGAGATGTGCATCAAAATTTATTCAGAAGCCCTGCCACGGAGGACATGAGCTCTTTGTATGAGCCACCGAATGACGCAAGCAAGTTTTTTTTTGTGTACGATGAGAAGAGGGTGTATTTACGTGGTGGTTGGCTCTGAAGCTTTTATAGAAAATTACTACACGGTCCTTGAAATGACAGTTTAAGGAAAAAGTGATGAAGTCGCTGGATTTCCTCCATGCCTCATCAATCTTCCAGCCCTCCCGGACACTTTTTTTCTCGTCGTCTGTGTCTCATGGCGTTTGCCAGTTGAGGCAAAAAGAGGAGAAGAAATCGACACTATAAAATCAGAGGATGAACGAAAATATTCATTAAGGGGGATGTTGAACAAACGTTTCATTGAATGATCTCTTCTTTATTTGTCCGTTTTGAACGTGTCCTTTTTTGCCGACGCAGGACGCGTGCAACTCTCGTGGTCAAAGAAATTCTCTCTGATTATAAAATTAGGGATGCGATGGCACAATAAAAAGGGAACTTCCTCGTGCTGTGATTGCCAACAAAGGTGTGTCATCTGGGTTTTTTTTCCCTCATTTCTTCTTCTAAAACTCAAATTCAGCTGGACGCCGTGGCAAAAGATGCCATTTTCTCATAGGGAGACTCCTTGAGGAGTCGGACCAGGGCAGGAAGATGAAAGCCCGAATAATTGAAGGGGGAAAGCGATTGAATGGTATATTGTGATTTCTTCTGGAGACACATCTTTTTCTGCGTTGTGGATGGTCACCTAAGCTGACCCTAAATTCCCCTCGAGGGCACAGTTAGGGGTCTATGTCACGATTTAATATAAAAAATGACCCATGGTGTACTTTTTGCAGCATTTTGCAAGACTCTCTCCACTTTTAGCGTCTTGTTTCATCTTTGCCTGAGCAATTCGGCCTCATGGCCAATCTTCCCTGCCACATAAAGAGTCATAAATTAAGGGAGGTTTCTTATATTTTAACTTTTGACCAGAGAATCTTCGGCCTGACCATAAATGACCATGAAGATTGGCCGGTGTGAAAAAAGGTCTAAAGAAGCAATGCATCCTTTCCCAAAATTTCCATAATCCCATGTTGTAAACAGAAAAGTAACGGGTATAGTCTGAGAAAAGACTAATAAACAGAGAGAGTTTGACCTCTATGTGAGGGAAAAAATTGTAACGGTTAGAGTTATATTTTCAGTCTAATAAAAAAGGATTGTCATTTCTTTGTGGCGGCAACTTTTCGGTGTAGATTCTTCTTAGAATTGTTAGCAGAACAGCTATGTTCTTTATTAGCGCAAAAAATTGGGTTTATTATTATGTTGAAGTGTAAAAACCCTTTTATTCCGTAAAGAGGTAAATTTTGGAAAAAAATACAGAGAAAAATGGAAGATTCCAGAAAATAAACTAAATTCCTTTGCGAATGAAGACTACAGACAATTGGCAATGAAATCCATATTACATATTAAGTACGTAATTACTGGCAAGTTATGAGTTATAAGCTTCTTATCTATATCTAACGAAAGTGTCGAGACGAAAATAGTTTATTTCACCTTAAATGCGACAAAAAACAATTTAAGAAAAATTGCCTCTAAATTTCAATCACTAAGAATGGAATTTTGACTTTATCCTTATGAGAATTTCATATTTAATCCATATTGAGGTTCCAAGTAAGTTCTGGAACCAATGATATGATTTCCAAAAAGAAAGAAAAAAAAACTCGCGCCAATGGAAAAAGAGTAATAAGATCCTCCCATAAATTAATTTGTAAAACATCCAAGGGGAAAACCCTTGCCTAAAAGCACTTTAACACCATTTTGTTGAACAAGATCGAGGGCTGATTTTTTCATGTTTTCAGCTCTGAATCTGAAAAAAAGTGTGAGATAGTGAAAAAATTCCCCTTCAACCAATAAAAAAGTCATTTCTCCATCACCCTAATCACTTCGCCCTCCAATAAACATGAGAGACGCGGCGCAAGGCAAGCGAGCACTGCGTAATTCAATCATCAATTTCTCACACAAATCAACGGAAAAGTAAAAAAATCACCCCTCTTTAACAGTGAAGGCAAAAAAATTGGTATAGGGAAGAAAATCCCAAAAATCGGGAATAAAAAATTAACCCTACTTGACCTGCTGACTTGTTGCTGAATCACATGTTGAGTGTGTTTTATTGAGGAGTTTGTTTTGATGATTTTTAGATTGTCGAAAGATCAGGGTGAAAAAATGACGCAACCCCTGATAAATTTCTCTCTTAGGGTATTTTTTTTTTATCATACATTTTTTGCCATTCCTTCCCTATTCCACACAAAGTTAAATGCGGTTCCTGAAATCCATGCAATGCCACTAGAATGAAGTAGAGGAAATTGCGAACAAGAGGTGGATTATGGCAAATGGGCGGCTAATCGGGAGAGACTCAATTCAAGGAAGATCTCGGTTTCTTTTTTTTCATATTTTGAAGGTTTTGCCTTCCTTCTCTTCCGACGAAGAGAAAACGATGAGGCTGAAAAAAGTGGCAGAAGGATATCAAATTTAAGAGAGCGCAAGGTCTCTCTTTTTATACTTCTCTCGCTTCTCCCTGTAAATCGACAGATTTTCTGGAGCGCAGAGACAAGGCAGCAAAAGTAACACAAAGTCCGTGGTTTTGGGCTCCTTTTGTACATGCTTTACTCGATTTTTTTCAATGTTGCCTCCACCCTCTGCATATTCATTTTTTGTCACATTGATCTCCTTTTTGCTCTGTCAGGAGGCTGAACAGGTGATAAAAAAAGCAACTGCTACTGAAGAATGTTGGGATGCAGACCAAAATGTGATACTCAATTTCTTCAATGAAATGAAAAATGAAACTGATTTGCAGAGATTATTAGAGAAGTATCGATGAATTTCGAAGCTATATTTTCCGGTGTTTGTTTTCGATTTTAGGGGAAATTCAAATATTTAGTGGGTGGTGATGTTGTACTTTACCTATACCTATTTCTGTGTCGTAAGTGTGAAAGAATTATTGAAAATGTTTAACCCACATTTTGACAGTTTATTTTTAGAAAATACTATAGACACATCGATGTCTGGAGGCTGAATAATAATTGCTTAGGGAAACGCTCGAAGGACTTTACATCGATACTTTTTCACTCCTCAAATTTATATGAATGCTTAAATGAAGAAATGTCATTTTTAGTAAAATTCTTTTACATTTTTTCAGATACATATGAATGATAAAAAGAAATTTTTAATATGGGAATGGTAAGTGAAATATGCATTTTATGCTATGCCTTTCAAATCTGTTGTACATTCTTGGTCGAATTAGAAATATGGAGTTAGTTTCGCAATTGAAGGGGCAATAATGGTATTATTACAGTTCAATTCATCTTCTTTGGAATTGAAGAGGAATTAGATGAGGAGGTTAAGTCCCATTGAATGAATAATAGAAATACTGTGTAATCTAGAGAAGAGATTGGAGGGTTAACGCAAGAATATCGCTGTAGAATTCTGTCGAATGTCACCATATTTTTCTATGGCCGAAAGAGCGAAGACCGCATGAACTTGTGTATTGATTGGAAAATGTTCACTTTGGGCACTTTTTGAGGGTTCGTTGGTTATATGAAAAAGGGAGAGCATGCTGGCAAAAAAAAGCTGCTGAAGAGTCGAAAGTGACCGGTGGTCGGGTATTTTGGTTTGTGCGAGATTGGATTGGAGGATCTGTGTGGCATGCGCTAAGGGATGATTGTGCATCTATATAATGTCAGGATCTGTAGTGTGTGCGCTGAGACCATTCAAACATCTGTCCGGGGACTCAGCGACCAAAAGTGCCCCTCTGATGCCTTGCAAAAAAATCAACCGTATAAATATATGGTTGGATAAAATTTCTACATTTGCTGGGCCGTTGGAGGGTCCGAGCAAGGGACCGAGAGGGAGGGAAACGAGTGAAGAACAGTTGCTGTTTTTATTACAAACGATATTTATATGCCTATATGTGTTTTTTTTCGGTCCTCAGCAGCAGCCTTCGGCATGATGGTGACACATAAAATAATTCCATAAGGTTTATTGACAAAATCGTGTGTGGGGGTTGTTCTTTGATGATTTCTATATACACAGTATTTAATGTGCGAGATATACAAGGGGTGGATATGGGATGAAAGAAAGTCCATCAAAAAAATCATATTTTCTGGAAGGGTATTGATTTGCGAGTGGCAACATAGTCGTAATGGAACGAGAAAGAGATGCTGATGTTACACATTTATTCACTTTTCTCTATCCTTTTTATCTGACTCTCTCTCTATACATTGTGTCTGCGACGAAAAACTGGGTGAGTGGCAGTTTTCCTCCCTTCAATCACCTACGTATTATGTTTCGGAGAAGACACGATTAATGATAAAACGATCGTGATCAACTTTCATGCATGATCATCAAGTGGTTGGCTGACAAGCATAAAAAGATGAAATTTATGGCAGACATTCTGTTGGATACACGCAAAATCCACCCCCTTGTGAATAAGAAAATTGAGATGATCGATTATTTTTAGCAAATGGTCTACATTCGCGTTGAAACAGATGCCGCAAACGAAGTTATGGAATATGAAAAAGGAATTCAAAGAAAAAAATATCACATTTATAATATCATTCCTGACATTTTTTGGCCATTTTCCGTCTTCCTGGAGGCACTAATTAGACAAAAAAATCAATCTTCGTGCACAGAGTCGCATCTTCAAAGATCGAGAATTGGGAAAAATAAGGCGTTTTATTTCCACTACATAATATTGTGTTACAAATCTACCATTGAGTTATATGTGAAATTGGTTATTTCTTTTTGTCGTCAAGTTTGATTTCTGACCCTCGTTGAGAGGGGGAAAATTTTAAGGATGTGTAAAATATCCACGTGTCTCATTTTTCTCGTCGATGCCATTTCTTTAATAATGCCAGACTGAGTAAGAAATGAAGAAATTGGGGGAATAGGGAAATACTCTCAGGGCTAAATAAACTTACATATATTGTGGGTTTGAAGATAGGGCACAAAAAGACCCTCATTTTGAGAAATATGGGAAGAACACCCCAAGAATTTAGTTTCAGCACGTGTCAGACGGAGTGACAGAGGACAAAAAATATGGCAAGAAATCACAGTTGAATTTCATGAATTTCTTGGTAAAATGCGGAAAATTCCGTTTCCAAAGACAGGCTAGGGCACTGAGGGAAGTGTGATGCAAATGAATGATAGCCGACGAGACGCATTTCTCGGCATTACATAATTTTATTTTGGAAAAAAGGAAACACTCTGTACATTGAAATTTACAAATGAAATCTTTCCTACGCTGTAATGGTTTAATTTAGTTTCATGTCACAATTTAATTAAATTGTTATTGTGATTACATTAGAAATAAATTTTCTATATAAAATTTATTACTCAAATATGTGTCATAATAGCGAAAACATGACAAGGAATAAGAAACTTCCCAAAGAAGAAGTTCGTTGTGTATTAAATATAATTCTTTCTCTCTTTATTTTGATTACAATGCTTTAGAAACTACACAATTCTTTTGGGAACATTATGCAATAGTTTAAACATCTACAGTCTTCAATATATTACTTCCATATCTTTTCCTAAAGATTCTTTTTGTTAAATGTTTTACAAAAATATCCTCTTGTATTGGCAATTTATTGCACAACTGAGTTTTTTTCTTCTAAAAATTTTTATGGAAATTTCTGAAATTCCTGACTTGAATTTGGTTTAAATATATGTTTCTCTTATGCTTAACTAATTTATTTTTGGGGGATAAAATGACGGAAATGTTGTTATGTCTAAAATGAATTAATTGTCTCTCTTTCAGAGATCAAAAAATTCGACTTTGTCTTTTAAATTCTCTATCTAAATTTTTTGATCCTGAAAATTTAGACAATTGATTTTTTTTTCAAATGTATATCTTACAATTACAATCCTTTTCTATAATATCTTTAGTGATTATTTTAGCTTTGTTTAGTCACACATAAATACTATTCTACAAAAATAAGTAATCTTACGAAAGACTCCACCTTTCATTTGCTCTCGAAATGTGTATGTGTGTGAAAAACACACCCCTAATCTCATTGCGATTCCATAAAACACTGAGGGGAGAACGAATATCGTTTTTGATGTTTTATGAATCGGATTATTGTCGACTTTTTTTTTATAAATGTGGCATACTTTGAAGGGCTGTAGTATTTATAACGCTCTCTGGCAAGTCCCCTAAAACCACTGTAAAGTACGCGGGAATCGTATTGGAAGTGTGATTTAGTTAGGGGGTTTTGATGCACCTCCCACTTTTCTGAGTGAAACAGTGCCCGGAGATTAGGAATGAGGATTTCTTGCGATATGGAGGAAGAAAGCCACGCGATCATCACACTTTTCCCCGCACATATTGCATTGGAAGACGTCATTGTAGCCGTGATATCCCATGTGAATTGTATAGAGGACAGCATCCTTGAAGGTGATATCACAAAATTTACATTCGTACACTTGGGATACCGTTCGGCCACTCACGTCTTCAGCTGGAGACTGTGGTGGCTTTATTTCTACATCTTTGTGGTCTTTTTGGTCTTCAACATGGTCCTCAGTGTCCACGTTTATTTCTGGCTCCTCGGCTGCTGTGACTTTGGATAAATCTAATCTCACTGCACGACCCTTTCGCTTATTTTTCCCGGAATGGGAAGAAGTGGAGCTGGCCGGTGATGAATAAGATTTTTTGTCTTCTTCCATGTAGGATTCGCGGTCGGTACTAGTCGCCCGGTAGGATTGTTGAGTGAGATCCAGAGCGGCTGATGCCAGACCGTTGAGCTCAGGTTTGATGTCCTCCGATGTGTCCATCTCCCTGGACAGTTCCTCATTATTTCGCATGGACGGAGAGAGTTGAGTCAGCTGCTGCATGGCCAGTATTTGCTGGAAGTTGAAGTATGGAAGAAGGGACATGCTTCCGTTTTGCAGGATGTTGGCAAAATTAGGTAATACTGATGCCATAGCAGCCAAAGAACTGGCCTGAGACTTATTTGGTGATGGTGGACTAGTTGGTGGCGTCTTGGATTTTGTCGCTTTGGGTGATTTCTTCGTTTTAGGGCCTCTCCTCGTGCCATACACATCGATAATGGGCAGCGGATTAGGAGTTCCATCGGGATTTAGTACCATTGCTGGCTGATGGCGGTACTTGCGGAGGTGTAGCTTCAGGGAGTGACAATACTTGGTGGCATACTTGCATGTGGCACACCGGTACTGATAGATGTTGCTGTGTGACTTGAGGTGAGAGTTGAGCATGGACTTGTTCACGCAGCTGTAATCACACTGTTCGCATTGGAAGGGCTTCGAGCCCCTGTGCTTGTGCAGATGATATTCTAGGTGATGCTTGTACATCGTGACAAACGGACAGAGGTGGCACGTGAGCATTTTCTCGGGTTTGATATGGATGCGATGGTGCTCCCAGATGTCCACTTTAGTGATGGCAAGGAAGTCACATTGCTTGCAAGGATATTTTTTCAACTTTCCATGAGAGTTCACTTTGGGCGTCCTGATGGCATCATCATCCACGTCGCTGCAATTTGAACGGGTTTCATCATCCATATCGTTGCCTTCCGCATTATCTGAGCCCTCATTTTCATGTTTGATGCTCTTTGGGGACTTGGGAGGGGTCACATTCATCGGAGGGCTGTTGGTGGGTGTGAGGCTATTCAACAACGGATAGCTTCCTTCGTTGCCAATGAAGCTCCTGGTTGGAGACTCATTGCTTTGGTGCACAGCAGCCTGGCTGGTGCTGTTCGGCGGTATCACGGCACTCGGATAGCCAGGTGGAGTAAGTGGGTTGAAGCCCGGCTGCCGCATTTGCGTCATGTGGAGTGAAGTCACAGGATGATTGTCCCCGTATCCGGTGTGACTGCCCTGATGCGATGACTCCTCACTGTGAGCACTGGCTGGCGAACTAACACTGGACTCATGGCCCATCGTCGTTCCTTGACCAGTATAGGTGGCAATGTCCGGTGAATCTCTCCTCACCGGCATATTTCCATACCAATGGTGATCATAGTTGATGGGCTGCTGTAAAACCTCCCAACTGTGCATCCTGCAATTAGGCACGGAAGATGGCAATGGTTAGCGAAAGTGGCGCTTAATTAGCTTACGATGTCAGGGAGTCGCCCTCATGGATTGCCAACTAATGAAGTCCAATTATGGAAGAGACACACATGACCAAAATATAAATAAACACCCCAGACCACACTATCGGCCATAGCCATTAATGAGGGAGATTTCAATGAGCTCTTCCGAGCTTTACCGATTTTCAATGCGTTGCAAACTATCAATCTGATATAATATCGCTATAATACATAACTTGAGTCGCTGAGGGTGTGGAATATGTTGGGTGATGGAAAGGACTCCACCCCTGTCCACCATACTGATGCGATAGCATAAGGGATATGGAGTTAGGGTTGTTTTTTTCCACATCTCTGTGACGCTCTCGGGTGCGATTTTATTGCTTTTCATCACAAGAAAGGAGACATATAATATTATAACCCATTGATTTAATGTTGTCACTAAAAGGTTCGCTTTTCTATTTCTTTACGTACTTGCATATTTTCATGCTGTTAAAGTATATGTAGTTGCTGATGTTGAAAATAAGCAACAATTTCGAGCATCTCGCTCAGATCTTCCCCTTTGATGAATGTTTTTTTTGTGTGTGGATAAAAGTAAAAGCCTAGCACGAAGGGCTCCCAAATGACGCATCGTGCTGTGCGATAGAGAACGGTACACAAATTGCCTTTTACTCTCTCCTTCGCTCTTAAACCACGCATATGAGGCATTTGGGGTGGAAACTCTTGGATTCAAAGGAAGCACGCGCGCGCAGGAAAACCCATTCCGGGATTCACTCTATATGTATCTCATTTCCCAAAATGGTGGATGACATTCTATCCAGCCGCCGGAGTAATTTGGACGAAACATCATATTCTATTAATCTGCACGAGGGTGGCCAGAGAATCCACCACACTCTCTGATGGTTATTCCTCAGAGGCTATTTTGTGCACTCAATTGTGAATTCACGACACAGAATATCGAAACATAGAGACATGTCTAATTCCTGGAGATATGATAAAAATCCAATAAAAATCTACACCTCATGTTTAGAGAGTAAAAAAACGACAACGACCTTCAGAAATAAATAATTAAATAGACCTGGGGGTATTTACTTTGGAATTAAAGACTTGCTGAGACACAATCGCTGAATATTGAACATTCGGCATGAGAACAATTATAGTCTTTTCAGCGGTAAAAAAGACAATTATTGTCAATCACTGTTTTGTGAAACTTGTTTTCTGTCACAACTAGATTAAGAAATGACGAGAAGAGGTTTATGTACCGATATTTAGGTAAAAACAAACGACACAAAGTTCACTTGGAAATACTGATATAGAAAATGTATTGCAAAATTTGTCTTTCTGAGCTTCAAAGGCTTCAGAAGACAAATTTAGATAATAATGATGCTCCTTTTCTGAGGAGAGGTAAGTTAAATTTTTGCAATAATCCACATTGGCCTGAAAAGTGTTTGAAGCTGAGGTAAAACGACGTGTTAAATTTTATGTCCTTTTATGACATTCAGTACCCTTTTATAAGCCCGCATGCAAATTTTGCAAAAGGTCTGATGGAAAATCACAGTCCCAAAAGATTAACTTAGTCAAAACTTTCCTAATCTAGGATCAAATATCAAGAAAGATGGATAAAAAAACTAAATTTCACAATTTTTACCTCAAATGCTTTTCCAACAATTCTATATGAAATATTTTTGAGCAAAAATTGATGTCACTTTATTTAATTATTTATCAAATTCACAAATACACTTTTCAGATTGAAATCTGCACGGTTGTCGGTTTTTTTTTATTGTTCTGAAATAATTTTTTAGTTGAGCACTTTTTCTTTAAAAAACGGAGATATGTTCACAAGTAGCATATATGAACGGCACTAAATGTTGAGAAATGAATTTTTTGAAGGACTCGCACTTCCTACTCCTACGAGATTTGGGCATCAACTGAGATTTTACTTGACTGTTGAAATTGTCATAGGTCTTTTTTCTTTCACTTGCTTTCACACACTCCTGAGTTGCTCTTCCAAACTGGATTTTCAAAAATTTCTGCCGAGACTCTGGGGAGGGGTGTGACTTTCCAGTGCGAGTAGGGGAATTTAAAGGGACTCTGCTGGTTTTTTGGCCAACACTACCTTTGTGTGGAGTCACATGCTCGCACAGCCACACGCAACACACACTCTTACAAAGACAATTCCAGTGGAAGGACTGGAAAATGTTAGGAGAAGACCCGATGCCATCCAAAAGCGCAGGAGCGAAGGCTGACAATTTCTGAATAGTGATAGTGTGAGCACACAAAAAGCAAAAAATATCTTGAGAGGAAAACATGAGATATCTCGTGAATAAATAAATCAACATGTTTCAAATGGCTCCACCTTCAATTACTTCTGCGTTTATTAAAATTTGTTGCATTTTATATCAAAATAGTGAGTGTTTATCTTTTTCTATTCTTAATACAATAATTGATATTGTACCGTAAAGTTTTCGTTTGCAAATCATTCTAATTTCTCATCCAGAGCTTATTTGAATTTTATGCGTGGAGAGATGATTTTCTTCTCATTTTCGTACCTTTCTCATCCATTTTCATGCCATTTTTCTTAAGACTTCGAGACAAGCTTCGAGATTTTCTTCGTAGATTTAATACACAAAAAACACAAATTAGACTTGTAATTCAAGTTTAAATCGGTCAAGTTTCTGTAATCATCGTTATCAATTGTTTTAAATAATCCCATAAAATATTTATTTTCATCCTTGTTTTCATCTTTGATTGTAATATATCTGTGTCTCGAGACGTTTGGGGATGTTTGTAATTATCTTTTGCTGTGGCGAAATGTGTAGAAATCGGTGATTAATATTTATTTTTTAGCCTCTCGGTTATTGATCGAGTGGTTCTTGTTGGCGGAGCCGAGCTCCACAATAAATGACACCAAGAAAAAGCAGAAAGCATCCCCCAGAGCTCCTCTGGCTCTCCCTCGCATTTTTTCCCTTCCCCAATCCAGCTATGCCCTCCGCCCCATCCGGAGCTTGCGAGATGCCACAGCAATATTGGCCTCAGCAGCCCTCAAATCCACCCCCGTCACGAAATGACAATGATGGGTTGAGTTCTCACGTCTGCAAATTTATTTATTTTTTCACCCGCTTCTTTGTCTTTTCCACCCTCGGATGTGTGTTTTGGGTTAGGAGGGAGACGAGAGCATCAGGAAAAGTGGCATTAGAGGAAAGACGAGAAAAAAAGAATGTTTTATGTCCTTCTTCGTTTTCCTCGTCCACCCTCTTTCACTGGCGAACTCTCTCTCTCTCTCTAAGTTTTTGTGTGCAAATGAAAGGACTGTCGAAGAGGTGGCGGAAAGTGGGAATATTGTCCACCCTCGATTCGATTCCCCATCGGGAAAGAGACCGACAACCTTAGCGACAGAGTCCACCCCCTCTGGCAATCCAGATTATTCGGATGTGCATGTTCGCCCCATAAAAGACGGCATAATATGTTACCGATCGAAGCTGTAAGCATTCTCAGCAGCAAGAAGAAAGTTCTTTGTGCTGTGCCAAGTATTGTGGCACTTCATCCCCTCGCATGGACAAGTGTAGAAGCGGATGGCTGTTTTTCTCATCTCGGTCGTCCCCTTTGCAAAAAATGTCTACTAAAAAGAATTCCCATGGCAACGAGAAATAAATGAGGCATTTTACTCCACAGAATATCAAACACACCATCGCATAAGAGATTCTCTCTCTCTCTCTCTCTCTCTCATTCTGAACTGTATATTGAATGCGGAAAACCAATATTAAGGGAAAAGATGAAAGATGCCCATTTTTCTTTCCTCCTTTCTCCTCCTTAGGCTGTGTTATATTTTTCCCCAAAAAGAATTATTTATCAAAATATTTCCTACTTCAGAATATTTAGTTTTATCCGCCTTCCGTTGATGTATCAGTAAAAAGAAGACGTATAATGTCTTATGTATTATTAACAGAGTGTCACATCATTGGAAGTGCTAAGCTGTACTCAGGAAGTCGTATTTAATTATTGCGTACAATACACAGAATTTTATATCGTGAAGTTACTAAACGAATTGATAGAAAATCCCTAGATATGCTAAGAATAAAAAATTGAATTCGTGTAAATTTGGGTCAAGGCGTCAAAGAATTAATTGACACTTACACTAAATTTCCTTGTCGATCTGTGACAAGAAGGAATAAGCATACATTTGACCAAAGAACAAGTACAATAACAAGTAAAATATTTTATTATTAATTTATGATTGCTTAGGCAATATAAAATGTCTAACTATAATCAAATTGTACCAATATTTTAATTTATGAGATCGAACAATTGCTTAAAATCAGGGTTCAAACCGTTCAGACACACTTCTCGTTGAGAGAAAATGTATCAGATAGCTTTGTATCGATAGTCGAAAGTCGTCAATGTGTCACAAATGGCACGCGATCGTCTTGAATGTTATGTGTGTGTTTTTTTTACCGAGGAAGTCTGCCACATGTTTGTTTCCTCAATCTTTAGGGTCACACTTTCGTACAGCATCCTCAATCCGAGACCTAGCAAAGATGCACTCATCAGTTCGGGGTTAATAAGTTACAATCCAGACTGTAATGATCTTCGCTCCCGCACCAGACCCAAAAGTGTCCTCACAAAAGGAAACACATCGTCTTTGGTGCTTCCTCATCCCTGGGTTGTGCCTCTCAAAACAAACTCTCGACCTTCTCTATGCAGTTCAGGGAGAAAATTTTATGGGATTATGTGTGGATTTGTAGTGTTAATGAATGGAACGATGACTGTCTGGTACGGAACAGCAGTTTAGACTTGAGAAAAAAATGTGTTGACTTGCAAAATGAATCTGTGACAGTTTTTTCCCTCTCTTTAACTGTAAAAATGGTTATTCACAAATATATTTCTCAAGAGTTCAACTGCCTCAAGCTAATGATGGGACAATTGCACTTTTTGCATGCCATTGAAGTGAATAGAAGGGAGAAAAAAAGTAGACCACAATTAGTAAGTAATTGAAAATTAATAGTGACAGGAAGTTATCATGTTGGTGAACATTAGTCTCGGGCCATTTGCCTGTGAGACACTCAAAAACAAATCTTTATTTGGAGATGAAGGCGCAAAAAGAATCATGAGTGTCACGACCATTTTCAACACTGTCTTGGAAGGTTGGATGCGTTGGATGTTATTGCCAATCAAGGGGGTGAAAATTTATTTCACTCAGTGTGTGATGAATCACTATTGGACTGAAGGGTGTGGAAATCAACATAAATATTCTCTGTCGGAGATTATATATATATATATATAAAGGCAGAAATCTATATAAAGACAATAAAGAAATCGGCATTAGATTTTGGCGTGAGTTAATATAAACAAATTGCATAAAGTACGACTTTCTCTCCGTCCAAATTTAGTTTGGCGGTTCATCAAGCATTTTCAACAAAGTCCCAAATGTTTTCTTTCCGGCGTCACCCTAAAATACTTCGGACAATTGATGAAATTTGAAGCAATTGTTGCATTTTCAATTTTTCAGCGAGACTCTCCTCTTGATTGCAATTGCTAAACTATTGTCCTGACATTTGACCGTTGGTCAAAAGCTCTTTTTGTTACTCAGTAACCATTAGTGACACCTTGATGTGGCCTTTTTGACCTGCATCTGTCGATGGGAATAATTTATTTGTTCATACACATACGACTGAAAATCTCTCAATTTGGACAACGTCATTGGGCAAGCATTCTTCAAATTTCTTCCCATTCCAAAAATTAATGGTAAAAATGGTAATTGCAGTGAAACGAAAAGAGTTAATTACATGTTGTGAGGTGCATTTTTGGGGTCTGTCTGTGTTGCAATTAGTGTTATGTGCGGAAGAATTTTGACCGATATCCGATTTTGCTGTTTGAGGCAATAATTTAGAAAAATGAAAATGCAACGGTCTTTCCATTTTGGACACATAATAAATTTCACGGTGAAATATAGGGAAGAAAGTTGTGTGAAAAATTTTTAGTTAAATTGTCGCAAAATCGCTGTGAGTTCAGGGCAAATTTTTATTTCTGGGAGGGAAGGTCAACAATGTTGCTAACAATTGGTTCAAAGTCGAAGGGTCACACCAGTTAGACAATGCATTGAGTGACCAAAAGAGGGTTACATTTGTAATATGCTCAATATTATTTTATTTTTCACCATCACTGTCTCTTTCATGCATGCAGAGGATTTGGTCCGAATTTTCCCAAAATGGGATTTGGTGTGGTCCGTTTTCAATCGATCCTTTTGTTGTTGTGCGCCAATATTTTATTGTCACCATCGACAGCTTCCTGGTCGGATTGTTGATGCCGTGAGTGACCCCTCCTTAATTCGTTGCCCTGGCCGTGGTCCCTGATTTGGGTTCTTCTCTTTCTCAATTCTAAAATACAATTTCACAAATAAATCATTGTGGCCCTTTCTGCGATATGGTCTGGGTGAGAAAATTCACCAACAAATGTAATCCCGTATAATGCTCTTACCATTCATTATATCTACAGAACTGAAAATATTTCTTAGTGACGGATGCCCGAGGAAGTTTTCAACTGAATTTTTACAATTGACCATGTCCGATTTCACTTTAATTTGATGCTCTTATCAATTTTCTATAAAATATCTTCTGATGGTGTACTTAATGGTTTTAGTTTGGTAGAATAAATGGGCGGAAGTGAAGAATTAAAACCTTCATATAGGTTGTGAGACAACTAAATTGATGTGCAATATTTTTTGAGCGCTTTTATAATGTTTAGTATAGTGTCTTATATACTCAGAAATTATTATATAATTTTAAGATTTCACATGGTTAGTTACATTACTGCTCTTCTAACACATTTCTTCGAGATACATTGGAACAATAAAGCCCGAGCAATAATCTTATGTTGACTCTTGAATTGTTTCCTCCTATACTGTGCTCAAATCAATAAAGATTTTGTATCAGTGTGGACAATGGTTGAGAAGTGCAAATAAGCGTAGAAAAAGTGATGAGCCATTCGATATTTTTCCCTTGATAAGAAGGGACAATGGTTGGTTTTTTCTTGCCTTTTTCCTCCCAATCCGCCTAACAGATCATCAACAAATATTTTCGGCAGAGTCCCAAGTTCAACCTTTCCATATACATTAACTTCAGAGACTTTATTTTCTCTATCATCAAGTAAATTTTTGACAAAACAGAAAGTTACACAGAGACACTTTGGGAATAGTATGCTGCGGAATAAATTGGTGAATATATATATCATAAGGAAACTCAGATTTTCAACGGTGGTTAATTTATAATAGACAATGCTAATGAGTGAAATAAACACAGACAAATTGAACGTCTCGTAGATGAATTTTCACAATATGAGAAATAGTTTTAACACCAAAAGTAAATATATGGATTTGGCGATGTATTGTAAATTAGATTCGAAATTTTCATTGAGAAGCGTTATGTAACATTGGGAGTAGAACATTTTAGTGTTGTTTCTATGGGGCTGGAACCTCCCATGAATCTTCATCGTCGTGTTGCTTGTCTCTGGGAATTATGCGAACGCTCGGAGATCGCAAGAATACGCCTGTGAGTAGTCCGCCGACGATCGCGATTGCAACAGTGGAGAGGATTCCCAGAAGTTGATATCCTGCCTGTTCAACTGCACTACGTCCGTATCCCTAATCAAAAAAACATCGCATTTGTTACTGATCATAGTAATAAGTGAGGGCATTTTCTTACCCCGAATGGAGTCGGCTCTGAGTGATGTCCATCTTCCATCAAATCAGTTGAATTTCGCGATTGCATGGCTGGGAATATGTTGTAAAGTGAGTCACCATACTCAGTGGTTGTAGCTGCAGCCGCAAAGATTGCTGAGAAGATTGCTGATAGTACGGCGGGCATTCCGTGAAGATTATGAACACCACAAGTGTCATCCAGGCGTAGTTTGTTAAGCATTCCTGGCGACAAATATCGGTATCCAAGAACTGAAATCAATCCTGCCAAGGAACCGATGAGAACTGCTCCGTATGGATGAATTAGCAGATTGCAAACTGATCCCACAGCCACTCCTCCTGCCAGAGTAGAGTTTTGCACGTGAACCATATCCAGCTTGTGCTCGTGACTGACCAGAACGGATAAGACAAAGCTGACCACCGTGGCAGCCGCTAATCCCAGATAAGTGTTCAAGATCGCTCTCTCTTGATCAGCTCCTGCCACCAGAGCCGAATTGAAGCTAGGCCAGAAAATCCAGAGGAAGATCGTTCCAACCATGGCGAAGATGTCTGATGTGTAAGACGGACCTTCGAGGTTATTGGTGATCGCGAGATCACTCTTCTTGGGACGTAGGATGAAACTCACGGCTAAACCGAAGTAAGCACCAAAAGCATGTACCGTGATTGATCCTCCAACGTCAGCAATCTTCATGTACTCAAGCTGGAGATACTCGTTGGCCGCAAAGACAGCTATTTCGAAGAGGCCCATCACCAAAAGTTGAATAGGGGTTGTTCTGCCCAAGAGTGCTCCCATGGAAATGAGAACAGTGGCAGCGGCTATGTCAGCTCCAATCATTCCTCCTAGAGTGAGCCTAGAAAAAATTTACATCACATTTTTTCAACGACACTAATAAAGAGACATGCCCAAAAATCTGTAATAAATTATGCGATATAGGTGAGCTATAAAAATTCCACTTCAAATACTTAAAATAATCTACACAAAATTAAGAGTTATTTTTGACATTCTGCAGTGCTCTTAAATATTGGAACACTGTTTTCATGTGTGTTTCAATGTTATGTAATTTGTCTTATTGATTCTAAAAATTACTTAAAATATTTGCACATCTGCACGAGAAATCGAAAGACTTGAGCTCATTCAATATTGGAAATTCGAGCAACTTTTCACAAATGCAAAAAAAAACTTCACTTGTCTGCACATTAATTTGCCATCACCTTATTTTTCCATCTTCCATTTCGAAGCAGCCTCGGGCAATAAGGGCCCATTGCACCATCAGTGATGCCACCAGAAGATTGAATCCCGTCGCACTGTATCCGTATTTTTTGAGGAAGGTCATCAGGAATCCAAAACCAATGAAGATCATTACATGAATGTCTTGAAAGTCTAAGTAGGGAGAAAATGAAGAGAAAGGGTTATTTGGGTAAAATAGCTCAATTGTGATAACGCAGAAAAGGGTCACATAATGATCGCAAATTAACTCATGGAGTGTCTCCAAGTGGGAAAGAGAGTTTGTTGGCAAAATAGATAAACGTCAACGGTAATAGGTATTTTTGCTATGATTTAATCACAACAACAATTTATTTCCTCTTGAGCATAATGCAAACAATTGGTAGATGAATGTCAAATAAATTGTTTGCCTCCAGCAGCCAAAAGATACTGTGGCGTGTGATGTAACTGCGATACTTACGTGGATAGCTTCCCAGGTTTGTGGGCAAAGCGGGTTCCCCATCCTTATGGGGAAGGATTTCCTTGCCATACTCCGAGAAGGCACCAAAAACAATTCCGAATATTATTTGCACCACGAGAATTGCAATGAAGCCTGCGATGGAGGATATTGGAGTGTGCATTTTGATGAAATTTTGGGTATTCACTGGGAAATTATGCTTGGAAGTCTCACTGAAGGAGTACGTTAGAGATTGGGCATCCTTCCTCAAGCTCTGCTTCACTGGGATGCTACTCTCTTCGCGGGCAATTCTCGACTGATCGTATAAAGTAGACATGGTTGTACAATTGAACTCGTGAGCGCTACGCTTTGCTGTTGAATTTTTTATTATCACACTGGGGGCAAAAGAGTTGGGGAACTTTCAACAATGAATGTTTGATTTAATGACTTTAATTTTAGATTCACTCTGCAAATCTGTTGACTTATTATTCTGTATATCTCACGGTGGGCAGAGCTACGGAAGATGTTTATGCTAGGAATGTCTGGTTTCAAGTGATTTACTGTCTAAAAATTCCTAATTCTTCTACCAACTTAATTCGGAGAGATAGTGAGACACTGATTATCCCCACGAAAGTGTCAACTGGTAGTAAAATGTTTGACAACATTACTAGCGAGAACTACCCAAAACTACCCACATAAACAGTTTTTTCGTGATTCTTTTGTTATGCCGTGACTCTGGTGTTAATAATTAAAGAGCTCGCGGTAAAAGACAATTTAGGGTAAGACTACAGACAATTCAATTAAATCTTTGATGATAAAATTCACCAAGTCTGTTTGAATTTCAAAAGATTGTTTACCTTAAACTCATCTAAAACATGTACCATTATTGCCGTTGATCTGATCATTAATTTTGGAAAATATTCGATGAAAATGATTGATATTTACCAAAAACCAATCACCATAATAGGAAATTCCTTCATAAACGAGCGAAGCACTTTTTACAATCTTCATAAAGAGTCGGTGGAAGTCAATGAATTTGTGCACTTCGATTTTCTCTATTGCTCTGCGTGTCTCTAATCGTCTGTTTATTTGTCGCATTTCTTGGTCATCGTTGATTGGGTTGATTGACTGTAGTCTCATGAAGAATGCATGGAAGTGAATACTCACTCTTACAAGTTTCCTCCAGTATGGAAAACACATTTTCATCACCCTGAACTTTTGCAATTACTCACCTTCCCATCAAATAATGTGCCCAAATGTACTTACAAAAAAATGCTTGAGGTGGAATGGTAAATGGTATTCTGCAAATAATTCACAGGAAGAGTTTAAGAGTTCATTTCCTCTGAAATTACACTTTCAAATAGGAAAATTCTCTCTCGATGTCGTGTCCATTGCAATTACTTTAATGTATGTATTTTTTCTGAGGGTTCATATTGGTTCAGCATTCTCTATCGTGGTTTAGATAATTTATTGCCAATTTTAATAGTTTGATGGTCATTTTCAGAAAATCCAAATGGCCCATCCACTTGAGATCATAAATGAATTGCCTTGCTTTTGAAACCCAAATGCGAAAAGAATCTAATATTCACAAGTAAAGCATCGAGTCTATTGAGCCGGGAAATCTGATGCGGCCTTCCCAGCATGTTTTCGACGCGTAAATACAGCGTGGGCACTAATTATAGGTCCACTGCAGGTATCCGGGGTGTAGGTAGTCTGGGGCAAAATCAAAAAAATCAAATATGGCGTTTGATTGCCTATCCATTGCCAAAACAAAACCCCCAATATGAGGCCCCTCCGCCGGATCCTAGGGATTCTAGGGAACTCTATCACTTTCTGGGCTGGCACTAATTATAGGTCCACTTGGGAATTTTCACTATATCTCAGCGAAAAAAAATCGGAAAATTCTGAAAATCATAAAGATCCTTCATTTTGAGCCCAGAGACCATTTACCGTCGCCACACCCCGCCTCGGTCCTCCTTGGACCCCACTGTTAAAGGTCTTTGCCTAGTACTACGTGATCGCCCAATATGGCTCCTCCGCATTGGGGCGGGGGGCCCAATGGCCACAAACTCCTTCATAGGGCTTGATTGAAGCCTCTTGAGCATAATTGGGATTTCTGGCGCCGATACCCTTTCTGAATCCTGGCCTTAAGCACTTCTTCCAGGGTCTTTTTCTGCTTCTTCGGGCCCAAACCACCCCAACCCCCGGACCACCCCCAATGAAATGGGGCGAAAAGTTCTTGGGACACTTCTAGGAAACCGGAGGACCCTAGATCCGGGGACGGGTAGCGCCTCGAAGGGAGTGCCACACCGTGGAATGAGACCCATTCGAAAACCACCTAAAAGTGTATGGTTTTTCATTGAATTTCAACTGGCTCTCGTTCTACGTTAGGGCGCTCCCTCCGAGGCGCTACCCATCCCCGGATCTAGGGTCCTCGGGTTTCCTAGAAGTGTCCCAAGAACTTTTCGCCCCATTTCATTGGGGGTGGTCCGGGGGTTGGGGTGGTTTGGGCCCGAAGAAGCAGAAAAAGACCCTGGAAGAAGTGCTTAAGGCCAGGATTCAAGGCTGGTATTGGGGTCAGATAGCCCAATTATGCTCAAAAGGCTTCAGTCTTGCCCTATGAAGCAGTTTATGGGCATTGGGCCCCCCGCCCCATTGCGGAGGAGCCATATTGGGCGATCACGTAGTACTAGGCAAAGACCTTTAACAGTGGGGTCCAAGGAGGACCGAGGCGGGGTGTGGCGACGGTAAATGGTCTCTGGGCTCAAAATGAAGGATCTTTATGATTTTCAGAATTTTCCGATTTTTTTTCGCTGAGATATAGTGAAAATTCCCAAGTGGACCTATAATTAGTGCCAGCCCAGAAAGTGATAGAGTTCCCTAGAATCCCTAGGATCCGGCGGAGGGGCCTCATATTGGGGGTTTTGTTTTGGCAATGGATAGGCAATCAAACGCCATATTTGATTTTTTTGATTTTGCCCCAGACTACCTACACCCCGGATACCTGCAGTGGACCTATAATTAGTGCCCACGCTGTATAAGTGGAAGGCATTTTCGACTCAAAAAAGTATTATGAATCAGCATGGTTAGTGATTCGGTGTTTAGTCGGCGCACACTCTCATAAGCACTATTGGCACTATTAGACAAATGTATTTTCAATTTGATTTGAATTCAACGAGGAGTCTAATGTAGTGACGACAGTGGCTTCTATTAGCGAGACTTATCTTCAAGCATCCTGTATTATATAGTGTCGATATGAATGGCACAATCCAATGAATTTGTTCATAAAACGAGATAATTTACACTTGTGTTAAATGTTTTACTTAAGTGATGTGGAAAAACAGAAGACTGTTTAACGTTATTTCGTGGCTTATTAGTACAATTAGACAGGTAGTGATTTTGGTATTCAATTAGGCGGTATAATCTTAGCTATTATGATGCGATGGCACACGTCTATGGCTCGTCGATGGTCATTGCTGGTGTGTAGGAGTTCTGGCTGGAGGCATTCTTGGATAATACCAATCTGTACATGACGGCATAGAGGATACCACCCACTATCAGATTTGCCAGCGCCACTGCCACGATTATGGCCCAGGCGGGAATGGGAAGTCCACCTGAAAAAATCCGTCATCCACATCATTTGTACGGTGATTTTATTTGCCATTTTTACGACAGTAGAGACTCACGTTTATAGCTGCGTGTCATGACGCGACGTCCTCGAAGCACCCTCCTTCTGGCCTCTGTCTCCTCCATGAATACGCTGAGGAGCACTGAAATAGATTGATCCCCGTCATTTGTTAACCAAATTCTAAACACTTCTCATTCTGAAGTTACCGAGGAGAACAGTGAGATAGAACCAGCCTCGTTTAATTAACTTCATTTTCACTTAATGCTCTTTTTGCTTTTGCACGATTTCACACAATTTTCTCTGCTCTTTTCGTGACACCCAACAATGAATAATGCCTCACCCAAATGTGAGAAAATTACTTGAACCGCTTCACTTCGCGCTATCTTATCTTCACACAAAAAAGATAAGATAACCAGAAACAGCGTGACACGAAGATTTTAGACAAATTTATATCTTTCAATCACCAAAAAATATATTTATTTTTATCTCTTTTACTTGCTGAAGGTAAAATATGATAGAAAATATCTTACGAATTCCATACAAGAGTCTTTATAAAAATATACACTTTCTCCAAATATTAGTATGAGCTATTGAACACACTGTACATGACATTATCTCTCGTGAATTCTGTGCTACTAAAGATAACGTGGGAAAATATGTGACGAAGTATGTTGCAAGGTGTATGTGTAATTTTCCGCGTAATTTGACAGCGAAGAAGAATTACTCATGAGTTTCCATGAAAAATACAATAAATATTGCTTTAATTCAACCTTTACCTTTTATGAAGTCTGTGAATTTCACTAATTTTTATGATAAACAGTAACTCTGTGTTAAAATTTCACAAGCTATTAAATAAGAAAGAGTAGTTATTGCCACGGATCAATCATTAGTATAAAAATTCCCAGAATGATTTATGAATGGAAATAGAAGTGACTTTGATAAGTTCATAATTTCTTTTAATACTAATCATCCAATTGGCATAAACCCGCAACTCCACGGTTAATCCAGTGACTGGGATTCTCCTTTGATTCCAAATCGATGTACATGACAAAGTTGGTGGAGTGACCAGTGGACGTAATGGTTCCGCGTCTGGCACTAGTTTTGTAAATGGGACACATGTATTTTTTAAGCCTCCTCTTCAGATGTTTCTTCTCCTTTGAGGATTTTGCCGTGGGTTTCATTGCGACAATTGGAAAGCGATCGTGTAGAATTCTGGGTTGAGCCTCATCGAGCAATCTTGTGAGGCGATTCCAGCGAGCTCCTTCAAGGTAGAGACCCTGTAAAGAAGACATTTGGCTTATTTACGAGTCAACTGATTTTCAGTTTTACTCACATCGAAGCACTTGAAATCGCTGTTGGCATCTAAGTTATTCTGTAAAAAATAACAGCAATATCATATATTGCACCAATATTAACCAAGCAATTAGAGGCACCTTCTTAAATGTTTCGAAGTCAAGATCAGCATCTGTTTCATACACACTCACGTCGAAAGTCATGTCGATCACGTTGTGTGACTTGTTTGTTCTTCGGCTAAAATTCTGCATTATGCTTGTGATTAAAGATTGTGGGAAGAAGAAACAGGAAAGCCAGAAGACACAGGGCTCTGCGTTATCTATCCACTTCTGGAAAAATGCCACACGATCAATAAGATCACTGATGTAGCCAGAAAGTGGTTTGAGGGATGGGTAGCTCTGTATGGTCCAATCATCCGGCAATTTCCCTTGTGACACAGCATAATGGACGCTTTCCAGTTGCGGGATGAGGGCAATTTGTCCTGATGTGGCTCTCTGAACATCCGTTAGTGAATGTCTGATGTATCTCAGCAATTTGTTGTATTTCGATACTTCCTGGTGAAGGAAAACATTAAGGGAATTTGAATAACATGGCGGATATTTTTCCATCATAATCTTATCATCAATAAATTCTGGTAGACGATTGAGGATATCTTCGCAAATGTCCTCAATGAGATCTTTGCTGTCTTCTTTGGAAACATCCTCCTTTCTTTTAGACGCCAACAGTTCTGTTTGAGTGATGAGGACTCCTGTCAGAAGTGCATTGGTTTCTCTAGTGTTCTTGGCAATGTTGGCATTTTCATGCAAACCAAAGACTTCTGGATTTGCCACAAAAGGAAAAGTCCCAATATGCTCCAAACTCTTCAGCCTGCCAGCATCAATAGGAACAGTATAGACGCCAGAGGAACTGAGAGCATAATTTTCCACTTGAATAATGTCTTCATTGTAGATTCTTTCGAGCAAGGACATGAGAAGTCGGCGATCTTTGTCATCTGTCACACGGCCACCATAATTGCATTCCCCTGTGAGTTCCCTGTGACCCTTGAACGGGATCCTTTCAAAGTGCCTGATGAACGCCTTTAGTTGTGTCAGTGAGACTCTGTAAGAGAAAGGCGATTTATTGAATTTGATCGCTGGAAAGGTGATAAATGTACCTGAGGTCGGTCTCATTGAATTCATACGGCACATTCCACCCCAGTGGCCCATATTCCCGGCGCTCCTGTACAACAGCATGAAAATAGACGAGGGCAAAGACACCCCGGAACCACATATTCTCCAATTTATCATCTCCGGTGAAGGTCTCAGTGAAGAATTTATCACTGGCCAAGGGGTCAGATTTGTAGCACTTCTTCATATTGAGCTTGAGCCGTTTCGGCGGTTCGTTAGTCATTTTGATGCTGTTCTGCAAAATGAAGACTGGGAAGTCTGGACAAGGATATGCCGTGCACCAGAGACGGAAATCCTGGTGGAGATTCTCATGCTCCGCCAATTCAATGCAAATTTTCTCAAGATTGTCCATCCATGACGACGCCACGTGACAGTTTTGCAGGACGATCCATTGGCCTGATTTCTGACCCTCCTCTATCATTTGCTGAGCTTTAGGCCCCTGTCCTTGTCCCAATGATATTGTGTGACATCTGTAGAGAAATATATAATGGCTTCAAAAGTGCAAAGTTGATTAAAATGGTAAAACTTACTTGTCCTGCATATTCTGTTCCTTGGCAAAAGACATGAGATCTTCCATGGGATCTGAGCCAGATGTGAGCAGGAATATTAGAGGTATCTTGGGATTGCTGTCGCCGAAAGACGTGCTCAGTTCGAAAGACGGCGGTTGAACGAAGGTCTCATTGAGATGTTGTATGATGAAAGCTCTGACTGCCGGAATAACTGCATCTGGTCTCAGAGCTTTGAGAATAATGAGCCTAGAGATGTCATCCACACTGTCATATGGTGAAGGTAGAGAATTCTTGTGTGGCTCAGAAAGCTTAAAGAACTCTTTCCAAGACTCCAAATTTTCTGTGAAATCATTTTGAAAGTTCTTAAATGAATCCAAATGTGAGATTCTCATAATTTGATCCCATGATTTGTTTGAAAGCCATTCAGGTGCAGGATTCTCTTCTGAATCTTTTCTCATCACTTCTCCAGAGAGAAAATATATGAGAAGTTGTTCATCAATGAGTTTTTTGGCTCTCAGAAGTCCTATGCAAATGACAAATGAGAAGATGAGTTTGTCCTTCTCAAAGAGCGATCGGCATATGTTCTGGTACACGGAAGTTGTAAAGAACTGATTCAAATTCTCAAGTCTATCTTCGAGGACATTGGATTTTGGAGCTTTTATGATGGCTTGAACGAAGAGGGACAGAAACCATGTGAGTGAGTATTGATACATGGGCTCAATATTGGCCAACTCTGTAATGCAGAAAAAGAGTATTGACGAGTGTTTGGCCACAGGAAGATAAAGCTGTCGAGCCTGATCAATTTCAGCTTCAGTCGCTATGGCAACAACTTGCTTAGCCTGAATTTCCTCAGAGAGAACTTTACTTGATGACTGGAATATAAAGAAAAAAGTGAGAAAGTAGAAATTGCTGAACAAATTTTCAGGAAATCTTACCAGAATATTGATGGCATTTTCATCTTCCAGAATGTTTCCCTCTGAAGATGAAAGGACTTGAAGGATTTGCGTTTCAATGTTATAAAGTAGATCTCTATTACGTGCAGACTCGACTATAAGGATCTCCTTCTTCTCCTGCAAGTCAGGACGCTCCTGCACCACCACAGTGGCCAGAAGCTGCTCCCTCAGTCCCACTTCAGTGATCATAAAATTGAGGATGGTCACGAGCACCGCTGTCTCGGGAAGATAGTGTGGATTTCTCAAGCACGTGGTGATATAGAAGCGAAAATTGAAATTGTACTCAATCATGCCTTCGCCAAATCTGATGAAATACTCTCCCTTCTGCTTTACGACATTCCTCTCGAGAATGGGAAAAAGTCCAGAATCAATGTACTCGCCAACATTCTCTAGTAATAGCGGAAAGCCCTGCTTAATGGCATTTTCTGCCACTGCCATGTAATCGGAGTCCGTCTGCTTGATGACTTGCAAATCGTTGTCCCTCTCAAGATTCTTAATCCACTTGTTGGCCTGACCCTGGGGATCTATCATGAGGGGATAACGCCGGGCTTTCGACACTATTATGCCATTCTCTACAGAAAATGTGTCCGATGGGAGGCCACACAGTGACCAGGCGCGTTGTTGCATTGGATTTCCAAGAGTAGATGCCAAGGAGAAGATCTTAGTGCAGGGAATATTCTGCTCCAGACACTTCTCATTCCAAGCGTCAATAATACCCGCTCGAAATTCGGTGGTAAAGCATCCTAAGTACGCCACAACTCCAGCAGCCAGGAGAACATCACCCACCACATTGTCCAGTGATTTATGCAGGGAGGCAGCGTTTTCTGACCATCTGGACTTTTCCCCTCCCAATCCGCCCAAAAGTCTCTCAGCTCTTACCAGTTTCTTCTCACAATTGTCAATCTCATCTTCAAGATTCTTCTTTTCTCTAGATTTTTCAGCGAAGAAATCGTTGAGCTTTTGCAATTTATCCAAAATCTCTTGCAATTCTGCTCTTTTTGCATTTAGCTTCTCCATTTGTTGTGCCAATTCGCTCTCTGCTGCTGCTAGAGCGACTTTTTTAGGTGCAACAATTTTGGCTACTCTATCATAGACTTCCATAGCTCTGACCCAGCGACATAAACCCTCGCAGGCCATTGACACATTCTTAATTTTCTCGGGAATAAACTCCCTATCTGTGATGTATCTTTCGCGAACTCTCTTCATCACAGGAGTCGGAATGTTGTCCTTATCGAAAGTCTTAAGCGACTCCAAGAATTTCATGTCTCCAAGCATTCGTAGAGAAGGACCCCAGAAATCTTCAGTGATTTTTCCGGCTGAAATTGTCAAATGCAAATGTAAATAAAAAGATGGTATGAATATTTGGAAAACTTACTTGGATCTCCTCTTCTATCGGGTTTAATTCCCTTAATAACACAAACTGCCTCAAGAACCAACTTCACTCCTGATGGAGGATTCTTCATGGATTTCACCACAGTGATGTCTGCTGGTTTCAAAGTATCCAAAGCTGAAAGTGCAGCTTCGAGGGCGGGAATGGCCTCTTGGAGATCGCTTTCACAATCATCCTTGATGGCTTGGGCAGATGCTGCTGCCTCATTCGCAGCAGCTTCATCTGCCCCAACCACTTCCTTCTTCTTCTCAGCCTCGGCCGTCTCTCTCTCAATATTCACCATAATCTTCTCTGTCTCCTCGGACAGAATCTTCAGCTGAGGCTGCAACTCAAATAGATTGGTCTGCATGACACCCACCTGAGCAGCAGCGTTGTCCAACTTCTCCAAACCAATCACATATCGATCTCTCTGAACAGTAATCTCGTCGAATTTGAGAGCGTGAAATGTTTTGAAGAGATGAAGCATCTCCAGATATAGAGTTGGTGTTACATAATTCTTCCGCTTTAGCTTAAGGAAGAACTTCTCAATTTCTGTCTTCACCGATGAATTGAAGTAAATAATCATGTCGACAAGTTTTGTCTCCAATTCTGAAATATTGAGGTTTTCGTCTCCTCCAGATTTTTGGGCAAGTTGCATCGATCCAATATATGTTTCGGCAACTTTTATCAAAGCGTCACTTGGCCACTCTGTGAACCAATCAATTGTGCAGCAGTTTATAAGGGAAGGAAATATTCTGATCCTTCTCTTTAAAGAATCTCCAATAGGCGATAGAGAAATCTGAAATTAAAAAGTAATACGTCAGAAATCGATAACTCTTAAAAAAAAACTTCATTCTTACGCATAAATGAAGCTTTTCTCTCACTCTCTCGGTGAAAAATGTATAAAGAGCCAATGGAGTCGAGTCTATAACTTTATTCTGCAAGATAAGAACTGATTAATGAATTGACGAAGGCTTCGTAGAAGTCTATGCTCACCAGTAATTTCGCTTCATTCTGCATTTTATCAAGAATATTAGTTTTCTCGTCACCTTGGAAGAGATTGTTGATATCAGCTGAATTGAGAAGAGAATTAATATCTTCAATAAAAGCTTCCTCTTTGGCTTGAGAGTCACTGAAGAGGAAAACAGTTTTCTTGTATTCGATCCCGGTATTAATTAACAGTTTCTTCATGTCCTCCCTCCAATCGTTGTAGGAATAGGATTTTGTGACTTCCACTTGGAATAAATCTGCGTCCATCATACTTGTTGCCATTTTAACTGCACTCCGTCGTCCTGATCCTCCCAGGCCTATTAATAAGACATTTCCTTGTTGCATCTGAAGTACTCTAGCAACCCGCGAGATGTGCTCAATGGCGAATCTGAAGAGAACTAAATCCATGGGACTATTGGAATTGCTGTTATATTGATTGAGATAATATCCCATAACCTTCTCCAACTTCCCCAGATTCTCTACTTCGTCATAGATTTTGGGATCGGCGTCAGGCTCCATGTAATTGCCGAAGATTAAATCTCTCATGTGATTATCAGAGAGTCTCTCAGTCGCAGAAATTCGATCTCCCAATGCTTGAGATAAGCTCATCCGCAGCTTCGACGTACAAGTTGTATGGATGAGATTGAACAGTTTGTTTCGATCATCTTCATCTACAAGTCGATCATAGAAAATCCTGTAAGTTTCATGAGCCCAAAGCCTGACGAGTTTCTCCGGATCTTGGAGTCTTTTAGCAGGAACTAATACCATGCCTTGATAGACTTTTGAAACATCACTGAGGGAAAATAGATAGTGAGATTTGGCGGGAGTTGGTAGAAAGTGTTCCTTCGTTGCAGTGAATAGCTCAATTGCAGCTACACTTAGAGCTTTTGAGAGGCGCGTCAAGGTGTCTGGATAGTCCTTTGCGAAATGCCATTCACCAATGGCATGAAATATTCTCTGCATTGTTGACACTTCTAAGGCATCAATTGAAATGATGAACATGTGTCGGTAGAGTCTTTCGAAGATGTAATTGCTTCCACCAATGTGTCCCATAGCTCCAATGCAGAGGAGATCGATTAATTCCAGTTTGGAAGTATCCTGCAAATCTGACCAATGTCTATGATCCAACCATTGACGGATAAGTTCCAGTGAGGACTGGGATCCGTACTTATCTCTCATAGGCATGGCCATATCATCCACGAAGACTAAGCATTTTTTCCCAACTGGAGGTCCAAAAACTCCCTTTCGACGTCGATCTAGCTTTGCCATGACGAGCTCTTGCACCTGTTGTGCCGTCGTTCGAGCAGAGAGATTGAGATTGTTAATAAGGAATTTAGATCTGGGTAGATCTCTCATAAAAGCGTTTACAATGGCACTTTTTCCTGTTCCCGATGGTCCTATTAGTAGAGTAGGTTGTCTAATGTCAACACAGATCTCAAGCCAGTTCTGAATGAAGCCTGATTCTTTAGTTGGCACTATAAGATCTTTCATTTCGAGGTCGGATACTAAGGGAGTGTCTTCAGATTTCACCCATGGCCACCAAGATTCTGTTCCATCAAAGCGATAGTCCAAGAAGGTCATTTTTTCAGGGAATATTTGACCTCTATTAAGTGTAAAGAGTTTTGGCTTTGGATAATTGTCATTGGTACCATAGAGAATCTTTCTGATGGCAGCATCAACATTCTTTCTGCTTTCAATAGTCAATGTGGAACAATAACTCCACACCAAACAGTAGAGGAAAGTCTGCTGAAACCATGTTTGATTGAGATTGGTCTGCTTTGTGAGGAAGGCCATAAAGAAGGTGGACAGCATTCGATATCTGTAGAGAGATGACACAGGAAGGATAGTGGTGCATGTGCTGAGAATTTCCACGAGAGGTGGAATTAACCATGTCACTAGAGCTTCATAAAGAGATAAGTAAATATCTGTTGTTCCCTTATCTTGTAGTTCATGCAAAAACGATTTGTGCAGAGATTCCCATCCCAATTGACTGGATTCCATATAAATCATTCCACAGCGAGACACCGTTGCTGGTGATGCTTGGTCAAGATTCTCTGGCTCAAAAATTAAATTCATCTGACGAGACATGTACACTATTTCGCCGGACATTAGACAGAGTTTTCGATTATCATCGAGGACGGTATTTAAATTTTCAATCCAAATAGGATCAACCGGTCCATCGAAAATGATCCACTGGCGTTCCGTCAAAGATGAATAGGCCATGTCACGAAATGTCTTTGCCAGAACTCCATCCGCCCACTCATGTGATACTGGATCAAAATGACCATAAAGTTGACCCATAGAAATGGCTTTGGGATTGATAATTCGTGAATTTACTCCATTTTCGGTAATTTTGGCATCCGGGTCCTTTTGGATATCTCGAAGGACACTTGCGAGAAGTTGGTAAGCCGTTGTTTTACCCGCCATAGCTCCTCCTACTATTACCAAACCATGTCGAACAAGAAGAGTTTCATAAATTTGAAGGATCTTCTCTCTGAACCACGGAGTCAACTGAAGATTCCTCTCTTTCACCTTAACTTGCAGCCACTTTTCAATATCCTCTCGGTCTCGAACTGGAAGTTCCACGTTTGGAAATAGATCTTTATAGATGTCTTCGAAGAGGAGAATATCATTTGGAAGAAATTTCGGAAGATTTACATCAATAATAGCCCGAAGTATTACTTGTTCTTCAGAGTATTCCGGATGGGCTCTTCTTAGAGATCTGGACATGAACAAAACAGACTTGATAGCCCTCATTCCATAATCATAATGACATTGACTGGACAATTGTTCAGACGTGAGCCGATAAATTTGGACAATCTTCTGAGAAAGACTTTGAGCCTGCTCGAATCCACACGAATACAGTGTAATTTCGGCCACCATTGTCGTGTTGGGCATTATCATGGCAACAGTCCTGAACAGAACTTTCAGATTATCCGGAATCTTATTTCTAGATCCTTGGTCTGGGTTCATGGTGATGAAAATACTACAGGTAGGATCAAGTTTAAGTGTTGCATCTTCAAATGTGAATTTAATAGCTTTCTTGCTAATGGCTCTTTGGATGATTAGTATTTGTTGTGCAACCACTGACAGAACTTCCAGATCAATTCGATTGAACTCATCGAAGCACGCCCAGGCGCCTGATTGAGCCAGTCCTTTGAAAAACTTTCCTAAAGCCTTGTAGTCAAGACCATCGGAACAGTTGAAGACAACACATTTCTTGGCCACAGCTTTGGCCAGATCTTTGCACGTTTCTGTCTTGCCTGAACCTGCGGGCCCTTCAGGTGCTCCTCCAAGGTTCAGCTTCAGAGCACCCATTAACGTTCGGAAACATCTTGTCGTCAGAGGAGTTACTATAAGACGAGAGACACTTCCTAAATACTCCATTCCATATGGAATATCTGTTGAGATCATAGATATGCATACAAATTCCTGCTTCTCAACATCATCAACCTTCCAGTAGTACCTCATTTGGGAAAACCACTCAAAGTCTTTAGGATCCGTAACTTGAGAGTCTATCAATTCTTTTACAATATTTTTCTTGTGAACATCCAGCACTACCAGGGATTCCATGGTAATCCGTTGGGAATCTGTCAATGTATCTCCGCGAATGAGTTTAACATTGTCATGAAGTTGCTGTCCTGATGCTTCATAGTATGTTGCCAATGTGCCCTTAGTTATGGCCTCTTCAACATCTGCAGTCCATGTAAGGCATGAAATTGTATGAACAATCTGCCCGGCCCATTTTAAGCACCATGTCTTTCTCTGTGTAACATAATAAATATCATAGGCAGACCTCAGTTGCTCCTCAATGCTTTCAAACATGACTTGTTGCACTTCCTTTAGCCATTTCTCCACTAACCCATTCGCTGTGGCGGGGTTAATTCGTTTCGTAAGAGGTACAATCTCCCCATCGATTGAGATCATAGCCATGATTTCCATACTCTGGTCAAACTGCAAAGCATGGATTCCATCGAAACATTTCTTTAAGTGTGGTTGCACTCTAAGTGGATCTTTAGTCTCTGACAGGATTTCCAAGAGTTCATCATTGGAGAGAAAGTAGAATCGAGAGAAATATTGTCGCTTTTTCTCAAGGTACATATTTAGACCTTTTTGAATTCCCTCGAGATCCACGAATGACTTTTGAAGGATCTCCAACATTTTGGGATAATCCGTGGCTTGAATGACTCTTCTCTCAGTTTCTGTGTGCTTCATCATCTTTCGCCAGATGCGATCAACAGCCTTGAAATTCCTGCCCTCTTGTGGCATTTGTCGCATGATATCCTCAGAGTTGAAAATTGGTTCTAAATACATCCAAGTTGATTGAACCTTTAGCCAGATATCCAAAATATCTTGCATGGAAATCAGTTTATCTTCCCAGTTGGTGGCTTTCTCTCCTAGAGCAGCAATGTACGGAGATCCTCTCATCGCTTGAGCTTTCAAGATATGATCATCCAAGAGTGTCTGAATATCATCCACTGATGCCAGGATATGCGTGTCTGAGTCCCGGTAAGGATTCACTTCGAACTTAACATCTGTCCATTCTGACTGCATTTGAAGGAGTTGATTGTTTAGTTCAAATTCCTTTCCAGCGGCATTTGAGATTTGCTCAAGTCTCTCCACAATTCTCATGATATCAACTTCAACAAGAGATGCAAGGGTTGAATATTTTTCAGGGTTTATCTCTTGTCCTAGTTCTTCGGAAATCTGATTCCAGTGCCGTTCCGAAAGTCCTTGACGACAGATGGCTTCCAATACGGGAAGGTAGATCTTAAATTTATCAATCTTCATTCTCACTTGTTCGGCAATTCTTTTAGCTTGAGGATTGGTGACGAGAGCCTTGGAAAGTTTGTAAATAACCTTACCCATACTCTCTACTTCCTCCCGTATTTTTTCAGCATCGAGTCCTTGAAAGGGGCCATAGTACCAAACTTCGTAGCAGAAGTCAAATTGGTAGGCGGTGTGCCAGAGTTTTTCAATGGGATCCATCTTCTCCATAAGTTCAACGAGTATTGGGAAGGATGACTGTTCAATTTGCAGGAGATTCTCATCTATATTTATGGCTTTTGCTTCTTGATTGCATTTCTCTAAAATACTCATTAGCCCATCCACAGTATCAACTTTTTCCTTGAGCTCATCCAACGTAAGGACATCTCGGATCTCCTTCATCCTGAAAGCATCCATTTTCTTCTTCTCCGTGAGCAAGTAACCATCAAATTGCACTTTTCTCTCACGCAATGCAGTCTCTAAGTTATCACGGACAACACTCAATCTAGCTGCGCTGAGATCTAGAACTTGCTCAAGTTCAGATGGCCAGAGGAATGTACGTGAATTGAGGTGAATATCATCGGCATCAAGTGTAGCATAATGAAGGAGAAACATTACCCTCTCAGCAACCAACTTAATTTCAGATTTTAAGACAAATAGTCTCTCGTCCCTGCACTGGTTCAAATAATTCTGCAGAGCTACAACCTCAGGAGTCTCCTTGGGTCGACCTCCGGCATGTAGGGAGATTTCTTCAAACTCATCACAGAGTTTTCGATTTTCCACTTGATTCTTGGTTCTGAAAAAATCCGTGACAAAATCCTTCATATCTTTTATCATCTGAGCAAGAACTTGGTTTACTCGACGGTTGTCCAACATGAAGAGGTTCAAGGGAACAAAGTCCCGCAGGTAATAGACTCCAAAGAGAAGTTCATTAAATTTCTCCATAAGATTCCTGAAAGCTGGTAATGAAGGAACTGCTTGTTGCAGGAAGAGATTTTCAGTGATTGCTTGCATTTTCCCTGCCAAAATTGGGAAATAGTAAGTATAGATGGGATAAAGGTATGTTGTTGGTCCGGTTTGGTTGGCAATTACAATATCTCGGACCTTGTCATAAAGCTGTAGCATATCAATATGATCTTCCGGGATGCAATGAAGAAAACCCATTTCTGCAGAAGTTTGTGACATAAAGTACTCCATGCGAGGAATATTATAGCCAACTTTGAGGATTTTCACGAAGTAATTGACGAAAATATCCGGCAGTTCCTCCATGTAAGGATCTACGAATATCTTTCCACTATGCCGGATAATAAAAGAGACTTTGTTGAGAGTTGGTGTGGCGGGTTGTTCGGGACTTGTGTCTAAGATATGAGGATCATCGATTTCTACGTTATACAGAATTGAATCCTCATTGGTATTGGTATCTAATTCACCACTGTACTTTCCAACAACGGATACATTGAGCGTCATCAGAGGCTGTCGGGTGAGTTTTACCTCTGTGTCTTCAACATTTCCACCAGCATACATTTCAATGGTCTCCATGAGATGGTCCACACTCTTTTTTATTAGTGTTTGGAGCTGATAAGACATGAGGGCGTGAATGGTTTTAAACATGATTGTGGCTCTGCCACCATGACGTGAGTGAAAGGCCACCAGATCAATCCAAAATTTGCGCATTTCATCAATTAAATCAGCTACACGAGGAAGCCAGTCATTGACAAGTATATCCCTAGCGATTACACAGCATGAGTGCACTAAATCACTCATGCTACCAGAGTCCAAGGGAACATCAGTCTTGTACATTTTCGTGGTGTCCACTATCAGCAGATCACTGTACAACTCATGCCATAGCATATTTATAGCTTGCAATACGGGATGAGAGATCATTAGCACCTGATCAAGGCGGTTTCGCGCTACTTGGATTGAACATTTCCAAGGAACTGGGGCCTTAATAGTGAAACGAGGAAAGTCTCTTGGTTCAGGTGTTAGTTCCAGCATATCCTGATTCTCTGGCTTCTGGAGAACACTTCGGAGAACATATCTACGAATTCCATTGCGGAAATCTTCTTCGAGATCCATGAGCAGGGATATGATTAATGTAGCTATTTCGGGTCGTATTTCATGGTTTGAGTTGAATAGAAAATCCATGAGTATTACTTCTGGATGAATATTAGGCCACAGAACCCTTTCGGCTTGAATAAATTTGTACGCATCCTTAAGAAAGCTGATCTTTGGATTAATTTTTGGAAGGATTTTCACGATGAGATATGACGGGTAATCCTGCACACGCAATACATTGATTTGCGCCATGAGATCAATAGATTTCTCTTGGATATCGGCAGTAAATTTTGAAAATTCCAGAGTCCACTGAGCAGTGTGTTTTCTAAGTGTCCATGTGCGCTGATCCTCGACATTTACTGGCATTATTGGGCTAAAATACTTCAGCTTCTCTCTTTCCTTTGCCTTCAATTTCATTAAGTACTGCTCATCGGACAATTTTCTCTTCTTGCTAGCTGGCTTGGATGTGGAAGTGGACGAGCTGGTCTGCAGCAAATAGATTAATTGACATTAATATTGTAATAATTATTCAGTGTAATTTAGTGCATAAATCATGCAAATGAACTTGACTCACACTGCGTTGATACTTAAAGAATGATCCATCTCTAATTTGCCTCTGAGTTTCTTCATACCGTCGAATTTCCGGCTGCAGTAATTCATTGATGACCTTGTTAACCTTCTCCAGCTCTCGTCGATACTCTTCGGGTGATTTTATGGCACTTTGAGGAAAATCTTTGATACGACGTGGTTTTATCTTGTCCCGATCAAAGGACAGATGAAATTTCTCCAAGGAAATGGTCTTAAAGGGTGTCACGGCATCAATCCGATCGTTGAACTTTCTTCTCAATCTGCGATTGATTTCAAAAATAGAGGGTTTTCTCACCTTGGAACTAACCACGATTTTCCGTGATTTTTTCTTCAGAAGCCAGAGAAGATGCCTGGTGACTTCTTCAGAAGGTTTCTGGGCACTGCTCTTTGTGTTATGGTAGAACAAATCGAAATCATTACGAAACTCGATGGGTTTGGCTTTCTTCAGCTTGTCTGGAAGAGGATTGTTGAATCGATAATGTGTATAAGGTGCTCTGCCACCCACCTGACTCACCGATTTGCTCCTGAATGAATGATCTGGCTGGATCCAGTGGCAAATCTCCTTCAGCGTACGTGAAGGCATAGAACGGGACATCCTCAATGTGTCTCTTAGTCTTCTTCAAACTTCGCGAAGCCTTAATTTTCATAACTCCTTTCGCCGGTAAAGCTTCACCTCACCCACTAAATATTTATTGTCTATCAACAAACACTTAACAACCACCCACGTCGGCGCTGTTTATACATGAGGTCAAGGTCGGATGGTAAAAGTGGAACAAAAAATCAATTGAAACGTTTTATTGTGAATCGCATGTACATGGTCTCTAGTGCAACGCCAACAGGACGATTGATATCAGAAGGAATACTGACACGAAGCTCACCGTGCCAGTGTTAGTAGGGTAATAGTGTCTCCGAAGGTTGTGATGTGGTCGGTGGTCTTTTATTAGGGACTCTGTAGTGCTGAAGTAGTATTCGCATGGCAGATCATCCAAGTTAAGACGCAGGATATAGACGAAATCAGTTCGTTCGCGCTGAATGAGTTCACATTGAAGAGAGTTGAGGGCCTCCTTGAAGATGGGACTCTTGGTGGAGCTGTGCAGACTGAAGACCCAATTCAAACGGCAGTCACATACTAAATTGTTGTCTGTGGAAAGAAACAGTGAGATTTTCCGTGAATATAGACACATTCATGGTAATTTTCCTCTCTTTCATATACATAATCTCAAGAGGCAAATCATTATTACATTTTCTCTGGTGTTTTATTGTGAATTAAGAGAAGAAGTCTTAATAGCCAAGCCACATTTCTCAGTTCTTAATTGGTCAGTGATCTTTCAACTTGTGTTTTTACAGTATATTTTTGCCATTTTTCCCTCATTCATACTTTACTCAAATTCCTCGAATGAGCAAGTGTTCTAATCATAGATATGTATATGTATTCTTTGCAAATGGAATAAAATGATTCTGGAGGTTAGTATCAATTGGAAGTTTTTGATTCAAATTTTATGAAATCTCAACACTTTTTAAATTAATCATATTATTAGTCGTACTATAAACACACTATGAATTAACATTACTTCTGATTTGTGGTGATTTAAGTGGAGAATAAATATTTTTTTACTAAATAAACTCACCGTTAAGATAAAATAACGTATTCTCTTTCTGGAAGCGTGAATACAGTGTGCTCTGTTCGTCCAAAAGAAAGGTGGTGAGAAGATTCTTTGCCAAATTGAGGTAGAAGAGATTCGAAAGTCCCTCGACTATGAAGGAGTCTAGCATTTTGAGCTCATTCTGCTCGAGATTCAAATATTGCAACTTCGTGAGACCGTTGAAAGTTCGTGGCGATATACTTTGTATTGCATTCTGTCTCATGTCCAAATATATGAGATTTCGAAGGTTGTCGAATGTGTTGTCCTCAAGGATCGAAATGTAATTGGCAACCAGTCCAAGTGTGGAGAGATTATCTAGACCTCGGAAGGTGTCTCGCGTTATGACGGAGATGAAATTGAAATCCAGCTTGAGAATGTCTAATTTCTCAAGTCCACTGAAGGCTCCATCGAGAATGCTGGAGATATTATTGGCTATAAGTGATAACACTTCTAAGTTGCGACACTTGTGGAACACGTTGCGATCGAGGAAAGTGACTTGATTGAAGGAGATGTTAAGCGTTCGTAGGCGACTTAGATCCGCAAATGCATAATTCTCTAGGGTGACAATCTGATTGTTCACCAGAGAAATGGTGTCCAGCTGAGAGAGGAAGGAGAATGTGTGCGATTTGATAACAGGAACACTGGCCGCTATCATGGTAAATGAGCGCAAATTGTGCAGATACTGCAAAGCTCTCATGGGCAGATAGTTCAGTTGTCCATTTGGCGCCATGGTGAGGATTAAATGGCGAATGTCGCTATTGATCTCAAAACCACTCCACGTTTGATCATACTCATAGAGATCATGCACATTGACCCAGCAATCTGCCGTCTTGTTGCCCGGAGTCGTGCAGTAGCACACGATCTTCGCGTCCATGCCGTGTTGATCAGATTCGCAGACATTTGGCCGGAAGTATCGCTTCCCAGACGATTTGAGATCTTTCAGATCTCTAAATCCCATCACTGCACCCAAACACACCATCACCACCAGCAACCCAAGTAATCTTCCACCGAACATTGCTGCCACTTTGCGAAAATGCACAAATTCACTCGATGCTCTTCCAGTGACGCGGATTATGCGACTGACGGCCCAGACAGTGAAAAGTAGTGTCCAAAGGCTCAACACTTGTCTCTCTTATTAAATTGATTATTCATCTTAAAAGTATTCACAGCGGCTACAAAGTGTGAAGCTGTGGTGGTCGCGCCTAAATGTTGGATTAATTGAAGTGGCACTGTCTTATCTTTTATCTCCCTCGCAATTCTCAAAGAGTCTCTCTTCTCTGTCAGGCACTACACATATAGCAATGAATATTCCTGGGCACTATAATGGAATTTTACACACAAACATGCTATTCTTCAGAAAATTTTCTTGTAATTTCACAACAGTCTAACCATCCAACTATTTTGATAGGAGAGTTGAAATTAAAACCAGTTCAATAGATTTAAAATTGATAAGTATTTTTGTGGTTTATTTTTTATTTCATTCCAGAAAACAAGCAAAGAATTGTACATTTATAAATTAAAAACAAATAAAAGATGTACTGCATTGTTTATTACAATTTTTATCATCATCCATCATCGATAATATGACATCACACAAAAAAAGACATTTTGTGCACTGCTGAGCATTTCAATTTTTAATCTATTCAGTATTTGCATAGTCAATTTCAACTCTGTTTAAAAGAATATAAGATCGCGATCAATTTTCGTGACTTGTGGGCGACCACTGTTCGATGATGTTGTTTCACTGAAGCACTTTACGCTCTAATTCTACTTAATTGAGAGTCGTCGTGGCGCAGCATGGGTAAAAGGTCAATTCATTTTATGGTGGATTCGGTGGAGAAAGTCAGTATCAATGAAGGACTTATCCTATTCGGTATGCCTTGCATATGAAGATTGATTGATTTATGCCATTTTTAGTGGGCTGCACGGGTCTTTGTTTTCTATCTCTTCGTCCTGATGGAACTGGAGCAGCACAAGTTCGTAGGTGACAATGGTTCCAGCGACACTGAGGACGAGTCGTCGAGTGAGATAAAAAAATTTCATTCCGGAAAGAGCGACAATATCATTGGTGACCTCTTCATAGAACCTTTTGACTTCCAAACACCATGATTCACGAGGAACCACGCGAAATACATGAATGGGAATTTTAGCCTGTTCATTAATCTCAGCAGCGTATAAAGACACAGCCAGAGTGCGGACAATGAGAAAGAGGAGCGAAAACCAGAAGTAAAATGTGTGAGTCAATGAGTCTTTCTCACTGTAAGTACAGATATGATTAGTTTTTGAGGTATGGAATCTGCAATGCACTTACGTGAGACTGTTGAGAAGCTGGACACAGATGAAGAAGAGATTATTGGAGAATGACACCAAAGTTATTCGACTTATATGATTATCCACATTCTCGCAAAGATCACACATTCGACGGTAAGCAGTTCGATGTCTATGCCAAAATTCCTCAGATACGACTTTTCCTTTGAACGCCACCAATTGCGTGTTAATCTTCTTGAATCCCGTCGATAATCCCACACTGATTAGCATCACAAAGCAATCCATATAGCTCCACACGAAAGTGCTGACGGTGTTAATCATTTGAGCGAAAATTCCTTTCTCCAAGCTGTATTTAGTGTAGGCAAAGAGCTGAGTGAACTCTTGCTTGAATAGTGCAGCCACAGGATCTCCTTTTTCCGGACAAACTTGAGCATAGTGAATTAATGTGGCCAAAGAAAGGGCGTGCTCAACTGCGAGGAAAAAAGAATAATTTTTCATCTGATTGTCCTTGAGAAAAGTTTTGATCAAACTTACTGAAAGATAATAAGCCAACAGTGATTGCCACCAAGAGGACTTTTCTTTTGAGATTAAGTTTTTCCGGGACACTCTCATAGTTATTGAAGAAAGTCTCGGCTATCTTCCATTCCTCCATGAGTGCAGGCCACTGCATTGCCAGCCTGATGAAGGCGAAAATGCAGTAGAGATTAGAGGTATAAAAAATCACTGGAACCACCTTCACAAATTCAAGTTTTGAATTGAGACTGTGATGAATTGTGAGTGCAGTGTAAAATCCGATGGCCACTAGGCTTATTAGACTGTAAATGGTCCTCAAGCTCATCCAGGAGAAGCGTAAATTGGTAGGATTTTTGCACGTGACGCCGATAACTGGCATGACTCCGAAACATTGTGCGACAAAGAGGATTTTTGTCATGGCCTGGTGAAAACTGCCTTCATAATTCCACGGGCGATTATTTTTAAGACTGTAGAATATATCTGACTGGGAATTTGCCTCGAAGGGTCGCTTTGCCAGAGCATCGATTGACGTGGAACTCACGACGGGCGTGAGAAATCTATAAATGAATAAGGACGTTTTACTAACTTATAGTATGATTTCATGTTTCATACCTTATTGTTTTTATTTGATTGCTTTTTAAGATCTTCTTTGGAAACTTTCCCTCCCACGCCATGCGGCGGGGTATTTTAAATTTTCCGGACTTCCTTGACGATCCACTTCCCATATTTTGGAATAAAATTCAAGTGACACTTCTCTTCAAAATCAAATTGTCCACTCATTCACTCATTGGATGTGGAAGTCGACAAATGGCTTTGTTTACAACATTTTACTGGCCACTTCCTAAACATTGCACTCGACACGCAATGGCTTTCAGGAATTCGCGATCTTATCACACCGCAAAATGATAAACATAGTTAGAGACATGTTGTAGTTGAACAAACATATTTTCCACACGGCCACACAGTTGTTTGGTGATAGAAGTTATTCGCAAGGATCTGAACTTGGCGAGTCTAAAGTACCATTTTCATTGAATTGCATCAGGACAAGCTCATACGTGACAATTGTTCCAAGGAGCTAAAATGGAAAAAAAAAATTATTAGATATTTAATAAGTTGACTATAATTTAGGCATTACTGAGAGCAAGAAAGGTCTTGTAATAAAAAAGTATCCATTTCCTGTGAGTGAAATTGTCTGGTTATTGACGAGCTCTAGAAATCTTTCTGTCTCCACATTCCAGCCTTCCGTTGGTATTCTGCGAAGTATTTTAGCAGGTATCTTTGTTTCTGTGTGAACTTCTGCGCCAAAGAGGCACATTCCCACTGTTCGGCCAATGAGATAAAATAGGGAAAAGAAGAAGTACACGCCGTAAATCCATGGTTCCATGTTGCTAAAAATTATATGATTGTAAGACAATGCATTCTTTCATTTAGCCCTACTCTCTCCTATGTTCACTACTGTGCACGTACTTGAGGCTGTTGAGGAGTTGAACGCAAATGTAATAGAGATTGGAGAAGAAAGCCTGAACAATAACATGAGCAAAAGTTTTATCCGTCATTTCAATCAGACTGCAAAGAACTTGATAATCCTTCTTTTGCTGTACCCAAAAGGACACTGGCATGCATTTTCCCTCTGCAAGTTTAAGTTTGGTGTTATATTGCCTCACAGTTGAGGAAATACTTATGCTGATGGCCATCACAAACATATCCAGGAAGTTCCAAATGAATGTCGCATAGAGCTGAGTAATTTGAGCAAATACAGCTGTAACTTCATGATATGGCACAACAGTGAAAATCTGCGGAAAAGACTGCTTGAAGTATCTCTCTACAGAGTCCCAGATTCCGATGCAACTCTTGGCCTTGTTTATCCCAGCAATTATAGACAGCACTTCTTCTATCATCGTGAGAACTGTGACAATGATCACAAGAATAAAGAGTTTTTTCTTCGTAGGGATGCGATTACATAATTCTTCACAAGATGGCATAATTCTTTCAACCTCCGTCCACCTTGCTATGAGTTTGGGCCACTTCTTGGCCATGCGAATGAAGTGAATGCAGGCCCAAAAGAGAAGGGAATAGTTCAAGACAATCACGAGTTTCTCATAGGCTAAACGATTGGTAATTGATTTTCTCAAAGACAACAGAAACATTATCAGCATTGCCAGACAAATGATAAGCGAGTATAGCATGCGGAATGATTTTATGCAGCACTGCAAACCATCTATTCGGTCTCCAAGAGCCCCTCTTACAGGGAGCAGCGAGGCACATTGCCCTACAAAGATCACTGGCTTTAGACTTTCATGGAAACTGGCGTTGAAGCCTCTGCCATCGGCTTTGCGAGCTTTCACTTTTGGGAATTCCTCAAGGAAAATTCTCTGTTGCCAATCAACTGGCATAACTTTCGCCTTTTCAGGCATATTGCTAATCCTCTCAAGTGTGTGTCTCTCTTGGCTTATAAGCGAAGAACTTCCGAAAGTCTTATTGACGGAGCTTTTATAATTAAGGAGATCCGCTGTGTCATTCTGCTGAATGTTCACACTGGAGAAAGGCGAGTACACACGTCCATCATGGCAAAAAGAATCCTTTATGTGACAAAGAAGACATCGATTGGCGACATCTGATGAATATTTAATTGCATTAACACACACACACACTCACACTGGAGGAATACAAGTAATATTTCAAAAATGTGATTCAGAATAGTTTCATTCCAAGTTGTCTCTACTCACCGGCCAGGAAATGAGATTAAGACCGAAAAAGTCTTCATCTTAGCTGCAATACCGAATTCTATTTCAATCCTGCTTTCTCTGTTGTTGTCTGTAAAAGTTTCCTTCAAAATCAATGTGACTAATTAAACGAAAAACTGTTTATCAACGCAAGTTGAAGAAAAGCTACTCTATCGAATGGCGTTTTATATAATTTATTTTCTTTTTCTTCTTGGATGTTAAATACAAAATTTTCTCATTTTATCAAGCTAACATTTTCTGATCTTCCCATCTATCTGACTGTCCCCTTCAACCGCATTTCGCACCTTCGATAATTCGCGACTCTCACACCTGACTTTAATGAATCTTTCAATTGTTCTCTCTCTCTGCTGTTCTTTTCCCGTCACGAATATTTATGTTAGCTTGATCATGTACATTTTTCATGCTTCTCTTCAATTGATTTTCTCTTCTTCTTCTTCTTCTTCTTTCATTGTAACACAGTTCTTTCAGTTACTTACTGATGTTTAGCAATTCTTCTCTTATCTTCGTCCACGAACTTGTGTCTCGTGTAAAAGTCTATTTGTATTGGATTTTCCTGTGCAATGATGTTCTTGCAATCTTTTTTTCCTCCTCTTCCTACAATTTATCATCAAGGGTTAATCATTTGCTATCTCATTCGTCATTAATGCAATATCGTCTTTTATTCTCATCAGTGTAGTTTTGTTTTTTTTTTAACGTATTTCTCCCGTACACGAGCATTCATCATCTAGGAAAGAAAAATAAACATTGGAAATCGAGGAGAATCATCCGAGATAAAATATTCTTTTATACGGTATTCGTCTTAATTTTCACTTTTTTATACGTTTAAAACAGATCTCTCCCGCCATTCTCAGTATCGCAATAATGACAATTTATCTGCATTGTTTTTTCCCACTTTTCCCAGTAACATTTTCCCCATTAATCTTTCTCATCAGCATCTCTAGACACTTTCTTTCACTCTACAGAAATTTTTTCTAAGACAATCAGGATTTGCAAGGGTTTTTGTTGGTAAAAGTTTTATCTTTTTTGCTTTCACGTTCACAGATTGCTTCTTGTTTCTCTTGTTTTTCATTGTTTTATCATTTATATATAATTTAATGTGTTCCATTTTGTATTTCAATATCATTCTGAATTATGATATTTGCAGCATCGGCAACATTCACCCACTGTTTTTTTTACAATTTAATTGGGAGAAAATATTCTCTGCTCAACTGAATACACTCAACATTTTTTTTCATTTTTATCCTGCTCCCAAAAATTATTATTAGTGTTTTGTCTGATATTTTCATCGTCGTTCTTATTGTTTTGTGTTTTGTTTTTTTTTCCTATACATAAAGAGGGATATTTTTCTCCTTCTCAAATGAGTTTCATGCATGACATTTGCGTAAAAGACAGCTTTCATTCTCGTTCCCACAAAAAAAAATCTTTTTAACGTGAAATGAAATGAAAAATGATGGCGAAATGAGTGAATTATAAACTTTATTACTTTATCCCGTGTCTTCTTGCAACATAATGTGCAGAAGAAGGATATTTGCTGTTTTAAATATGCATAATAATGTATATAAATGTACCTTATTCAAACCATACAGTTTATATTATGAATTTCGTCGCATTCAATATTATTCTTCAAATAAGATGTCTTCTCAGCAAGGAATGTTCTCTAAAAAAAAGTGCTTTAATGATTTGTTTTAATTTAAGAGATTTTATCTTTTTGCATTATCTATCAAATTGTTACTGCTCCGCTGTTTCTCATTTCCTATCTTTAAGAGTAACTAAAAAAAAAACGAAATGAATTTTGAAGTTATTGCTGTATCGTTTTTTTTTTATTAATCGAGCAAAATATGATTCTTTGTGTATGCAAACTTTTGCGAAATTATATAATTTTATCACTACAAAATAGTGTTTTCTGCAACTGTTTTGTATTATGCATTACCCATTTTTTTTCATCTGTATAGTTTCTCCCTATCTAAGGCACGAAGAAGCTTTTTACTTTTTCTCATAGACATTTTTTTTAAATGTGCTTCATTTTGCTTTTATCCATCAAAACCAGAAAACCAAATATAACATTTACGCTGAACGAAAAGACATTGAATGGTAAGCTACACAAAGTTATGTTAAATCTCTGTAACATTTTTTTTTTCACATTTCACTGGTTTTCCTTCGCTATTTGTGTTTTGTTTTATTTTCTTCAATATTTTGTTGTCGAAGCAGCTTTTGTATCATCATCTCTTACATATTTTATATCATACTATTTACTCATTCTCAACCTCTTAAAGGATAAAATCTCATTACAGGAAAATGACAAAGAATGAATGCAGTATTTCTCATTGTAAGGCGATAAATGTTAATTCTTTCATTTTCCAGATTTTTCCATATTTTTTTTGCCCCCTTTTCTCTCACCATCGCGATTTATCTGTACAGCAAAAATCCGTCTCTGTTGCATCTCTCTACGCATTTCTCCATCATCCTTCCAGTGAACAGTGTAAATGTTTTGATGTAGGGGATGTACTATGCTCAATGTTGTATTGACTCTATGAGATGATCTCGCGAGAATGAGCTTTTATAAGGTGTGTATGAGTGTGTTTGTGAAGGAAAAGAAATATGAGAGTTCTATCATTTGGTGAAATGTCCTAAATATGCGCCACCGCCGGACACGCCACTGCCCCCCAGATTGCCACCTGCCATAATACTCACGCCATTCGACTGGCTGCCCACGTTCGCCGCCACAACATTCATCCCTCCGCCGCCTGCACTCGCTACCATTGCCACCCCGCCGCCCGCCGTCGCAACTGTCGTCGTCGCCCCGCTACGCCCCACTGCCCCCATCTCACTATGCTACTGCGCCGGATGCTGGTGTCCCATCAGCACCTGAATGTTGCCGTGCGGAGGCTGGCCCGTACCCTGGAAGTACTGTGGCATGAGCTGGGGCGGCGCCGTGATCACGGGGCACATCATCTGGAACTGCGGCGTCTGCGGGCCAGTGGGCGTGAAAGCGGGCGGTCCCCCGCCAGCAGGGGACGGCTGCGGGTGATACTGCTGATGCGGCTGTCCAGGCGATGGCGTCGTCGACGGGGGCGTCGGAGCCAGATATTGAAGAGGTGGCTGATGCGGTGCATCGGAGTACATTCGCATCTGTACACGAGAAAGAACAGAACACACATTCACAATGTGTTTGTCAATTCCACAAGGACAACACCTCACTGATAAGGGCAAAACACTTAATTTCAAGGCTTGCAGGTGTCAGTCATAAATTATGAACTGTACATTGCGCATCTTAATATAGACACAAAGAGAATGTTTTTCACACCCTTTCCCCTTAAAGTCTTCGGAGCATTGCTCTATTATTCAAAGAGAATGTGTAGAAACGAATTTTTAAATCGATATCCTTAATTTAAATATACACATGTATATATAAGCAAGATATAGGATAATGCTGTCGTTTGCGCACGCAATTTTCCAACAGTACTTCTCTCATTTTCTTGACACAACATAATCACTGATGAAAATTTCAAATTACTATTTCCTCTCTTCACTTCCACGTGTCAATTGAAACTTTTCTGCGAATTTCACGATCAAAGCAAAGGGAATTGAACTATTTCTAAGAATTTCTGTATAATGGAAGACTTACCATGTGTTGATAAGGTTGTGAATGGAATTGTTGTGGGTGATGCGGAGCTTGTGGATACGGCATGAACTGTTGAATGGGAGCTGCCGCCAAAATCGGTGTTCCTGTAGCCGCTTGCACCTGAATTTGCGATGCTTGAACTTGCACTGAAAATGAAGAAAAGCAATTATTGTAGACAAAATAGAATGTCTAAACTAATAAATTTTCACCCTCTCGACATTAACCCAATTTTAAGCCAATTCGTGAACACCTTTCCTCTCTCAACTTTTCGTGTGAACAACAGGTAACAATAAATTGTCTCGTGAACAAATCACAACAATTTGTGTTCAGAAATTATTCAAAATGGTTATGAAACACAAATATTAGGCGCATTTTTGCTTCATATTGTTCATCGTCATCTTCATGGTGTTTATGTGTTCCAAAGACAAATCTCTTTGGTCTCCTATCAAAATGTATCTGTTCAACTATTCTCTCAATATCACCTGGATACGACAAGTTCCGTCGATCCCATCTCGGTGCACTCGAACTGTATCCCACTTCTGAAGCCGCTATTCAAGAGACAAAGAGACAAAAAATGGTTTGTGTTACAAAATAAACTAATTGTAGTGTGTTTGTGTCTAGTATTTCATCTTTCGTTTCATATTATCTCTCAAAAAAAAGTGATCATACATAAATTCATTTGTCATATTATTATTTGTTTCAAAATATAATAAACTAATATGTCTGTCTTCTCAATGGATTGGTCTGTATAATGTGTGTGCAAAAAACTCTGTTATCAGGCAATTGACAGGCGAGCGCCTAATGAATTTCATAACCATTGCAAAATAATCAATACAAAGGAGTATAAAGACAAGTGTGATATATAATAATCGGTTTAAATTAATGCGTCAATAAAATTATTATAAAATATATGGGATAAAATTGTGAATTAGTTTAGTTTTCAAATTAAACTTGTGAAGCTTTGCAAAAAATTTCACGATAAGCAAATTTGAATTAATAAATAACGTAGCATATTTCAACAAATAGAATTTTTCTCTACGAAATTAACTCAGATAATAACGAAATTTGTAGGTATTTATAAAAGAATTGCGTTCTTTTCTTTACATATTAATAAGTAATTTTACACATATGTTAAAATGCCCCTCAACAGTTATAAATTCCTTCTGAACTCCAACCTTTACCCTTCAAAAATAGTTAAAAGTCCCCTTCATTTATACAATAACGTTATTCGATTGTTTTAGCATCTATGGATTCTTGAAGATACTCGGAAATGTACTTATAGTGAACTAATCAACATAACTACCGCTTATTCTGAGTTTCACAGAACTTTTAAAATCAAAAGTTAGTACAAAATCACCTTTCAAAACTATTCAATAATTTTTACACTGTGAATGTTTCTTATTAACTTGTCCATTCCCAAAACAATGGATTACAAAAATCAACACTCAAATTTATAACAAGACGAATGCGTGATAGATTTGTTACAATGTCCATTGAAGCCTACCTACACATGAGATATTTTAATTCTATGAACGGATCGCAATTTAGTAACTTCTCGCCATTAAAACCACCAATCGTGTATTTTAATATTAATCAAAAAGAAATTCTAAGTAAAAACTGCAAAAATGAATTTTATCATATAAAAAAGAATGAAAATCAAAACGGAAAACTCTCAAGTGTGAAAAATAATATTGAGAAGTTATAATAATTGGATAAAGAAGCCTCTATTCTCATACCATTGCACAACATTGCATACCAAAACTAATTAATATGAGTTAAAAATATTCAGCTTAGGGATTAATAAAATATGTTTATCTAGTGTCATTTCATGCGGAATTGTGATTAAGTGATTGTGGGGTAACTCTCTCCCACCAATACCGAAATAATCCAATCAAATGCATGTAACAACTCAGTACAGCTAGCAGTAATAATGAAACAGGACTTACTCTTGCGATATCTACTCGGTTGACCAGCGTGGTGATGCTGTGAAGTCTGAAAGGGTCCCTGTTGAGTCGGCACCACGTATGTGGGGATCGTCATTAGGGATGTGGGCGCTGTGGCCACATGTTGGGCAGGCTGCGGATATCCGCCGGCTGCAGCTGAGGCCGCCCCTTGAACAATTGCCGGCCCTGGCGTCTGGGGTGTGTGTGGCCGCGACGGATTCGGCGTGCTCGGACTGCGTGGCGTGAATGGCTTGGCAGCCGGATTAAGTACGAACTTCTTCGTTCCCGCCGGCTTTTCTGGGGCCCCAGAATTTACGTCTGCAGGGCTCGCAGACACCACACCGCACTGTTGCACCTGCTGTGGCGGTGTGGTGGACGCCGATGGAGCGCCAGACGAAGGAGTCACGGCCAACGGCGGCTGCGACTGTGGCACCTGACCCTGCGGTGCCTGCTGCTGCGTCGGCGGCTGCTGTGGCGATTGCACCGTCACTACAGACGGCGGCATTGCCTGCGTGTTTATCATTTGTGGCGGTGGCGCCATTTGCTGCATTTCCTGCGGAGGAGACGGTGGCTGATGCTGAGATTTCGCTGCTGTCGCATTGTCTATCACAGCAACTTGTTGTGCCTGCGGCGGCGGCTGCTGTGGCACCTGCACCGGCATCTGAGGCGGTGAATGATCCGACTGAGGATGCTGCATGAGCGAAGACAATGAATTAGAGAACATATGCGAGAGAGAGAGAGAGAGAGAGAGTGGTCAGGTGAGCTCACCTGGTGTGCAGACGGCGATGGTACCAAATGGAAATTCTCCTTAAAGTTCCTAAACTCCTGCACTTGCTCCTCACGCGAACGTGGCGTCCTCTGTGGCTGCGGCGGTGCTGACACTAACTTCTGCGGCACCGGAATAATCTGGTGCACTATCCCCGGTGGCGACATGGCCTCACCGGGACCCGGAGGCGGTGGAGCCATGTGGGTGGCCACAACATGAGCATGAGGATGAGCCACATGCATCGGCGGTTTCCCCATGGTCGGCATCTGGCTCTGGATCGCCTGGGGTCCCACCATCGAGGGCGGTGGCTCAGTATAGGCAACTTGGGGTGCGGCTGCCTGTGGTTGGTATTGCTGCCGAATATTCCGCGGAGGCATTTGAGCTTTCTGTTGATTTCCGCTTACATTAGCGCCATCGCCATTCATCTTAGAGCCCACCACAATCGGAGGAGGTTGACTGATTCATGCAAGAGGGAGAAGAATATCACAGTGTGAAGAGTATCATATTTTCAAAGACAACACATATCTATGCTGTGTTATGTGATATGCTAACCTTATATTACACATGTCAAGTACACACAATTGAGTTTCACTTTTGCTCTAATACATATTATTGCCGAAATAATATAACCTCTTCATTCCATTTATCGAAAACAATAAGCTTTAAAGTTTGTCAAAAACTTTCAGATGTATTTGTAGTGTCGGTATGGCATTTTGGACTAAAAAAAGCAACGGCGCAACTCTTTTTCAACTTGCAATTCAGAAATGAGGTCAAGAATGAACTAACATTCTCAAATATGTATGTAATAAAACCCTATTTTTGTCTTATTTTCCAAAAAAAACTGTATCTACTTTCTCGTTGTCTTCTCACATATAGTCAAATATATTTCTAATAATGATGCTTAATTGTGGATTTTCTAGTTGAGTATTTGTTTCTGCGTTATAATAACTTCAGTACAAAAATACACATAATGTACATACTTATAAACTAAAGGAATTATGAGGAACTATAATGTAAAAGATGGATCAATGACACTCATTAAACAACTTCAATTCCAACATTAATTCACATCTAAGAAAGTGAACCCTTTAATTGCTCATATTGTAATATTCTATATGCAAAATCCTCCCCAAAACCCACACTGGTAATTGGCAAACAAGCTGTTATGCGATAAAAACACCCTACCTGTGCATATATGGTGGTTGAGTGTGAATATATTGTTGTGGAGTCGCACTTATTTGGGGTTGCTGCTGTGACTGCGGCGGCGGCGGCTGCTGCTGAGGCGCCGCCTGAACCATGCCTATCGCCTGGTAATTATTATTCTTGTGTGGTGCCTGTGGACTCTGCGGTATCTGAGGCCCATTATTGTTGCTTGGCGGTGGTGTACTTCGCACTAGCTTGCCAGTTGACTGTCCCTTGCGCTTCGCCGGAGGCACATATTTCTGTGTATTCGTTGACGGTCCCTTTGACACATTTGCATCAGGACTACTTGTGCTAGGTCTCTCCACAGAGGCAAAGGCCGCCTCTTCGTCACCATTCTCAACATCCACGCGCTCATTGTGCATCGGATGATTTTCAATTTCCTTAGCTATCTCCTCAGCTTTTGCCTCTGCATCCCTGAAAATGGCCAATAGATTGTCGATAAACTCTTTTATCCAATATTAAAGAAAAAAAAAGAGAAAGCATTACTTAAAATCTTGTGTATCCTTCTTCTGGATTTGAATAGTATAGCCCGCCAACGATTGATCAAATGTCGACTGAACACCATACATTGTCTCATTCTTGTGGAACATGTCATTCGCATCCCAACCATTTGCATTGCCATCCAACTCAAGGAGGAACTCCATCTCGCCATTTACAGTGCCACTGGCCGGATCCCATGGCTCCAGTTCCTTATCTTCACCTCGAGATGAACCTATTAAAGCAGAAGTCACGGACACATTCTTATTAACAGTATTCTCCAAATCAGCCTCTGCACATCAAGCTCAAATTTCCTAATACTGGTCAATTTGCCACGGTTATGGAACAGCATATTTGAACACTATAAACTAATATTTGAACGACTGTGGAGTAGAGGCCAAAAACCATAAAGTTACACTTATCTACACTGTCTATCCTTTCTAAATCATTGAGAAATCTCAGCTATGATGCGTTGAGCATATGAAAACAAATCATAAATTACACATAACGCTCTTGATAGTAGATTTTTTCAGTATCTGCTTTATATATTCCAACTACACTTTTTTTCACTCATAATTCATATCACTGATTAATGCACAATTTGTCTGAAGCACCTATGAAATGCACTTTTATCAAATATCAATGGGACGCGTTCATCTTCTCGTTCTGTGCACAGTAATTAAGGATGGGGTGCAGGGCAAAAAAGTGTGCGATTCATTAAATATTTTGACTCTGAGGACGACGACAAGTGCCCCCAAAATAAATAGGTCAGTTTGTTAGCACACAATCATGGTGGATTTGGGCGAATTTGTCGTGAGATTTTTTTGCTGTGCAGGGAATTGGACCGAGTACTCACCGTTGCACCGTGAAGAGATAGCAGAGTCCGTCTGGAAGTAGTCCCGAGTGGCATAGTCTAAGTCAACATCTTTGGCTAGAATACTGACGATGTCGGTCGATTTGAAGATTAGCGTATCCACCACGGTGGATGCATTGAAGTTGGCCTCCTCCTTCTCTGGCGCCTCTACGCGATGTGCCATCTCGAGGACAACCTGGAAAGGTTGGCAGGTGGGGTGTGAGGAGTGCAGGGAAGCTTAGGTCACTGCGGGTTTACCTCAAACTGTGGCGAGAATGTCCGGAAGATGCCCTCAAAGGTGACCCCAGAGCGGGTCAGTAGCTGGACCGTGTTCCCAACATGCGAAGTGGCTGCGTGCATGAAGTAGGAGTTGTTGTAGACGCCATCCGTGGCTACCACCGACCGCGACCTCTGGTGCAGCCTGAAAGGATGGGGCGGATAATAGTACGTTGGGGAAAAATGTGTCAAAGGCATAGTTCCTCCCGAAAACCACTGACAACCCTCCGTCATCGATTTCTGAACTTTGGCCTCCTTTCTCTCTGGAGTCGCTCTCCTCTTTCGTGAGCAGCCAATGCACCACCAGCCACCCTCTCTCTCGCACCCACTGCACCCGCCCAGCGCGCCCTCTCGCTCCCACTCTCTCCTGCTCTCCCTGACACACTATCGCGAGCGCCACTCCGCGAGAAAACTATTTTTGGGTGTGCAGAGAGGCCCTCCAACGATGGGCGCCCGCTGGGGCTCATCCGATAACACATTATCGCAACGGAGATTGACCCACTTTCTGGTGGTGCTGGTCATCATTTCACTATGCCCAGGATGAGATTGACACGCGAATTACTTAGGTCTTCGCACTTCTCTCTCTGCGACCACTTTTCGCCACTCTCTCACTCTCACGCACACACACGCACTCGCTCATGGACGCGCGCTCGCTCTCGCGGAGAGAGCGCCCTCTGTGGGTGTGTTGGTGTCGAGCAGAAGAAAGAAACAGCAATGGCGTCTAGTCTGTCAAAAATCATGGGCCACTGGATGGGAAATTCGTCCAAATAGCGCCACGAAGGTGATTTACACATCCTTCAAATTTGCTTACACCGCTTCTATGTCTTCTTATGACTCTAGCTGGGGACATTCCACATCCCAGAATGGTCCCAAAAGTCAGTAAAATTGGAGAAATCTGGGCAAATTGAGCCATCACTGCAGCATTCAATTTACATAAGATGTTGCTGTTCCCACGAAAGACGTGGACTTTTTCCATCACCCATGCCCAAAACCACCTTCTGAAGCCGCTTTACAAAACGCAGCGATCCTTTGGGCACTAGCATAACCGCCTAATAAGCCACCAAGAGAGAATTTATGTTTACCTTGTGGGAACTTGGCGATTTTTCTTCTTGTTCATGTCGTCTGAGGACTCAGTGAAATGCGGCACCCGTGGGAAGCCTCTCGAACGCGTGGAGACCGGAATTTTGATCGTGTTTTCCTTCAATCAAACTGCAACGGGTAAGCAGCTGTTGCAACTACGGCAATTGCTGTATTCTTCTGGAGCGATTACACCAATTTTCTATATAGGATAAATCTTAAAAACTCTCTTGATTTTAACACGGGGCGAATAAATCCAAATGCCAAGTGTGCCAGACAGAGATGGCACTATACTAAACGCGATGGGGCGACTGTCAAAACAGCCAACCCGACTAGCCAGTCTTTATGGATAATGTGCTATAAAAGAAGAAGCACTGCAGGGACTCTACGATATTCATACATCTGTAAATGTTTTAAAAACCTTTTCATTTATTATTGAAAAGGAAATAAATGGGTTTGAGGTAGAACGGTACTTATTGTACCTCTGAAATAGAAAATGCGTATTAACATAATAGAAATTATTATTTTGTGCTTACTTTGTCAGGCAATGTTCGGTCGGGATATATTAGAGTTGTCAGACAACAAGAAACACTGGCGAGAAAAAGTGGCAGCTGACGGGAAATCTGAAGATTTACTAAGAAAATATAAAATTCACGGGGAAACCATTCCGTTGATGGTCCAAAGCAAATAAATAAATACAAATACATAAATAAATACATTTCTGAAGAGTAAGTTCATTGTTTCGAATTGACAAGTAAAAAGTTTGATTGGCCCTTTTTCACAGGATCACATTTATATGTATTTACCACAGAAATTTCTTGAAACTCTACTCTGAGGGAATTTATTAATATAAATTTTATTTCGTCATTTATGGAGTATAGTCTATTATATATATATATATTATATATATAATAAAACGGTTTTTTCGTTGATATACAATGATTGTACCCTTTCTGCAAAGTTCTATCGTTCTATCTGGTACGAATAGCTGGACATGCGTAATAAACTCCAGTCATCTACAAACTTGAATATAAAAGCGTGAAAATGTTGCTCTCATGATCAGTAATAAGAGCAAGCGCAACCAACAGCTTCTCCGGAATCATGTCTCACAACTTTGATCAGGAGTTTCGGGATTTTTTCAAGAAGTTTGATGAGAAGATCTTGTCTGAAAAGGATATACGCAAAATTTGTGGACCTCTCATAAAACATTTGCGGATAAAAATGTTGAAGAAATACAGCTTAGTTTTCTTCGTCCTGGTGCTCCTGTGGGGCACCTTGCAAGTGGCAGTTATTAACTGGAATATCGTGGCTATTGGGCGACTTCTTCTGATTAAACTACTTCCTATGTGGAACTGGACGCATTTGCATTACACGAAATGCTTGCTTGAATATCCGGTAGAGACTCTGGCGCCCAAAACAAGCAAGCATGATTTGAGTGAGAAAATTGATTGCTCCGTTTGTGAAAATATAGGTGAGAATCTCATTTTTCACTAGAAATAAGAAAATGGAAAAATCTGAATAATATTTTGATGCAAAATTTTACTTCAGATACAATTTACACGTCCTGGGAAATGGATTATACTCACCTTAGTGAGGAGTTTCTAGAGCGAGGACTCCCGGTGTTGCTGATAAACTCCCACACTGTCTGGCCTGAAGACAATTTCACGGATCATTTGCTCACACTGGTGCCTCTAATGGCATCAACACCCTGCGAAATGAGCTCCAATTTGATTGTGCATCGTCTGGCCAATCTGCAAGAGCTTGTTGAGCGTGTTCAGAGAGCGGAAGGAAAGTCGTGGTTCTTTCACATTCGCAATTGCGATTTAAACGCTGTTAAAGCGTCGCGTCTTATCGCCTCGCGACCATCTTTCTTCCCACCCCATCTGGAGCCCGCGTATTCTTCATGGATCCTGATGTCGCGTCAGTACGACCATCCAGCGCCAAAGGAAATCACTTTGGAGGGAATCATACTTGTGCGACAATTGCAAGGACGTGGTTTGTTTCGTATCAGTGGCAGAAGCGCATGCCTGGAGGAGTGTGGACAGTATACAGTTGAGCTGAAGAGTGGCGAGGCGTTACTCTTCACCACAGATCTCTGGGAACTGTCTTACTTTCCCAGTGATTCAGTGAAGAAGTCCGTGACTTTTATCACGGAGACACACTTCGAGGTATGAACATTTTGTTTTCAAACTGAATAGAGTAAAATGAGCTCAATAAATAATAGGAGTGATTAAAATGAGTTACTTAAATTCGCGTTATAAGTGTATTGACAGTGTGATTTGTGACAAAAATTTAAACTAATAATTCATTTGATTTATGTACATTTTTGTATAACAAAATTAAAAACAGTGACTAATAGTGATATCTTTTAAATACGTTTATTTGTTAGCTTAAAAGTGAGACAGTCCATCTCTTTGCGCATTTCTCATTAAAACAAAATACATGAATGAAATTATTGCTTCAAATTTTTAAAAATTGTATATGAGTAAGGAAAACCTTGTAAAAAATAAAGTATTGTAACAATGTCGAAAATGATTGGATTTAATATTTTTAATAAGTGGTTGTGTTGGGATTGCAAAAGTCGTGTAGATTGATGAGAGAGAAATATTTTATTTTATTATATAGTATTTTATTTTTAATTATAATGGTATTTCTTGTTCATCGTAATTTCATCATCATTTTTTCTTGGTGCTGTACAGAGATACACGGGTTAAAAGTGATCCATCAGCACAGTAATTGTTTGTTCTAAATACATTCGATAGAATATTTTTGTGACTTTTGTAGAGACTGGAACTGTAAAAATAATAGTGGTCGCTTGGTAATGTTTTGTTATTTTGCAAAAATTTGAGGAGAAAAAAATCTGTTTTGCCATCGGGTGTATCTAATTCTAGTGGTTGATGGATCACAAGTCCCTGTGAGTTGCAGGGTTTCTTCTATTAGTACGAATTTCTCACTTCTTAATCTTTTAAATTTAACATGATGACCATATTCTTGACACAAACTGTCCGCTTTTTTATCATTTTTATACAACAACTCTTTTTTTTTGCAGCTACCAACTTTTCCATTACATTACTTGTTCAATTTTTTAAGCTAGTCTTTATACTTAAAATCAATTGAAACAATTTGTCAGCCTAAGATTTGTCTTTTATAATTACACAAGTTTTACAAAGTCAAGCATAAAGTCATCAATTACATTTTCTTTTTTAAAGTTATATTTTTGGGTTTTCACTTTCAATAATCTATATATTTTCCTCATCCTCTCGTTTTTTTTTCTTTATCATATTTATATATATTTTAGTGTATTAAGTAGTGTTGTGTTTCTTGTGTTACGCCAACTTTCTGTATTATGATCACCTTTTCCTCTGATTGTTGCTTTCTTCTCTGAAGCACTTCCTCTTGAAACATCTCTGTCACCTGCTCTTTTCTCGCGTGTCAATCAAAAATTTTCTTTAAATCGTAAAACTTAGTAAATTGATATCATTTTATCACTAAAAAATTTTTCATTTTTCCACCATTACAATTACTTCACTATATGCCTTTCATCAGATTTTTGGTTTTGTCTTTTTTTCACTTTGTATACAAGAAGAATTACGACGAAAAGTAATATTTAGGAAAAGAAAGAAGTTTAAAAGTATGAGAAAATATTGCGATCTCTTTGACAATATGATTACGATTGTTTAAGAGTTAGCTTTATGTGGTGTTGACAACGAATTTTTCGAGTGAAGTAACAGAATGTCATTTGAGAAGGCTTTTCGATTAACGAAAGACCTTCAGAAATGAGTTTCTAATATGCTAATTTCGAATTTTTTTTCAGCTTGGAAGAGATATTTGCCATGATTTTTTATTAGAGGAATATGTGAAAGTGTTAAAGAAAAGTTGTTTACACTTGGTTAAATTTTGCGCAGGAATTGATAGCGAGGAGATACTATACAATTTATAAATATGTTTAATGTATATAATTTTGTTCTTTAATTTAAGTGGAAGGGTGATTCTTTGCACAATCTTATGGATTTCGGGCCTTTCACTAAAATTTCCCGATTTTCCTTCATTTCATTTATCCTCATAATAATAATCATCATCACCATCTAGGTATTAAAGGTGTGGTCGCGGGGTAGCTTTGATATGTCCGCGTATAAAACGATTTGAATAACAATGAAATATATATTTGTAATTAATATATTTTACTTCATTTCAATAATTCTTATAATTCTTTTTATCTCTTTTTTTAATACAATATATTGAAGTGATGCAGCCATGCACAATCAATTGAATTGATCACAATAGTTTATTTTATATTCCCGATTTTCTCATCAATAAAGTATCATTTTCTTTTTTTTTACTTTGAAAAATGTACAAAAGCTAACTAATTATATATTCATGTAAAATGAGTAGGGGAGAAGGAGGGAGAAGAGAAAATGATATCTACCCGAAAAAGCGAAAGAATTATAAGACTTCAATGTAAGTAGGTTATTTCATTAATTGTAAATAGGGGAATATACAAATGAACTGGCTGATCAATCCGCGCGTCAAACATTCAGAAGGCACCGAACTGAATTTTTTTTTCTTAGTAGGTATTCTCTTATAATGTCCACCCTTTATCTCTATCTGAATTCATGCGTCCTTTATCGTCGTTTCTGTATTCCATAACAGTAATATATGTTAACAGACAATTTAGTATTCCTTCTTTTTCGCAATAAATATATTTTTTAATGAGCTGACGTGAAACTTTGTTGTGAGTACCTTATTCCTTTAAGTGATTGTGTATGAAGCAATTTGGTTTCCGGTAGGTTACATAGATAGATTAATATTTCTCAACATGAAATTGGTAGTTGGAACATTTTTTTTTCTTGTTTGTTTTTGAAAATATTTTAATATGGATAATTGATTTGTGAGACAATCGGATAAAGCCAGTAAAAGAATTTTACTCCTCTTCTCTCCTTCTGCGTGACGTTTCAGAGGTGTTTATAAACACCTTCTGAAGAAGGAGAAAAGCCTTTCACTGACTTTATACGTTTGTTTCACAAATTAACCAACATTGGCCTTCGTATAAACAACAGAGATGGATAATTCAACTTTAAATTGTAATACATATGTAGGTACAGATATTGTGATTTTAATGAATATTCACACTGCAGAAAGAATTTACATTTGTAACAAAAATAGAAATTATCTCTCGTGTTAAATGCGAAAGCAGATTTCAATTCCAGATTTCATCTTAATCAATATTTCTTATACCATTACACGTAGCGAAATATTTTGTGATTTATGTATCTTATAAAAAATGTATGAAGATTAAAATTGTTTAAGGATACTCTTCTTAGAATGTGTCATTTGCATATTTTAGTATTCAATGTATTATGTATTTTTGTCTTCACCAATGCTTGACAGAAAGAAGCATCAAATAGAATGTTTGTGTATGTGTGTTGTAATCTAGATTTGTATGCGATGCGAATCCTTATTTGTTCATTAAAGAGTTTTTTTTTGAAATTTTTCTGATTCTACAATTTTTGTTTATCACTTAATTAGTTTTTATGATGAAGTTTCACAACAACTTTCTTCTCCACTATATTATGCTTTTCTTTCAATTATGATACCATGTCATTAAGATGTAAATATTGATAGTTTTTTTTATTGAAATGTAATCCAATAAAACGCATTAATAAAATATTCATTATATAGCTTTGTGAGTTTTATCCTTCTTCCTCTTGTTAGTTAGATATTTGTTATTGTACTTGAGCTGTTTTATTTCATCATATTTTATTTTCCGCTATTTTTTTTATTACTTTAATATGATTTTTATGAGCGTATGCGTATGTATGTGGAAAAGACTTTTTTTTACTTTAACTAAATCATTGAGTGTAAAATTGATGATTTATATTAATAAAATGTCAAAACTGTGGTAATATTGTCAGATATCCTTTCTTGTAGTGTTTTTTTTTTCATTCATCTTGTGACAATTTTTTTTCTAATACTCCCGCGATATTTACATACACGTAAGTCAAACAAGGGGCCGAATATATTATTATTCATATTTTTTTTGAAAGTACATTTTCTTGTAAATCTTTCTTACGTCTCTTCATCTTCTCCCATTTCTTCATCCCATAACACCCTACACCCGCAGATAGATTGCACGTGGTTATCGCAACGTTCCAGCCAGCAAAGTGATGAGTAAGAGGGGCGAGGAGATGTTTTAAATGTAAGGTTGTTGAATGATAACATTCATGTGGAAAATTGCTAGTTGAGGGGAAGTGAAAAGAAAATTCTTCCATTCTCTCGCGATTTTTCTAGGCAACATATTGTAACATTAAATACATTTTTTTTTGGTGAACAATACTGATATGTTCCGCTTGCGCACTTCATCATTACTCACTCTTGAGAATAAAAGAATACGCAGTTGCACTTCATCTCTTTTGGGTATAAAATGAAGGATAATCTATAAAAATCCTACATACCAACTAGCAATTTTACTTGTTTTAATAAAAATCTCATCCCTTGTCTTCTTATTCGATACTTTTTGTGTGTTAATAATATTACATTTAGCTGAGAGTTTTACGCAATTTTACGTTACATCTTGCCATTTCAATTCACTTTCTCACTATTTTTTTTTTTTGGTAACATCATTCACGTAGCTTTTTCATGGGCAGGATTTCACATTATCATAAAGTAGGTATTTGTTTCATTTTCTTTAAAACTGCTTTACGATTTTTTTTGGAGTATAACTTTGTTGTGTAATTTTCTTTGTATAGTATTGTTGCAAGCTTGAAATGTGATTTTGATTACATTGTAAATATATTTGAGACTGTTGGTTTTTCAGTTTTTTTTTTTCAGCTCTCTGCAGACAGCATTAGGCAATTTAAACGCTTGTATTTTGAGGATTGTTTTTATCATTTAAAAATTATTCCCATAACATATGTATGTATACAACATCACCAATAATATTATCTAGAGAATAGCAACTACACTGTCGCTCAAAAGTGTTATATAAGGATTATTACACATTATATTTCGCGGGAATCGAAACAAATTTTGAATAGTCATTCTAAAAGTATTAATTTTTTTTTTGTGAAATTTGAAAGAAATTTACAACTTCATAAATTTAATCGAAATGTTATCTATATTATTCAATTTGCAAATTTGCAATAGTTTCTGAATGATTTTGTTCTTATGGACACTTTTGCGCCACAGTGTAGGCGGAGCGGTTCAGTATAAGAATTTGGAAGGTCTTTCTTTTAGGAAACAGAGGCAAAATTGGCGCAAAAATGACGAAAAAGCGAGGAGCACTATAGTGATAGGACAACAAGATTAGTAGCTGAAAATGTAGGAGGAAAAATTGATAGGAATCCGCTCAGAAGCAGAAATAATGTGCGTAAGATTATTATCATAACCGTCATTATTATCGTCAATAAGAATTTTGTTATAATCTCTATTATCATCAATATTAATAAATATCAACAACGGTATCAGTAACAACAAGAACAACGATGTGACGTCGCGGCCAGCCTCATGGGGGCGTGGGCACATCATACCTTGACGATTAACTAGTAAACGGGGCGGTCGGGGTTATTTGCCGCCGAGACCGAATTTCATGAAAATCAGTTCTTTGCCTTTGGACAGGATATCGCCACCGGGCGCTGTGATCTCGTTGAGCTTCTGCATGAGATTCGGCCCCTGTTGCCCCGGCATTCCTGGCTGCCCTGGCATGCCCTGCTGCTGTTGCTGCTGCTGCTGCGCACCCTGGAGGCCGCCGCCGAAGGCACCCATTCCGCCCACGCCGCCGCCCATCTGGCCCGCCGGTTGCCCGCCAAACGGCTGCTGGGTCATCCCTGGCTGCGGGACGACCTGTGGGCCCTTTGGCTTGTTGAACAGCCCTCCTGTGGCTGCATTTGTTGCGCCGGAGAACAGGCTGGATGCCGTTGAGAACATCCCGCCAGTTTGCGGGGCGCTTGTCGTGGTCGCTGGATACTGTTGCTGCTGTTGCTGTTGCTGCTGTTGCATCATCATCGGCTGCTGTTGTTGCATCATCATCGGCTGCTGCTGCTGCATGCCTCCCATGCCAATGCCCATCTGCTGTTGACCCATCTGCTGTTGACCCATCTGCTGCTGGCCCATATGTTGCTGACCCATCTGTTGCTGGCCTGGCTGCTGCTGCTGCATCTTCTGCTGTCCTGGCTGCTGTTGCATATTAATACCGATCCCGCGACCGATCATCCCTCCTTTCCCCTGCATCCCCTAAAAAGCGCAGCCACGTTAATTCGACAAAACCCACCAACCCACTGCATAGTTTTTTTTGTTCTTTACTTTTGCACACTAACATATCTTGTTGAAAAAAATTATAACCAAGATTATAACATTTAACAACTACGTTATTATGCAGGAAAATTTATCATGTTCAAACGGCTTTTGGCTTCTCTTAGTTCAAACGCAAATGAACAAAAATATCAAATTGTAAGTGAAGATAATGAGAAGGGAAACTAAATGACAGAAAATATGTATTATTTTGTTCGAAATAAGAAGAATACGTAATGAGTTAGAAAATATGGAAAATCATTTGTAAAAGATCTTTTCATTCACACTTCTAAATTGAATTAAAGTAAGGGCTTTTAATCATTTTCCATATTTTCTTCCCACTTTTTTTTTTAAATTCATGTTATTAACCTCTATACATTTCTCTATTATTGAGTTTGTTTAATGCTCAAACCGACTGAGTATTTTATCAACTATTGTAATATATTACGAATTGTCCAAATAATGAATTAGTAATTTTTTTTAATTATATAAGCTGAACATTGCATTTAATTTCAAAAGGTAGGACTTGCGCAATCTAAGGTAAAATCAATGTTAAATATTTGTTTTTTTTATATACAAAACTACATGATAATTTAAAAACGACATGAAAAGTTGTAAATTCTTATATGTATTATCTAAGATGAGAAAATGATTTTGAGAGATGCAAATGAGACGAAAAATTCGAGATAACAAAATATAAAAAGAAATACTGAACTATTATGTTTTCAAATGGAAAATAGGCACGATTCTATCAAACGACAATTTTCAACAACGGTAACATCATAAAAGAGATGAGAAATTGCATTCTCGTTTCCAATATATTACCATTCAATGCGCTCAATTACGCGATGTTGCGAAACATCCGGAATACAATTTCAACTTTGCATTTTGTCCTTTCGTGCTGTATTTTATTTTGTAATGTAAAATCTAATTCCAGTTAATGGCAATTTTAATTAATAATTACTTTAATTTTTCCATGTCTGGCTGATAGAGTAATCTAAACATAAAAAAACCCGACAACTATCGCAAATTACATTTGTGTATGATTTCTATGAGTTCACAAAATTGAAATTGCCATCCGAATTTTTGATGATGACTTATACGAAGGTTGTACAAAATTCAACGTAACATTTATATTACAAAGTATTTGAGAGAAGAACACTCAATATGGAAATGAAATTGATAGGGACAGAAAGTCATCACTAAAATTGATGTAGTGATGAGAAAGACATTTAATCTAATTACACTATCCAACAAGAAAGAACGGAAAGAGTTATTTATATCAGTATTGAGAAAAAGAGATAAGAGTGGAAGGATAGAAATAAAACTACACACATGCAGGGTCATATTGAAGTGGTATTTCTTCTATAATTTTAAATTGTATGCTCCTGAGGGCTATTAGTTTAAAAATGTGACAAGATTTGCTTCAAACTAATTTTCGCGTCTGTTGTGATCGTTATTTTGCAAAATGTCAAAGATTCAATCGCTTTAGGTATTATTTTATCGCTTAATAGTGTCTTGTTGTTTATTGTCTAGCAAAGTGATGAAATTTCTGGAATGTTGCATTAAGAAGGTATTACGACACATCATATTTCCGTTCGTTAATTTTGCCTTTTTTAGAAGATATGTATGTATAAAGAATTAGAATTTTGAAACACAACATTTAATATCAAAACGACCCAAAAACGTGAATAACACTAAAATGAAATAAAATCTATCGCAGTCAATAGGAAAAAGATGCTATACACAAAAGGAATCTTCTGTACTTCTTCTCAATTATTATCAGGTATTAAACTTTATTAAACAGGTTTTGGGAAAATGTTTTGAACTATGGACAGAGGATTCACAGAATAAACTTGTATGAAAGAAAATCATCATCAAATATTGGTAGCAAACCAAATAATATAGAAACAATCAAACAACTTATTGCTTGAAATATTTCTTATAATAGCCATTGACAGAAATTTAAGTCATAACGGAAGACTTCATATCAATTCCGTTTTAGAACCATTCAAAATGAACAAAATATCATGTTTTCAGTAGTTTCTCAATCTATTAAATCTTAGTGATGATGTAATTTTTTTAATATCTTACTATTTCGAAAAAAATCAATGTTTTGGAAAACTAGCTTTATAATATGTGTAAGTCAGAAGCAGAACTAGAACATCTGCCGTACTCAAAAAGAAAATTTTCAAAAGGATTTTGTGAATACTTTGGTTATAATTTCCATAAAATTGTATTTTCTCCAATATTAATAGTACTAATTTGTAGTTAAAAAGTTTACAGTTCCTTCAAGAAATTTTGCAACATCCATACAATTTGATGTGAAACATAATTGAAGCAAATTTAGAAAAAAAAAAATTTAAGTTCGAAATGATTCTAATTTTCAAGATATAAAATTTAAAAAATTTGTTTCACTTTCATCAAGATGGAGCAAATGTTTCATTTAAGGATTTGCGATAAAGTATCTTCTAAGGCTCAAGGATATCGCGCATTTTAAAATCTATAGGTAGCGTAGCATTTTCGACTTAAAAAGTAAAGTCATCTATTGCTCTATCTAAAGAACTTCTAGCAGGAATTCGTTGATCGCAATAATTGTAATTAAAAAGGTCTTAGTCAATTCTTTTTGACCAGTTTATCAAAAATAAATATAATATCTCTAGTATGAGTAAAAATTAATAAGGTGTGAAAGATGATTTGTAACGGTTGTGAGCAACACTAACTAAAAACAAACTGTATTTAAAAAAAAAAATTCAAGTTTTCTAGAAGTAATGCTAAGTATTTTAACTATTGCGGCAGCGATCAGTCGGCGAGTTTAATATAAAAAGAATTCTAATAAATGAAGGAATGAACTGAACAAATTAACTCTTCTCATTGCAACTAAATTAATGCAATTTTTTGAAATTGCATCACGCAGCATTTGCAACATTTTAACAATTGCATTATGATTTAAAGAAAAAATGTTATTCAGAAATATTGTCTAAAGAACAGACAAATATCAATGTACTTTATGTGCTACAAATTATGAGTGGGCAGGTGGGTGTGTTTCTCGTTATATTTTTCTCATTTCTTTTCACGATCGAGCTTTTTCAGCTCATTCACTAACTTTTTCCTATTCTTTTCAATTTAGAGTAAAATTTTTATTGTGAATCTTTCAAGTTCCTCATAATTCTCATCAAATACCAAATTCAGTAGCAAATTTTAGTTAGCTTTCGTTAAGTAGTTAGTTACCTGCGTTTGGTGATCGGGGGCAGGATGGCCCGTGGTGTCTAACAGTGTAGGGGAAGTAGGGCGAGCATCTAGCAACAAACAACATGAAGACTTGACATTTACCACAGCAGAGCAATTCGCGTCTAAAGGCGTTCGGCAAGATTTCCCTAAATGCCGACCCTACTCCATTCTTTAACAGCAACACTCATATCTTCAAGTTTCCACATACAATTAATATTTGCTTCATGTATAATCTTCTTTTTTTGAAGCTGTGCTTCTTTATCTCTATACACATTTTGTGCATCATTTGCATTCGCATCTTTGAAATTTTCATGATCAACAATAAACAAAATGATCATTTCAATCTCTTTGGACAAAACTGCTGAATACAGGCATTTCATGAAGGGAAATATGTTATAGGGTATAATTTTGCTTCAGGAATCCCTTGCCTTCGCGCCCTAAACACGCTGATAGTGAGTATTACAAAAGACAAGATAGAAAGAGCTTTTTAAGTGGTGCGCACATTGAAACATTTAAAGCATCCGGCTTAAAACTTCTTTGATTCTTTCTTTCATATAGTTTTTCAAAATTCTTGTTGATTTATATTCTATATTCACGTTACATTTCTTTGATATCTCATTTACCAAAAAGGAATAAATTAAAACGTAAAATTAATAAATATGTATGTCTAAAATAAAGAAAAATGTGATAAAGTCAGATGGAAAAGAAGAGAGTATTAATGACAAATTTTTCAGTAATAAATTTCTCGTTCAATCAACAGAATCAACCGGAAATGAGAGGTCTTACGTTTAAAATCTCAATTCATATAATGTTATGCTTCAATACGATCTGAATATGATTCTTATATTTTTTTGGATTATTGTTATGCTAATACTCTTTGAATAGAAGAACTGATGGGAGATGTTCAAACATCAAGGATGATGTCAATGAATTACCCCTTAATGCAATGCAAAAAGTAATGCTGTGCTCACATAATGATACACTTTATGATACTATGACGTCAAATTTTCTATATTGATTGTTATCGCCTTCATCGTATAGTTACAAAAGGATCGAAAATAGATTAGTTTATATATGTAATGTTGTACTATTTATAATAACCTTAGGATTATTTTAAAATTTATATGTGAGCACAGCATTTAAAATTAAAACATTTGTATGTACATAATTCTCTGCAGACAATAAAAATCATCACTACAGTATTTCAATTATGATTACGTTTTGTGAGAATGTTATTTTTTATATTCAAAATTATGGGGGTAAATGACAAAAATGATATTCATTCACTGCGTCAAATTGCAACTATGATGTGAATGTCTCTGGAGGGAGCTAAGAATCTTTCATAATCCCATTACATTATTTTCAAACATCTGCCTATGTACAGAAATTGCATGAAATGAAACTTGTTCTGCAACTTTTCTCAGTTTCTATCCAACATTTTTTTTTTCTCTTTACCTATATTTATGAACTTGTTATCCATTACGGATATTTTGTTTGTTTCATTAACCATGTGAGATTGCATTTTTAATGTGAAAGTTGCCACATGTGGGACATACCTTTTCTGATTTGCTGACCGCGCTGATTAACACCCACTGGTCCCATGTTCATGTTGTCTCGCGGCGGTGGCGGCGGACCCCGGGCACCTGGCCCCGATCCACCAGGTGCTGACGTCCTGCCACCGCGATTGTTCATACCGCCCCGACCCATGGTGCCGGATGCCATTTGACTATTGTATTGTTCAGGAGCCTCGGCGAGAAAGTTGGACGGCACTAAGCCGCGTACTCCGTCCAATTCGCCCATGTAGAAGCCATCCTCATCCATCTCACCATACACGAGCACCACGTCGCCAGTCTTGAAACTGAGCTCCACCTGCAGTTAGGTGCGACAAAAAGACGGGGTAGAGCCACATAAGTTCACAACCATCTGCCACTACTTGCTGGGGAAAATGGGGGGTGATGTCTTGACTTGTCTCTATGCGGTGTCTTGTGAGTCTGTCTTATGCATTCCTGCGTGTCTTGTTATGGATGGAGTGCTACACGCCCACATTCCACATCTTTCTAGGGACTCACCTCGGCATCAACATTAGGGCTGAGCTCCTGTGGGTCATAGTCATACAGGGCAATCATTCTCTTCACCGACGATGTGGCATATATGTCACCCCAGCGATCTCGACTCACACCACGGACACTTTGGCCAGTTCCAGTGGCGAGTGGCGGGCCACCCTGAGCCCCCACTTGGCCTTCCTCAATTTCCGTCACCATATTGTGAGGCACATAGCCGCGTCGACCACGCAATTCGCCCCAATAGAATCCATCTGGGTCCTTGTCGCCATACACCTATGACAAGGCAGCACAACATGATTCTCTCTCTCTTAGACATCAACACTCTCCCTCACTCACTTTGATGGTGTCACCCTCCTGGAAGGGTAGCTCCTCCTCGCAACTATCCGGATTGGGGCTCATGGTGCTGGGATCGTAATCGAACATGGCCATAAAGTAGCGGGCCTTTTTCATCTGCTGCTGTTGCTGTTGTTGCGATATCGGGCCGCGGCCCTGCATCATTCCCGGCCGCTGTTGCTGCATTGGGCCACGCTGCTGTATCGCCGAGGGCCCTCCGTAGAACGGCTGTTGCTGCTGCATTTGCTGCTGCTGTTGCTGCTGCTGCTGATGTTGCTGCATTTGTTGCTGCGGATGTTGGGCGCGCTGTCCCATTTGCTGATGCTGTTGCTGATTTGGACCCATTCCCGGATTCTGTGGTCGAACTCGATCGGCGGGGTTCCGTGACATCGGGTTCGTTTGATATCCCTTCACATAAAATGCAACATTCGATCAATTGATTTCAGAATATAACAACACTAAACAGACAACATTATTATGTACATTACTGGTAATACACTTTGGAAAATTACATGAACAGTCAACAGGACAGTGTGGCGTATGAAAAGTATGTGGATTGATACACAGGAGTATTATTCATCGACATATTCTATCCAAGAACTCGAATAGTGTGAAAAGATTTCTCTAGACGCTGAAATTTGATGATATTACAAGAATAATAAAAAAGGCTAAATTAAATCTTTTTCAATTTTTTTTAAATAATAGTGAAATATATAAAAATTCTATGACCTTGTATTTATCAATAAAAGCCTTTTTTGAAAAATATTTTCACATTAATTCGATTTTACATTACTCTCTAGATACAATTCGGAGAGATACTTTATTAATTTAATACTCCTGTTGGTTAAATAGTGAATAGAAGAGATAGATTATGGCACACATGTAATATCATTTGAAGGTAGTAGAAGAAGAAATTTTCATTCAGCACAGACATTAGAAAGTTCACCGCCAAAATGCTTTTCAAATATGTAGGTGTATTACAGCAATCACACTGAGATAGAAAATGAGGATATGATTCATATTCATTTAGTCATGATAATAATACATATATTAGAAATAGAAAATTGACTTAGTGTAAGGCACATATTGTGTTTAGTCTGTATAGTATACAATATTTGTTTTCCAAGTTCCGTGTCAGTTTTATTGAAAAGTTTTGAGCACTATATATAGTTTTGATGAATATGTAATTTTATCAGTATTATCTACCCACAATTGAATGTATTTGGTGCATTCACACATTAAGTAATCCTGTCTTTCAGTTCGAGTTTGCATGAAACAATTTTTTCTGAAACCCATCATGTTTTTCTTCAATACGTAACAACAAAAGGAACTACACTTTGAGAGATATTTACTAATATTACTTCACACCATTCTCTCTTTTCTTGATGTAAATAAAGTGTATGTGAATTTGTGTAAACATAAACTTACAATTCTTGAAGTATACTTAAAAAGTAAGAATAGAAGTAAAGAGCTGGATAAAGAGATAGCACCCAAGAAATTTCAGAGTACACACATGATATAGAGTGCACAGAATAGAAGACTTTTGTACATATTACACAGCAGTGTTTCACATTCTAAGGCAAAATGTTTAAGTAATACACATAACAGCGCACATTTAATTATTCTGTGTTGAAGTTGTGAGGTGAGTACAAAGTTATTTATAATATTCTTATACATTTAATAACAAAATTAATATCAATAAAATTTAGCGATGATTTTTAAAAATACGATCGTGGATAGAAAAGTGTATATCGAATTATATAAATAACCTTGTACATCAATAATAATGTTTGAAAATGTTTTTCAACAATCCTATAATATTATGAATGTTTCTTTCGAATTCGCAACTCCATCTCTGCTCTCTTCATTTAATCCTGAACAACAATAGTTTCTTTCATTTTACACTTGATTTTACATGAAAATACAGAAATACAGAGCACTATCGCCAGAGACACAAATGTAATGAATGCTCAAATGATGAAATACAACTGAATTTGACAGTCTAATTGGTCACTTTTTCCAATAAACATTTCGTCTAACCTGTTGCTGTGGCTGATGTGCTGCTGGGGCACTTCGTCGGCGCCCCGTATCTTGATATTCACTATCATCACTTACATAAGTCGTATCCCCCGGTCCGTCTTTAGTGATCTCAATGGCAGGTATTCCACCACCACTACCACCACGCATTTGGTGACTACCCTGCTGTTTATGCAATTTTATAGCATTTTCAATTCTTGTCAACATAAACAAATTTCTATTATGATCTTCCTGTTCTCATAATAATCAATCGACCATTCACACAGGTTAAAAAATTGGAATGGATTGTGTGCATGTTTGCATTACGAAACTAATCCTGCATTTGTCACAAATGAGGAATTTTCTTTATTTGCTAAAAAGCAACATGTTTTTTCGCACAATAATGTCGAGTTCGACACATAAAGTACATTTCAATCACATTCTCTACACTAAATTGTGATACACTATTTAGTGTTTAAGAAAATGTATAAATGGAACATTTTTTTTTATTAAAAAACAAAAATAAGTGATGCAGAAAATGGCTATAAACAAGCGCAGTGGAAAAAGTTTATATAGAAATTGTAAAAATTGCAAGCATTCAATTTAAAAGAAAATTCTGTTGCTTTTTATCAAAAAAAGAATAGGTAATATTTGTTTTATTTAAGAATTAAAAACTAGAATTAACACTCAGCTAAATATGTTTATTAAAATGACTAAATATATTGTGTAATAAGTGAAGAAATGTTCAAGTAAGAACTTTTAAATTCAAATCATGCAACTATGTATATATGTAATTTCAATATTATAATTTCTCCAAAATTGCTTGGAAGATGTACAGTGAGGAGTCAAAGATTCATCAAAATCCAAACACCTAATTCTATTTCGTAATATTCAGTCTTGATGTAGACAAAAATTTTTATACAAAATACTTTTCAATACAAAAAGGCATCAAAAAAAATCTGAACTCCATTAACGTTGAAATGGAATTGAATGAAACGCAAAGTGAGATTGACAATTTCAAAACTTAACTAGGTATGAAATTGTCAAAAGTTTTTATTTGAAATAAATTTGAAAGGTGGCATTTTACTCCTCACTGCGTGTGAAAAATTCTCTGAATGAGTGCCAAGAAACTTAATAAAAATCTGTCTGAAAACTTCTTATATCAAGTAGACTTTTTAATTTGGGCAGAATATTCGCCAGACACCCACTTATTATGACCGATACTATTTTAGAACGAGGGGAAAATTGGAAAAAGTTCATTGAGGTAGCAGTTCCTTTTATGTTTCACTGTCTGTATATATGTATAATTTTCAGGGTGAAATATACTGCAATATATGTTTATATATAGTAATATAGGGATTACGAGAGGTTCTCCACTCACCATTAATCCATGTTGCTGATGCATTGAACCGGGAAAAACCTCTTTGTCACTCAAATTCTCGTCATGCTCTATGACTTGTTGCTGTTGCTGTGTCATTGGCATTTGCTGATTCATTTGCATTTGGCCAGGATTCTGTTGCTGCATCATTCCAGACTGCTGTGGCTGTTGCTGCTGCGGTCCTGGCCGCTGCTGAGCACGCATGTGTGGCGGAATTCCGGTGTGTGGTGCGTGTTGTGCACGATTTCGCGCTGCATTTCGAACTACATCTTGTGTATAATTTAATCCATTTTCAGTATTGGTTTCATCATATCCGAAGCCAATATTTTTTACAAATGGAACAAAAGAAAATTTCAAATTAAACTTCAAATCTGATAATGGTACTGTGGATGATTTGGAGGGAATATTAATAGGATGTAAAAGTGCTCTCATGAAGGATATTATAACGAGGGAAGCATTTAAATGTTGGATAGAAGGTTATTTAGGGTATGAGGTTATCCATATTTTAGATAATTTTACATTTAAATGAGAAACATAACAATTTGACATAGTCACAACACATGAAAGAAGATTCGAAGAGGCACAAAGACCGGAAAAGATAGAGAGAGAGAGAGACACACACTTTGTGAAGGAAGAAGAGATGCTAAAAATTACCTGTTGTCATTGAATTATAAATTGTAGTCTCTTTAAAGACAATTTTCAGTTAACAATTATGCAGCACACAGAAAAAAGAGTCAATTGAATGAGAAAAGCATCTTCAAAAAGGATAGGATAGATCACACAACTACCATTATCAAGATGGAAATCAGTGATGAAGATCCTTTTTAAAAATGAGAGAAATTAAATTAAAATATTTTCAATACGAAAACAAATTCCAATATCAAAATCATAAGACAATGAAGAGAAAAGGCTAATTATGAAAAAAAAGATAACACGACAAATTTACAACGGCTTCTTCTCATTATATCACTCCGAGATTACAACAAAGATATCGAAATTAGGAAATATTTACTTGGGATCGCTGTTGGCTGACTATCAGATGACTGTGAGTCTCTAGATTTGGTACGAACGGTGACAGCTTTTGGATTCAGTCCCACTAGCTTTCCTATATCTATTAACGCATGATCACCCGTTGGTGAATCCACATCAGTGACTTTCTTTCCATCCGCGTACACGGCATAACCTGTCACGGGACCAGATGATGGTGGTCTCGAGACAGGCTGCCATGTCACGAGGAGAGTTCCGTCCTGTGGACCAGCCTCAACTTGTATTTCCTGAAAGTGACCACGCTTCATTTATTACATGCGTCAGTATTTATCTCTTCATTTTTTTTACAACAACATTTTTCACTTTGATTCACTCCCAAGCAGCTGTATTATTGTCATCAATACTATGGATTTTAAAATTCGAAAATCATTCTTCCAAAATAATTATACAAATCCATGTTATTCAAACCACACTGTCTTACAAAATGCCTGAGAAAATCATGGATCGTAAGCAAATATGGTTATTGATACACAAGATGATCAGGGAAAAAACATTACTTTGAAACATATATTTATAAGGATAGAGAAAAGGATTGTAATTTTGGAAAATGCAATTTAACCCTCAAAAAGTTCAATAATCAAAATCCAAGAGTTATTTGTTCTCTTAAAATAAAAGAAAAACTATATAGGATTCTACATATTATTTTTTCAGACAGATTATGTTATAAAATTTTAGAATTAAGCTAAGCTATTACCAGTAACTACACATGGGGCAATTTCGTAATGAAATATGCTGTGTTTATTTTATGATAAAAGTTATCATATACAGTACTTTTCCACTGTGGCAAGATAAAACAGCCCAATTGACAAATGCAAATGTTCTGTTCGAAACTGCCCCCATTAGGTTAAACAGGCAAATTTGAAAAGTTGTGAAATAAAAGATTCATTTGCAGTTTGGAAATTGGCAAGTGCTGCTTGGGAATTATACCAAAATCTTGTAATCATGCAGCGTTTGATAGAATGGTACTCACTTGTGGTGGATCTGGCAGTCCTTTAGCTAATGTGCGGAAATCAGTGTAAGCACCAGGAGCCTCTTCAGGTGGCGGAGCCGGAGGTGGGTTTTGGCCAGGTGCTCTTAGATGTTTGGCTCTCACAGTCACACGATATTGAGTGCTTGGTGCCAAGCCTGAAGTCAATTGTAGAATTATGAGGAGAGAAGAAAGTAATCAGTGAGTTTAAAATATATTTAGAGAGTGAATAGGTGTGAAAAATATGGATTACCTGTGATTGTATGACGATAAACGCCAGGTTTCACGGTTCGAACCTCCACATTATTTACACAGACTACGTGTTGATGATTGGAATTGGCTGGAAGCCATGATATGACTGCTGAGGAGCAGGTGATGTTACTGGCTCGCACGGCCGATGGACCCAGGTGAGATGTGTCGCGGCCAATGATCATAGTGCATGCGGCATCACGTGAAGTGCGTCTGTTCTGAGTCACGCTACGAACACTAATTCTGTGTGGCTGCATGGAGTTAAATTGTTTCATTTTAGCAGCTAATTCGAGTCAATTAGGGGAAAATGGGTCTGGGGTTGCGCACTTACCCGTGTAGAATCCACACCTTCCACGAGAGCACGGGTTCGCTCATTAGCCTTCACAGTCACCTTCAGGACCCCATCCACGTAGACATGGTAGCTCTCAATTTGATTATATCCCGCCGGCTCCGGCATCGACCATCCAATGAGTACGCTCTTGTTCAGTTGGCGCTCCAGCGTCAGGTGTCGGGGTGCAGGAACTAGCACGGAGAACATTAAGTCAGCTGCTGAGATGGTTAAATGAGTAATGTTTGCAAGATTCTGCCAGTGACACCAAACATTTTACGCTCATTTCCAAAATTCGAGATCTTTTACCATTTATACACACCAAAATTGTATGCACTTACAATGAATAAACATTGTTCTTTTACTGTTTGGTTACGGATAGGAAGGCATCAGCAAGCAGAATCCATTCAATAGTTTCAAATTTATGTAGAAAAAAATAAGGAAATTTTACTGAGTTTGCACACAAAATATTTCAGTTCCATGCAACCATATTCTGTACATTCTAAAAATATCAATTATTTTCAGAGAATTTCCAAGACAGAGAGAGCACCATATCGATTTGTATTTGAGTGCATTACTTTGTGTGGAAAGTTCTAGCAAGTTTCATGTTGATCACCCTGAACTTCCTGAATATTGCAGTTTTCATGTTAAATTTTCTCCGTTCACCTCATCTGTCTCACCTCTTGGTGCCTCACTTTATTCACCACCCAATAAATAATACTGTGAGGGAGTGAAAAAGTGAAAAGTTTGAAGAAATGGGAAACGATAGCACGTGTTGCATTTTACTGGATATCATATACATGTATGTATGTGAAAAATCAATGAGATTTCTTGCCATCTACCACACTTTACCAATCAGGGAGTTTCTTCTTTTTATCTTTTGTACACAATAACGATCCCCCCCCCCCTCCCAACCCCTTGCACTTTCAAAGTTCTCAGTTGCGCCGTAATATTATTTCACTACTGCACGTCCAAGAAGACGGAAAACTACATCTTTGATGACTTTATGTACACTCTCTATACCCTATTCTATGTACAAAACTGTGAAAATATTTTTTGACACCATGTTCTAGGAAACATACTGTTTCATCAATTTGCCATCAATAAATCGACAACAAGTGACGTACTTTCCAAATATACTTATTTCACTTTGATTCGCAAAGTATTTTTGGTGAAAACATTTATTTGGTTGGTTCACAGAGTAAAAAAGAATCAAATTCATTCATTACAAGGCAGTTGTAATATTAACGTTTTGATTGATCTGTTGAAGATGGCAACGAAATTACGCAAATATACAGTTATACGGTAGATGTTTTTGACATATTAATTTCCTTTATGAACTATTTCCACCATCTTTCAATTGCCGAAAAATATGTGCCACTAATGCAAACATCAAGGAAAATATGGTGATTTATTTACAATAATATTATCATTCTGTTGCAATATTGCACATTAGACACATAGACGAATTCTTGTGAGAGGAGAATAGAAGTGAGAACATAAATATATTTCCGAGTGAGTTGTACACTTCGACGGATTATTACCTGTGTCAGCCTCATCTTCCAATTGGTCTGGGCCAAGATCGCCGTGAGTCTCACTCAATCTCGCCATGTCTTCTGAAGTGTGAGTCATCAGAGGATTGTTGGGTGGAAGAGGGGCCGGATCTAAAGGCACCGGAGCGTCATCAGCGTCTCTTAGTGTCGTCACAACAGCCTGATGGAACTCCAGCAAATCATCGCCTACAATATCAAGACAATTTATTAGTATAATTTAAGGTTGATAATTCAGGCAAGGAAGTATTGAGAAATTTTTTTAGATTTCATTTGAGTAGATAAATTTGTGAAGAGAAACACAGAGAAGATAAGAATAGAAATATGATAGTTGTGAATGTAAAATGTACCAATTAAACGCTGAACAAATGATGCTGGGACCAAACCACGGCGACCATCGAGTAATTCAGCGTCAAAGTAACCACCTTGTGGTTCTCCACTTCCCCACACAAGGAGATAGTCTCCAGCACAGAGTGACAATTCTCCTTCGGACTCACTGAAATCACGCAAAATAATATCGAGAAACAACACAATGTTGCACAACTCATCAAGCAAATCAACATAGATGTACAAAAAATATAATTGTCAAAAATGTGTCCTTACTCTGGTGGATCGTAAGAGAATCGTGCAATAAAAACGCAGCATCTCCCCTTCCCTGGTATGTCCAGCATGTCAACCTGTGGCTCTCCCGTCCCATTTAAAGCTAAGAAGCCATGCTGTCGACCTGTGTTGCAAAAGCCCAAATTGAAAGAACGATTTAACAAGAGGAACAACGCTCCCAAACAACTTTACACAGATAAAACGGACAAAATGATAAACTCGCACAAATTCAATATTGAATCCAATGAAACGATTTTTGTTTGTGACTTTGAAAGAAATATTTTGTGAAGATTTAAGATATGAAGCACAGATCGGATTACTTACTATCAAGATCTAATCCACCGAGGCGAGAGAGTGGACGCTGAGTGTGCATGAATGTTGGGTTCACACCGTCCAATGCCGAGTAGCTGTCCAGACCCCACGATGCAGGTGGTATTGGAGAACATGGTGTGCCGGCCCGGTTGCCGTAGCGCCCCATACCCAGATCAATCTCGTCCAAGGACTTCAACTTCATGGCACTGGTCGTAAGCAACGGATTCGTGTAGGTTGAGTAAGAGGAGGCGTTGTAGCCACCCAAGCCCGAAGGCAGTGACGTGCCCCCAAGTCCACTGAGACCACTTGTGCCAATGAGACTCGTGGAAGCGGCTCCTGTGAGACCAGCAGCACCCAGAACTGAGCCCACGCCCGCCGAGCCCACCGTCGTGCCGTAGGTGTAGGACGAAGCGCCTGGAGCTCCGCTCAGACCCAAGGTGTAACTCGCCGAGCCCGATGGCAGCGAGTACGTATTGTGAAGTGATAGGACGGGCATTGTGGTACTCTGCAGGCAAAGGCAAAATGGCATGAGTAAAGACGGGAAGTGAGCATAAACTATATTACATTTGTCTGGTGCACTGTTTCATGTATTAAAAAAAAGTTTGTGAGATTCAATAGACATGAATCATGGTGGTGTATGAAGACAAATTGGGCTGCTGCAGTAACTAAGAAATTCTTGGCACAGAAAAGCCATGTAGAGAAGCAATATTAAACTGAGAATTATAGAACGCCAGCGTGAGTCATAAGTGGGAACAATTGATGGGATTTTATTGCACTATCGCCTAGAAATTTCCAATTGGTTTCTTCACCCCATTTATGGCCCTTTGGCAAACTGAGTCGGGAAGCAAAAATCACACGTTGCAATTTCATTTACACGCATTGTGCAAAACCTGCTGCTGCTGTTACAGCTACTTATATTTTTATGCAATGGTATACAACTTGCTCCGTATATTATAGAAAAAATCGCAAATGAAAAAACTAATCAGTTACACTATATAATTTCTTCATAATGTGCATCAGGAAATACTCAATAGCCTTCTTTACAACAGAGAGGAAATGCCTCTAAAAGAACCCCTTTAATTTTGCCTATACATACATACATGTGTGACCTTGTGACTAATCACTACGGCTCGCTGTATGTGTGCTCTATGGGAGATATGCCCCATCCAAAGTCATAAAGTGGCAATCGCGTTTTCTGTGAATCAAATTTCAACCAATGCGTGTTTAGCATGTATGAGGAAATGAGGAGTCATTGGCACAAAATCCCCAGCCACTATTTTTTATCATTCTTGCTATGACTTTGTACAGTGAGACATTGCCTTGGACACTTTCCAAAAATGCGGTATTGTGTATTATGCAGGATTTTTGTTCTCCTTAAGGGAGCTTTTGGCAGAAGAATGGAAATGATGGGTGACGGGGGAAAATTTGATTGTATAGGGAGTGTGGGGTGATACATCAGTGTAATGAGCAACTAGATTCTAAGACGAAGATACTGTCGTGATAAACGGGAAACAATAGAAAACGGAAACGCAAGAAAACTCAACTCAATGAAAACTGTCTACGGGTGACACTGCTCTGGTGGAGGGCAATAGCCAATTGTGTGAGTAGGTGGGGAGGGGAGGTGTGTTGCTATGGAACGCGCACCTGACATAAGGGTGGCATAGTGCTAATTGGATGTGCCCTGACCGGCAGTGGCGAAACATTGGCTCCGGGAAAGGACGTGGCTGATGGTCCTGCAGCTCCTACAGCTGATGCCGCGCCGACAGCCGCGGCACTACTGAGTATCCCGTCAGTGGTAGTCAGTGCATGGCTACTTGTGCTTGACGTGATGACTGTCGCGAATGGGGAAGCGCCCGCGCCCCCAGTCACCGATGATATGCTCGTTGGACACAGGGTAGATGATAATCCACCGCCTAGTGACGTGGCTGGCGCTCCAATTGCCGAAACGCCAGGACCCGTGGTTCGGGGATGTTCTAATTCAGCTAGTATACGATTGTCCTAGAATTGGTGAAAGGCAAGGACGCGGCGATAATGAGTTATAAGGATGGAGTCTGTACGAGATCTATACAGAGACATGAGGAGAGACAAACAGGACAACGACTAATTGAACAATTCCGTCAACATTCAATTTTATCAAAGCACGATATATAAAAAAAAATTTCTCAAGTTCTGTTCATTTTTTCTGTTATATGTTCATTCGCATTTGTTCGTGTCTTATGGTCTCTTATATCCTTTGGTATATCATCTGATTTCTGCACATAAATTTACATCTTCTGGTATACATATGTCCATTGTCAATTTTCAATGAATGGAAGACTACCACCATTCTCCATATCTACATGGACTGTCTCTCGACACACCATGTAGGCGTATGAATTTTGGTAATCTCTCTTTCCTTTTCTTTGGGATGTAAGACGGATTTCTCAATGATAAGCTAATTTATATATAAATATCGCATTTTGTGTCCTTTGTGGGTAAATATGTACTTGGTAAATATAAAAGTTATATATGAATTGAATAAATGTCTGTTTAACAAAGTTACACATACATTAGCAATTGATAAACGTGCCTGTTCGATCTTTGCCATTATTCTATCTATTTCAGAACCCGAGGTCGGGGCCCATGTTACAGTGGCGGGTGGTACAGTCACTTGTGGTCGTCCCGATTTGGATTTAATTGCAGCAGATAGTTCTAATTGTAGTTCTTCACATCTTACAGTTTCTAGCGCGGCCTATAAAATTAGGTGGTACAAGAGTTGCATTTTAAAACTTTCTTGCAATAAGGTCTAGTAATTACAACAAATACAACAATACAACACTTTAACAAGTCCTAAATTCTTTTTTTCTCAAATTAAATTAAGTGAAACAAACATAGATTCCACACATCTCAATACTTTGGAGATATATTAGCAAACAGGATGTGCTCTGATGAGGGATGAATTGGGTTCAAGACATTTGGGAAATTCAATCCAAGAGAATGTGAGTAAGAAGGAGGTATTAAGGTAGTGAAACAGTATTGAGAGCATTGAGAGTATGCTTATCTTATCTTTCAAATTGAACTCTTTTCTTTGGATTTAATTGTTGCAACAGAGACAAACACACCTTCTTCTCCAATTCTCGGGCTTTTGATTGTAAAGCATCGAGAGGCTCTCCCGTTCTCGACAAACCAGACGTCATTCCTCGCAGTTGAGCCAGAGCTTCCTGAAATACACCATGCCATCCTATATCAGTCACTTGAGATTTCAATCACATCTCATTGCAGCTTAACTCGAAAAATAGCGAAATGCACTGCGAATTACAGAGAGTTCAACTTCCTAATACCCTAAAATATTAACACAATTCATGCAATATTGCTTTTTTAATACACATTATGTATCCATTAGAACCTCAAGATTGCAAATTTCAAATTTTTCGCGCTCTTACTTTGTAAGAATAGTTGCATTCAAAATGCCATACAGTTAATTTGAATCTAAAGAGGTGTTCTTCGTTGAATTCTCTGAAAAGTAGCAAATGCTGTACTATTTCTCTGTCTAATTCAATTCCATCTCGATCGATTGTATAATAAAAAATAATGTTTTTCTTCTTAGTTTTAAACATCAATAAATATCAAATCACACATTTACATAACACGTACATATTTCCGTATTGATGATGCATTTTTATGATTTATTCCGCAGAACATGATTTCGTCTACGAAATGTTGGATTTAACTGATATGCCAAATTTTGCAAAATGCCATGAAATGCATGTAATAAATAAAATTGTAAAGGAACAAGAAACATCTACATATATGACATACATACAATGTGCTACACCGAGTAAGAGAAAATATGACATATGTATATGAGTTCTTAAGAGTTATGACATTATGAGGCATAAATTGTGCGAAAAATAGGAAAAGACACACAGATATTTTTTTGCATTCATGATTGTTTCTTTGGTTTTTAGGCGAATGAGAAGTAAGAGGAGATTTTATTGATCAATACAAGGGAGAAGACACTTTCTTTCCCAGTTTCATGGTATATACATATGTATATAAAGTTGCAATAGATAATCATCTGACCTACTTTTATTAGTGCGCGGGGTTTATTTTCTGTCTCTTTATGTACAAATATACCACTCTCTGAAGTTAATGCTTCCAGTGTTGATTTTAAATGAAAATCAACGAGCAACCATTTACTCTATGCACATTTTATAACATTTCTTCCCCATTGTCTATTGTCATCTATCTACCATCCCTTCAGTATAGCAGCTTGAATGAGCCTCGTCCTGACTATTTATAGCCTTCTTGGAGACAATTGAGACAATTTGAGTCATCGTGTGTGACACACTCCACAAATTCCTCAATACAAACACAATTGCAACAACGTGAAATTTGATACATCGCCTAATGGAAAGTGAATCATTTCCTTCAATTAAGAAACTTATGGACCATATCAAGGGAATACCTTTCATTTACATCCTAAACTGAAAAGCAATACTTGTTTTTAGCAATCAATTCGGATTGGTTCTTCTCAGAAATCGCAATTGCATGTCAAAAATATGCTTCCTATAGTATTTCCTCTTTTTTTTTGCTCCCCCACAAAGAATCGATGCAGGACCCATTGAAAATTCCACAAAGTAGGAGACGCAAACAGTTATATACGTCAAGATATGAGGCATTGAACTCCAAAGGCACATTTCATCTCCCATTCCTACTACATTGAAAACTTCCCTCATGGCCATGTGGTTCGATTGGGACGATTGAGGTCATTTTAAAAATAATAACCAGAAATTATCCATGTCCAGTTTGCTCTTTGAGTGTTTTTCCTACCCTTTGACGGTCACAAGTGTATTATGGTGGATTGAGTTTTAATGCCAATTTTCTATAATTTTAATGTTTAGAAAACGATTTGTGCCATAAATTTATTCATTAGTCTGATGTAGAGATACATATGATGTCCCATCTCTTTAAAATTGCTTCATATACAAGTTCATATATTTATTTTCAATAATTTTCAAATGTAGAAAAACTGTCATAATGTAATACGTGATAATCAGGCTATTAATCCTCCTTCACATCGAAATACTCGGTGCTCTCGAGAGGATTTCAATGAGTTTTAAATAGATTCAGATGCAACGTTTTACATAATTTATCTTTAAAATGATTCATTAGCTTCATTAACCCGCATAAAGCTCATTAAATTTCATTAAAATTTTAAGGGTTAGCAGAATAATATCCCTCTGAGGTCAAATTTTGTAGCTCATTCTCAGATGTAAAGTAATGTATCAAGCAAAACATTTAGCAGAATACACGATTACACATCATTCCACATAGAAGTAGTATTAGAGATTATTCAAAGAGTGATTAGCAAAAAGTATAGGGGTCACGTTATATAGCACATGTTTTTTTTTCAAATTATCTTCTGTCGTCACATAATGTACACATTATCAATTTGTACAAAAAGAATATCGAAAAACGATAGTAAAAGACTGTACATTGAGAGTGAAAAATTATGATAGAGAATTAAACAGTACAGACATTACATATCAACTTTACCTGATGAGCTCTTTCTGCTTCGGCCCGTCGAGCTTCAGCCTCTCGCAGTTGCAAACTGAGTGAGTCCAACATTGCGTCAGACACCCCAAGGGTGTCGTAAGACATCGTCTGTAATTCATACAATAGAATATTAGAATGATTGCCAGTAAAGTTGCTCACTTTCTGCTTTCTAGCATTATGAACTGTGATTTTTTTTAATAAAATTGTGGATTTATTTTCTTTTTTTATGAAAATGAATGAAACTTATTATGATAATTTGTAGGATTTAATTGGAAAAAGAAATTATGAATCGACATCATTGAAGATGCAATAAAAAATATCAATAAAAATACAACACATTTCTCTAGTGCATTTAAATATAGATAGATAGAGAAAAAACCACATATTTTATTATAGCATAAGTTTCATGCTAATGTATGGAACAAAAAAAAACCCGAACTTATTCTGAAATTTCATGCACGACTGACTTTGTGCTGGATTAATTTTGCGTGAAACCTATGAATCTCTTAGCAGTAAATTTGACAGGAAAATCCACTGATACCTACAGCCAGAACCTATACCTACTTTGCAAACAAATTGCATTGATAGATTTCCTTACTAAAATGCTATTTTTTTTAAATTGTAGTACCATATTGAATTCATTCATTATTTGCGCTGTGAAATTAAGTGCTGAGTGATTAATTCATTCAACAGAATCATTCAATTTTTATCGCCACCAAGCAGACTTTTGTTTTATCACAAGAACCACAACTCGGGTAAGTACTTAAATTGTAGATTAAACACTTTATTGGAGGGTTACTAAAAGGGGAAAAATTCACACATTTATTTGTGTACTTTTTCTCTCAGTCGTTTCACTTCATTGCTTTCACTTGTTCCTAAAATCGTGCAATAATAAAATTATATACATATATAACGTAAAATCATTTTTGATATTATACATATGAATCATATCCACGCACACAAGGGGGAAAACATAGCAAGTATATTGGGTTGGAGAAGTGAGTATGAAAGAACTCAGCCAGTGGATAAGCGTATTTTATATGTAAAAAATTCTATATATTGCAGAGAAATGCCAAAAATAAATCGTTTACTTTACTGAGTATGATAAAGTATCGACAGGGCGTTAAGCTATATACTTTTCCTCTTTTTTGGTCTTGTCAAATGCTACTATTGTCACTACAAGTTCATTTTATCTTCCACTTTATAGATGAAGACCGTGAAAATGTTAATGTACAACTTATTGTTATGAACCAACGAGAGAAATAACTAACATATAATTACATATAATCTGTAAAAGTCCCAATAATATTGTGTGATTTTGCTGTAGCCTTTAGTATAAATTTGTTTAGGGTAAATCGACACCCATTTATACGAACCACGAAGAAGAGGTTTTAATTTTACGAGTCTCTACAAGGTTTAAAAAGTTTAAAGACGATACTTTAACCATCTAATATTCACTTATTTTTGAGAAAAAAGAATGTTAGACTTATTATTCGTACAGTAAATAATTACAAGAGAGTAAATGAGAATATTGAGTGAAACAAATGAGAAAATAAAACAGAACTTGAAAGTGAATTGGAAGTTTTCATGTCGAAACAACGATATTTTTTGCAGAAACTCTTAGAACTAGAAAAACACACAGTTCTTGGAAGCTACAAGCCTATTAATAGGGCTATTCACTTATAGGACTAATTACAATATCACGATTTCACTCACTTCCACCCCATTAAGGGGAAAAGCTTACTCATTACTCATAAAACAACAATCCTTTGAATCTTTCGTTCACCTCTTCCGTGAGATTGCGTCGTCATCACGACCAAAAAAATCTTGTGTTGTGTTTTCCACTGACGAAGGTTGCCTCCATCCATATATACATATGTATAATGAAATCAAATATATTTCATAAGTATATAAATAAAACGCTTCGTTCATCACGAAAACCCACTCCCAAGCCATATTACCGGCTAAAGCGCCCACCCAAAAAGCTCACATGAGGATGCTGTTAGACACAGCAGAAATAATGACATTTTCTATTGATAAATTCTGGTCACATAGTTGTGGTGAATTTATTTTAGAATAAATTACATCAAATTAAGAATTCTTTTTACTGCAGCACAAACTAAAAGATTTTTGTCACCGAAGCACAACACAATCTTCCTATGGCCTTGTGAAAATGAAGAAGAATGCTGAAAGCTAATTCTCTCAGGATCTCTCAGAATGATAATTGGCAAAAATGACTAAATTTAGTGAGAAAGAAAGAATGTAGAGAAGTACATAAGGGTGAATGGATGGAAAAAAGTATATTTCACTTCTTGCTTACACTTTATAAGTTAAATTCATGCAGTATTTATGTAAATGGAATATGTGAGAGGGGGAATAAATATGAAAATTAATCACGACCCTCAACTTTCATACACACACACACCCACTCAAAGCGACTCTATAATGTGCTAATTAGAATCTATATGTATTGTTGTGAGCAAAAGTGGTTATGTGAAAGTTTCTTGCTTGCTGAATGCGTGAAAACTTTCGTTGAAAGCAAATCATTTTGCGATAAGCAGCGGCTTTTTACCATTTCTTTCTCGCAAGAGAGAAAAATTAATTTATTGTATCATTTGGCATTTTAATGTTTAAAAATAGAATACAACAATTTATGCTGTCAGAAAAATATATTTTACAGAAATATATGTTCCAAAAAACAAACTCAACTGTCATATAATTGTTAAATATGTATTTCATCTATATATACATAAAATATGAGCTTTAAAACAGTGTAGATAGAATGAAGAAACACTTAGAAGAAAAGTTTGGCGAATAAATATTCATATTGACACTGAAGCTTCTTTTTACGGAACTCACCTAAGTGAGGGAAGCAGGTTTTATAAATATGAAGTTTCTTGATAAAAATTATCTGTCTGTCTCCATCTATAAAAGTTCATACTATAGTCTAGACTGTAATACAGTTAAAATATTTTACACAATTATTCCGAACAACGGCACATGAATATGAGAGAAAAAAGCACGGAAAAAGCTTATTTTAATTGAATTCTATACCGTGTTTTCTCAATAGATTCTATACAAATGGCCTCCTCGCTTGCTCGTGGTACAAGTAAAAGTTTTCCTTCTTCGTGTATTCATTTAAATTTCACATCCTACGACTGCATGTGGACTTTTGTGCAGAAATGTGAATGTTTTTAAATATCTTCGTACATAGCAAATTAAATTTTGTAGAGCACATAAGAAATAATAATTTCACATGAAAAATTTAATTATTTTGCTTAGAAAACATTTTTAGAAGTCGTTTAAGTAACATACATTTTCTGACTCAATTTAACATTTGTTTGTGATTATCATTTTTCTCTGATTATATTTTTGAATGAATTTTTATTTATCCATGTATATATCATGTTTATAAAGGATTTTTTTTTAATTATTATTATATTTAATTAACTCAAATCAATGATCGTCAAAAATTACTTTCACAAAACTTGGATGCCAAAATTGGATATTGATTGTAAGACGTGAAGCTTAGAATCCTTGAAATTATGTCACCAGTCTTGAAATTCATTGCCTCCACAATTAATGAATTTCATGCAATTTTGCTGTCAATATGCCCACAGTTTTTATATGAATATCAATGTTTTATAAGCTTATCACCATTTGAAATGATAAAATTAGCCTCAGAGACACGAGTAAATTATATCGAAAGAATTTGCCTAATGCAAAATGATAAGATTATAAAATGACTTACACAGATTCTAATACTACCGATCACAATACTTCTGAAAATGTAGAAATGTGTAATTATACCACACATTTAATGTGAAAGCTTTGTAGTGTTTTGCATTATAGTGCTCCTAAATAAGGCTCATGTGTTGGCATAACAGCAAGATAACATCGATCACGTAAAAACATCCACTGATATTGATGACAGAAGGTAAATTTTCTCATCACATTTTTTCCGAACTGTGAATCTTTTTTTCATGGTGTCAAGATTAACAATACTGAGGGTATTTGTGGTGTTACAGATGGCGTAAGTGGAGAATTATTGGGTAAAAATGATAATGTATTCAGGTAAAAGTGACACAAACCTCTCAAAGGAAACCGGAAAATTTAAATCATCTTGGCTGATGACGGGATGGGACAATTGAGTTCCATATTATCCGATTCTGATGTACATTTTTTCCTTCTAACACACACACAATCACGCAGAGACACTAGATGAGTTGCAAATTGTGGAAGAAAACTGCACAGAGAGTAAGAAAAAAAAACCAATGGCTCTTTCACTTGCAGGGCCCGAAAATAACTATGACGCTGGGTGGAGGAAATCTTGTGTAGGAGAAGTGATGAATTTTCTCACTTCTCCAACAACTTTTTCTAGCAACTCTTTCTATCAATATGAACACTCTGTCGAATATGACTTCTAATTTCAGCTCTTTTCTCGTTACACTGTTCTTATAGGGAGCATTTCTTCTGCTTCCCAGAACGTCAGCCTGCAAAACGCGTTCTCCTCTCTCTGAAGGGGGCAACTTTTCTCAACTTTTTTTCGGTACTCCAACACCCCCGTTTTGATAGCAAGATTTGTGGGGAAAAAAAACAAGAAACTAATCAACTCACTCACATTAACACAATAACACTTCTCTCGATAAAATTTATCGTCTTTCTTTTGCAAATTTAAGCTCTTGATATTTGCAGCGGAGCTGAAGATGAGAAATCTGCCACTCTGTTCTGCCACACTTTTTTTCACTTCTCTTCACCAAAATTGTTCGAACGTGTGAAACCGCACTTTCTATGCACTACAGTTGTACTTCGTGGACCGTTGTGTGCTCCTGCGAGAGCAGTTGCAATTTCCTTGTGGTATTAAGTGTGTGAATTACAAATCTAGAAAACGGTCCACCCGCCCCAAATTGGGTCACTACCCGCTGCTGTTGTAGAATACTATGGATGACGATGGTGGAACATCGATTGGTGCCTATCACTGTGGGCTCTTACGCAAGTGCGACGGAGTACCAGGGTCGCAAGCCACCTGATAGGGTCGACGAAAGCTCTGGCTGTGTAAAATGGGGGCTGCTCAGCGACCCTGGTGGCGTCGGCGCACTACTAATAGTTCGAGGGAAAATGACGAACTTCTCCGGTCGCTCATGCCAGATATAAATGCACACAGAGGGTGATTTCAGTACACAGGCTCAGTGACGCTTCGCGGTGTAAAGCTTCCCGTTGGCGAATTTTCCTAAACGCCCTACACTGACAGACGATTTTATCTTGAAGACACCGTTTCTTCTGCTACATTTCAAATCACGGGTCAATCATACGTATGATGGCAGACTATGGGCTACCGAGGATAGCTGACCGAGGACTTCCCGAGCAGCATCAGTCCGTGTGTGTGTGTGTATGCGTGATTCACGGCTTCTATAGCGTTGAATGAAGTGTCACATACACCGAAACATCGTCACGGCACGAGCAAAAGCTTCGACGATGACGACTTTCCCATTTTTAACACATGCACGAAACAATATATGTATGTATAGTATATGTAGAATGAATGAAGAATTCACCGTACATAAGCAGAGGGTGGGCAATATGGGGGAATAATGCGATGGCACAAGTTAATCAAATCTCATCCATACACAATCATTACACTACTGACGAGATGACAAACCCAGATGTACACTCTAAGTCAACATGAGATGAAGGAACACGAGAGATTACCCGCGAATTCAAAACAGGCTTAATCTTTACTCATTGTATAGTATAGCATGTTATATGTGTTTTAAAAGGATACCATGGTTAGATCATACATATGTACATACACGAAATGGCCATTTTATACACCCAATTAAATTGTTTCACTTTATATTTCTTCTCTCCCGTCAGACATTGCACGAGAGGTGCAGGAAAATTCAACCAGTACAAATATACACTATATGCAGTATTTGGTAAACCACTGAATAAAATAGAATGCAGTGAAACTGATCTAATTAGATGAAACTTTCTAGAATCTCTATGATTTCATTCCATACACGAATGAAATATTTTGACTTTTTATTTAGTCATGCATGATCATTACATGTTTCAAGTAAAAAATGATACCAAATTTTAGCAGCATAATATTGTGATTACATTGACATTGAATCATTGTTAATAATAAACCAAGAAGGAAAGTTTATAGTTTAAGTTCACTTTATTGAATAAGTGGTTTTTATGTGTCACGGAAAAAAGCTATATACATACATATGCATCTACGGTACGTACTCATTGATAAACTCGTGAGTGTAGGAATGTCGAATAAGCAGTGGATGCTGCTTATTCCAATTGAATTAAATGGGAAAATCTGGCTTTCAAAGTGAGGGTGAAATTCTCATGTCTTTTAGAGGCGTGTATGATATTTTTCAATAAGTGACCATAAGCAATAGTGCTGCCAAGGGAAAACCAATTGAGCCCCATATTCATGACCTACGACAGACAAATCAACATTGTGTGGTCATTTTGAGAATATAACCATTTCTGTAATGAGATTATCACAATTGAATATAGAATTCATGAATTTACAATAGGTAAAGAAACATTTCATAATCTACATTTGAAAAAAAATACCAATTTCTTTTGTATAAATATCACATTTCTTTAAGGAATAATGATTAAATCGATATCTGTGATGTAAAATATCACGTACTTGCAATAGTGCATACCTATAAAACAGAAAAAAATTAAATGTCAGTTTTGGGTATGGCCACTTTAAATTACTAAATCGATTTCGAAGCTGTGTATTAAATTTTCAATGGAGCATTCATAGGTATCATTACGATAAAATGGCCAAATATATACATATTATACACTAAAGTTTATCTTTTCTATTTATATCACTCATCCTGAAGCATGGAGAAAATCCATTTTCAATAGTGGAGCTTTTTCAATTTCTTCTTTTCATCTAGTTCGCTCTTCTTCATTTTCCAGAATCCCATAAACCACTGTATATGTATAGTCTGTATATACCTCCGTTCATGTGGGAATGAAGATTTCCTTACCACCTACATAAACACCTACGATCAGAAGACTCCTCTGTGTGGGGTTTCCACGAAGCTTTTCGGAATTCTACGTCACAAATACATATACGGAGAGCTCAAATACATTTATGCTTCTGTCTCCCCATAATGGCACAATGGGGTGATTATATTTTCGCGTATAGTCCGACAAAGATGCAACTGCGCATGTCTTTGGACACTCATATTTTCTCTGTCTCCACATACTGTCTCCAAGAGCTTTCGTGACGTCACATCTCGTATTTATACTTATCTGAAAGTATAAAATCTATTAAAGAAGTTTTATCCCATCAGATCTCCCTCGTGTGTTGGATCCTTGGTTGTATCTTCATTTAATGACTATACTGACTATAGTAAGAATATTTCCTTTTCACAATTATATCATACTATCCCCCATACATTAGCTTAAAGCTCTGCTCTAAAACCTTCCCATTTATATTAAACTCCTAAATTTTATTTATCTACTGCGCTACAATTAGCTCATGTACATTATAGCGCTGTATCATAAGATTATGTGGCTGTATTAACAAAATTTATTCATTGACTCGCTCCTGTAGCTACTCAAATGCATAGAATAACCAGTGACTCTTCACTGTCGTGTACTCTTTTATTCACTGTTCGCTAAATTGTTAACAATAAATCTCATCCCTTCTGTACTACAAATATCATGATGGATGCAAAAGGACCAAAAAGAATACATTGTGGATTAGCTAATGAGATTTTCAACATAATAAAAGTAAAGTGTGATACAATTTTTGTGATTTAATAAATTCTACAATATCCGTACTTACCTATAATCACATTCCACTTTTTCACACTAATCATGACAATAACACTTACTATCTATATTCAAAAAATACGACTATTTCATCAATGCCTAATTTTTTTTTCTATTATTTATTGATTATTTTTCCATAACAATGTATTTTTTAATCAACTATAAAATCATCCGTGTCCACACGCCATGAAAAACTTGAAAATATCTCTAGATAAAATTTTGAAGCCCACACATGAATGAAACTTCATACCGTATTGAACATGCGACCAATGCGTTTAATTAGAGGTGACGTGACTAAACATCAGTGTTGAATTTCGTTAATATTTCATTATTATAGATGTGCAATGTTGCACTAGAAGGAGTAGTGGAGTTTCATCCATGCTGACAGGCACAAATACTCGCCGTGCATCTCTAAGTGGCTTTCACATAAATTCTATATATTATTCTAATGTAATGCACTTTGACAGCTTTCAAACCAATTACCGTAATTCTCAAAGAATTCCTGAATGCTTTCGAAAAATCTATCATGTCTATCATTGACTTCTCTTCCATATATACACAGAAGAAACTTATAATTAAACTTTTTCAAACTGAAATATGTGATAAAGTAAACAGAATATATAAGAATTTTCAAAAGCATATGACTATATTTCAGATTTCTTTTTCTCTCTAGTTGTTCTTTCAGTACAAATGCACATAGACATGTATAGGTTTTATTTCGTCCCTTTGAAGATAATGAAGTCTCTATTGAAGAATTTCTCGACCAGTTCAGTTAGATCTTTTCTAATGGCATAGTAGCTCTCAATTGAGTTCCCAAGTAGGGTCCTGATTAAATTTACCCACAACATGACGCGTGAAATTGCCACTAAAGGAATATTTACAGCACGATTTTCCCAGCATATTTCATGCCTCATGAGAACGATATGTAGCACCATATCAGAATTCTGTTCATAGGAAATTTAATTAAAACTGCTATATATTATTATCCATGTTAAATGTATAAAAAATCTTTTTTTTTATTTCACGTTAAATTATGTACAAAACAACAATATTCTTATTACAATCATTCAAGTGTCACTTATCCAAAACCATTTAATTTAACAGAATATAGACAATTTCCTCTTCTGCCTAAGGGTTAATTTTCTACTATTCGTTTTTGTCCAACTACAAACTAGTATGTACGCATTTTATGGTTTTAAATTTCACCTGCGCTCTGTATCGTTTACTGTAACCTTTTCAAGTAAAAAAAAAATCAATCTCAATATGTGTCACCGTGTCTCCTCTTTTCCGTAATTATTTACACCAAAAGGATATCGGAATTTTTGCGAATGAACATAAAATGCGAGAGTTATTTTAGTTGAAATCATACACACAAAATTCGATGACTATCACTGAGCATCCACAGAATTGAATTAAATTTTTGTCATGTGGGTGTTTGTGTGTTATTTTGTGTCGTATTTTTTTTATTATTCTCTCGGTGAAATGAATTCACTCTCTTGATTCAGCAACGAAATACAGGAGCGCAACAAAGGCCAGGCTTCAGTCAATTTCGAGTGCTCTGAAAGCTTTCACAGGTGGTTGTCTCACGTTATTCACTTTATTGTTATTGTCACTCGTCGATGTGCTCTTTCTCTCTTTCGGCTTTTCCTTCAAATGTACAGTATCCATCAGCCAATCCCGATACTCAGACTCAATCATATGTCTCTGGTCCTTGTGATACTTCTCCAATGTATTGAGTGGACCACCGTAGTCCTGCAACGAGAAAGTGAAAAATAATGCAGACCAAATATGTTATAAGTCACGAAGCAAGTGATTTTGTCCCACTCAATCACAATACACCCTCAAAGCGAATTCTCCACAGGAAGAAATAAAGAAAATTGGATTTGTACAAATGTTCTATGCAAAAAAAGCTTTATCCTTATAGACATTGAGGAGAAAATGCATAGATATTGAAAATATAAGTATATTAAAAAAAAATTAAACAAGGAATAATAATCATGTATGTATTTGGTTATTGCATGACATTAATTGCTTTAAATCGTAGGGACATTCATTCGACGTTATTGTTCTTTCCGAGAAAAAAAAAAGGTTTGAAAACAAGGAGAAGCAAATTGTGCCAAATCCATGCAGTATTTACAAGGCAATTTAGTGGGAACACTTAAAAACCACCACATTCTTTGCAAATTTCATGGAGTATGAGTAAGACTATCATCACTAGCGTATCTAGCTTTGGTGGTGTCCCACCACCCTATATTTTCCCATTTATATACAATAATCATTTGTTATTTATGGGCCAAGACAACACTGAATCACAAATTGATATTTACTGAGAATTTTCTCTTTCTTCCTGTTCTTTGCACACACTAAAATTGCCGCTGCCACCACCCTCTGTTGGGGGCCTTTTCGCCGCCACTTCCAGTGACTGCTCGCCTCGCTACACGCTCATAATACATATAACAACAATGTAATGAGATGAGGGAGAACTCGAGGAAGGATAATTTGAATGAGATGTCGCCTCATATCATTTTCTTGTGTGACATTGCTTCTATCCTCGCTTAATTCTACAATGTAATTCTAAGAAATTGAATGTAAGAATTATAGATTTTCCCCGTCAGGCTTAAAGAAACAAGGCACAAGGATATTCTCAGGACAGACTGGGTCTTCTAGAGTGGAAAGGGTTGTTAGGGGAGAAGAAAAAACCAATAAAAGTTTGATAGCAAGGCGGAATATTTTAAACAATATTGAAGATATTACAGAGAGACATGACACTGTACTTTCTGTAGCAAAACCCATTCCGAAGACGCTGAAGAAAATCACTCCAAACATATAATACCACACTTCTCAATATCTTACACCCAATTCGTGAATAATTTTTTTTTAAAGTTTTGAGGGCATTCATCACATGCATTCACAATGGAGCCAAGATGAAAAAGTATTGAAGTGGGCAATAATAAAAGCACCAAAGTTCTCTCCTCAACTTCTTTTCTTCGTCTTCCTGTGGACATTACGTAGTAAGAATGGGTAGTGTGTGTGTGAGTGTGTGAGAAGGGAGAAGCGGGAGGTACGATGGGTCTCACATACGCTTTCTCTCTATATAGGGAGAAATATAAATAGGTTTTGCTACATTATTGATTTTGCAAGAGGAAATCTAATTCGATATTCGATCACAGGGTTTGGGAACAATTCATCCATGAGTCAATTGATGGCTTTTTATCATCCCATGTGAAAGCTTGGCACCCTCCACTGTGGTTTTCACATCCCCATATAGCTATTCGCACCGCATTCACACCTTGTCTCACCGGCCAAATATGCAAAATACGCGCCGCTTTAGAAAATTTAACATTGAAAATTACATAGAGATAATTTATATCCATCAATCAAGTAAATAAGGTAGCAAATTGAGCAGATTCCGCCATACAGTGTTGAGGTGATGCCTCAAACCATCTCACTTCCCCTTCCCCTTTCAGAAAGAAGTTGACTGTGTGGAGTGTGGACATAGAGTGTAGAAGAAGAGGTGGAAAAAGTGTTCAAGTTCCATACCTCTGAACGATTTTGGCACGATATCATTTCGAAATGTGGGACTGCGAACTGTGAAAAAGAGGTCAATGATTCTGTGTAGCGACGACATGCATTGCATGAAAAGTATTTTTCCTTCCCCACCCAGCCCACTCTCTCCTCCAGCACACCTCAACTCTGACCACTGTGCGGTTGTGAATTCCCTGGTGCGGGTGTGATATGAATCATTGAGTGCTTGAAGCCCCGATACACCATCAAATCAAAACATTTGGTCATTTTTTACAAATAAATTTCTCCGCACAACTATTCACATTTTTATGCATTTCAGCACACACACAGGAGAGTGTTGAATAGTCATGGGAAATCACGAGATTAGCATTGTAATGTGGTGTATTAGTTAATATTGAAGAGAGAATCAAAATCAATAACTTGGCACAAAAGCACAGTAAATAGACTAGTAAACATATGTAACTGACTTGTTGACAAAACATTTTTTTTACACATATTAAAATCACAAACGTTAAGAATACGTTAAGAATTCATTATAGTACATAGTGGTTTACTTATGTAAAGTAATCGCATATTTAATAGTTTATTCGTGCATTGCACATTTAAAAGTCAAATCTCAAATATAAAGTGCATGATTTTAAATTTGTATTTTTCACATATATAAACTTCAGGAAAGTGCAAAAATGGCAAAAATAGTGAACCTTTCTCGTGTAATCCACATAAACCCCACACTTTATCAATGTTTAAAGTGAAAGAACAGGAAAATATATGTACTTTATCATGTGTAGAATTTTCCTGGCACTATATAGAAAATGCCTTGAAGCATGAATAAAATGAATTATCAAGTAAGATATAAAAAATGTATCAGAAGCAAGATAGGAGTATTTTTGAATATCCACACAGCGGTTGTAATGTCAATAATGCAATAAATTCATCAATAGTGAAATGGAAAATTCAGAAAGTACAGGTGCAATAGGTTCACACTCTCACCTCGGGCAAAAGTGACAGAGGGAAAATGTCAGCTGGTCCTCTTGGTGTGAAATGCAGCAAACTGAGGAGCTCAGATTTGATGAGTGGCTTTATTATCGACATTATTTGATTGATGAAACTAGCAGTGTGAATCACATAGATCTTCTTCAGGCGCACCGGATGAGCCTCCTGAATGTACTGCATGAATGTTCGCAGCGGTCCTAATTGTATTTTGGTGAGGTGACCAAGCCTCAATCCCTTCATATCGAATACCACCATGTAGCCCTCCACGATGCCATCCTCGCTTATTTGTACGTCATTGAACATACAGAATGCCTTAACAGCATTTCCGAAGTGCACTTTTGCTGGATCTGTATCGGCAAGCCGGTAGTATATCACTTTGTAGCCTTCTCGTGTCTTTATTGGCATCGATGCCATGTGCCTGTTGTCCGAATATATTTTCCACGCCATTCCACCGGCATTTATGTTGACGAGACAGATTTAAAGAGAGACAAAAGAATAAGTTTTTACACAATGTCATGCGGAAAATCAGTTCATGCAATGTTCATACGTTATATCGAAAACACTCTGTATGGCTTTGTCTTCAACATCGCGGTTCTCGAAGACATCTGAGGATGATGCCCGCAGTTGACAGTACTTCTGCAGGGCGCGTTTGGCATCCTCAGGAACCCACAAGCACGCGTGAAGGAACAAGTACGCATGATCTTTCGTATATGCTGGAAATCTCGGCTGCTGTTTCATCCTAGAATAAAAGGCAGCATAAAACAACATATCAATCTCTATCTAATCTTCACAATTCAGAATTTATCACAGGCCAAAAGGCATTCCTTATTTTTTAGACCAATTACGTGTAGAAACAGTTAGTTTTATATAACATCTTCGTGTACTGAATCTCTTCAAATGGAATTTCAATTTTATTTCCACACCATTTGATTCAAACAACATATTAAATGCAATTTAACTCGATTTTTCTCCTCACTACACATTACAAATAGCTCCAATTATACTGTCGAAAACACATATCATATCTACTCACCATTCATAGAGATCATCCACGTCCTTAACCTTATCTCTTGGTATTTTATCAAGGAGGCTACGATTTTTGAAGGGATGAGTCATCTGTGACATTTTTGCACTTATTTGTTGATTAATTATTGCCGTCGAAATCTTTATCTACTCTTGCACACCTTCGTTTCGTCTTTCACGGATTCTACTCACCACACTATAAATTAATCAATTTCTATGTATCGATTGAAGCAGCAATTATAACAGGTATATAATATTTTGTATACATTTCATACTTTTCGCTGCATAACTTAATGATACTATTAAATCGATTTCATCTTATTTATTAGATTCTGGGGCGATAGAGAATTTAATGATTTGATTGGAGCCCTGTTAGTTTTTTCTTATTTGTTGGCACTTTAATTTGATGATTTTGTTGTGAAATGTGGATTTTTAGTAAATCAATATTTATAAGACTAGGCAAAAAACGTGAAAATTTGATTATGAAGAATATGAGCCACGAAAACTTTGCAAAACGCTGAAAGTCTGCTAAGAGAATATCTGGATACTTCACTAAACTCAAATACTTGAATTAAATTGTAGTTTTTCCAATAAACTACTAACACGACTTTAACCACTAGAGTCTGTATGTATAGTGTGAAAAGTGTGAAATTGCGAAAAATCGAGTTTCACAAAATGCGTTCTCATCGCTTTATTTTTATTTCATCCTGCAATTCTACAGTGATCAATCAAGTCAAATTTTTGACTATTCATTAGTCAAAAAAAGAATTATAAGAAGCTTTTATACTCGAGTGAATGTATCACATAAAATAGACTTCATTTGCGCTGAGCATTCAGGCAAAGTTTAAAGTAGAAAGTTTCACTTGAGATTGTTACAGTGACAGACAAGCTTGTAAAAAATTAACGTACTTATTAGGCAACGTACACTCGAGAAGAAAATGAACTATGATAGACATCTCAGAGTGAATGTAAATGGGGCTCACATCGTCTTAAATATTCAGTGATAATCAGGAAAAATTATTAGTCATCAAACTTCAATTAGCTTAGATTTCACAATGAATACAATAAGAATTAAACCTTATTATTCTACTCTGCAAATACCAATTAAATTAAACATCCAGGCCGTTGCATAAGAATTAAGTGATTGACCATTTCACCTTATCGTAATCCTTGCTCTTCGGGCTCCAAAAGTGCATTGAATTCCTATTATACTCCATACTAAATGCAACTCCGTATGCTAATTCGCCATTGTCAGAGGTGCTTTAGACTTTCAATTAATACAATTTTGCATTATATCTTTTCACAATAACATGAATTATCGGTGAGCTGAGCTTGTATGGAGATGAGCAACGTTTTACTTTTCAACTATGGAATGTGCACACTTCACAACATTGTTCCAACGCTCAGCGATTCAAGAGTTTATCTGCTTTATATTTTCATTATGAAAATAAATTCATTCCATGATGTGCTTCTATTTTTTCTCCCTTTGCACACAAAATACTTCATTTCTTCAATACCACACGCACTTTTCTGTGCAGCAATATCTCTCGAATGATCATTGAGCAACAAAACACTTGGACACCACATTTGGATCTGCTGAAAAAGTGGCCAAACAAGTATGATCAGCAATAAAATTATCTGTGGCTCAATGGCAAAAATTTTTATCTCTTGCCAATAAATGATGAGTTGGTAAAAATCTCGCGAGTATTGAGGAAATATTGCGTAGACAAACCGGTTTTTTATTATTAAAATTGATCTTGCAATCATTGAGACATGTCAAATAAAAAAGCCAAAAATAAGAAAGAGAGAATATGAAAAAAGTACATTGGGTCAAAGTCTGTATATATTTATATATGTGTTTTCTTTTCGCCTCTCTGTCTCTTCTTCATTCACACCAAAATCTAGGTATGTATACCTTCGGTCTGTTCGTGTACACAGTCTATAAGGTTTATTTTGTTTTCGATTACGGAATATCAGAAATTCACAAGTTTGCTTTCCCGTAAAAATTGCTGCTTCCAATCTAATACATATAGAGCTTCTCTTTTTTCAGTAAATATTTTTACTCTAGGCTTCACTTCTCTTCAATCATACGATTTATTGCCCTCACTCTTTTATGCACTATTAACACAAATTCGTTTTATTTGACACATATAATTTTACCATTAAAATTTTGTATATTTAAAAAAATATATATATATTAATTATTGATACACGTCATTGCGTAGACTAAATTCTAATCAGAAATTACGATATTGAATGAAAATTTGTAACTTCTCAAAAATCAAACTGTCACAACTTTCATCAATTTCGCAGATCACTTACGCAGTATTCTTTACATATAAAAGATAATATTATTTTTATAATATGCCACTGAAAATCACTGATCTTCTGCAAATATTTGTATGCAATTTCTTTTTTTTCCTTTAACTAATCGCACCTCGAGTAGAAACCACCTGTATGATTGGACGTACTCTGCGAAACTGAGCGCGAATACAGCATTATAAAAGTGAAAATGCTTTTGTGGTACGCGTTGGTTTCAATGTCCATTCCATCGTGGCTTTATAAATGGTATAAAATAAAATTCTCATACACACACCATCAGACCATCATGTGGTATGAAAGAACAGAAAAAAGAGTTGTATACAATATACGAAAAGACGACCGCGTCTTCACCTGATGTCAGTATACTTTTGTTTTCAATTTAAATGGCACTTTCAGTCGGTGCCAAAGAGTGGGGGTATACATATCGCGGTCGATTTAGTAAGTAATACTTTAAGAGTGAGATTGATTCAAGAACCATTCTAAACATTAAAAATGAACTTTCAAAAATATAATTATGGTGTTGAATTGAGTGAAAATGAGAAAATATTGTCTACTCTCGAGTAACATTGCAATTTACATACATACATATATTGCTATGCATACTTAATACATGAACGCTATATACCTCATATTTACTCACGAATAGACGACATTTGTCGTAAAATTACGTAAAATGCAATTGCACCGAGTGAAATTCAAATGCGAATATACAAGGAAGTGTGCAGTCAATCCAACGTGGCGAGAGAGCGAGTGCAGAAACAGCATTTTCATAATGATACAACTGGAAAAGCGACTTTTCAAACAGATACCTCATACAATATTTCATACTTTGGCATTATGACAAGGTAGGAAAGATTTTTGGCTCGAAATGGCTAAAGCCACATCTAATCTCACTTTCAAAGCCTTAGAAGAGATTTCAGAAATTACACAATTTATGTATATTAGGGAAGAATTATTTAAAAGTATTTGTAACGCCTGAGTGAAGTCACCATTCATACTCGCTTTTCTGGTCAGAGTCATTCAGAGTTATTAGGAAAATTCTATGCATAACAATAGGGAAGCCGAAAATACCTTTTGCATCAAAGACCCTTTCCAATCCATTTGGCAGATAAATGAGAAAGTCTTAAACAATTTCATAAATTCAAATGAAATGAAATGTCACGAACCTTTCACTAAAATTGTCTCTCCTCATCTCGCAAGATTGGTGCATCTGTTTAGCTATTGCGTCTTGCATGTGCAATTATTTTATGTGTAAATAGATTGGATTTGTGTATCACGCAGTGAGATAAATAATTTATAAAGTGATAACTTTCTTAGTTACTATGTGTTTACTCACGTTTGCCCCACATCCCATCTCAGAGCAGTGGCGTAATTTCCGTCGATGCCTATACTTGCAATGGCAGAAAATCTCTTTGGGCGGAAAAATATATTAGAAGAGAAGAGACTGATTTAAATTCCGATGAAGTTCATGAAAAGCTTCACTCTCTTTGGTGACATTCTTATCATACAAACTTCATTTCATCATTTTGCACATTCTTAGCCTTCCAAAATACTCCACAATTCTCTTCTATTGCCAATTTCATTCCACCACTCCTATTCAACTCATCTCTTGGATATATATGCTAATCGACAGAATGACCTCTCTGAGAGGAAGGCTAGATAGATGAAATTCGCTGTGTAATTTCACTCTTACAACACAATTTTTACTTCACGATGAAGAATTTTCTAGAAAAAAGAACCGCAAGTCGGGGAGCAAAGCACTGATAGATAGTCAATATTAATTAAATATTTGTCAGGTTATTAGCATGGGAGTTGCACCAAGTTAAATAGCCACAAATGTCGTTTTTATGCTAATAGTATGTAAATTGCCAAATTGATGTTTCTATCATGAAGCTCAATCACATTAACACCTGGCGCGCCTAAAGCACTAAATAAATCATTTTCTTTCCGCTTTAAACAGCGGAATATATTGCGGATGAGTTAATATTTTAAATAGTTATAATTATTATTACATCAAGTGGAAACCGCACAAATATATGTAAGAAAAGAAAAAAAAGTATTTTTAGGAAGAAATTAAGTTCAAGGTTAACGCAGTTGAGCGTTTAATTGATTTATTTTGTAGGTTAATTGTGACTATAAAAAAACTATTATAAAATTTTGTTCAACTAATTGCCGTCACAAAGAACAGCACTAAATACCTATTCGGAATTAGTTTAAAGTTGTTTATTTCGCCTTTATTTTTCTGCAGAATGAAAAAATTATACAGCAAAACCACAGAAAGCCATTTTTCGGCTGAAGCGGCACAATCATCTAACGCGACGAATCGATTTTCTTGATAAAAATTGCACTAAAGATTTCTTTAACTTTTTTTTCGTCTTTCAATTAAGTTTCCCGACATAGAAATTGCCGTGTGGAAAATTCATTTTCCTATTTCTCTTTTGCACTCTCTTTCTCAGTTTCTTCCGATCTATGTAGTTATGTACAATCTCCACATCGTATACCAATAAAATCAATGTTGGATATTGTACAAAGTATTTTTTGGGATAAAAATAAATATTTATCGTGTTGATATTATTTGCAATTACCTCTGCTCCACTTTTTTTTGTTCTTTTAACGTACATTTTCACCCTCCCACTCCTCAATTGTGCCGTTTGTTGCGTTTATATTAAAAGAGGTGTACATTTGAGCAAAGAGAACAGGAGAGAAAGAAATATATGGCAATGAATGTGTGACGGAAAAGTCGATAAATTTCCTAACATAAATAATTCATAAGTATTTATAACGGCAGAAAGTGATGTTCTCAACACAAGAAAATAGCCAAAACACCATGAATTTTGGATTGTCTTGTTATCTCACACACAGAGTGACTATATATGTATGTGTCTTAAGTAATTCTCATCAGCATTTTGCCTCAAAACTTTTGCTCAATGGCGCGCCAACTTTTAAAATTGCTCACAATAAAATTTTTCTGCCACACTCGAAGCGTTAAGAGTAAATTTGGGCGTTTAGCTTTCGCGTGTAGTTTCCACTTGAAGTATTTCTCCTCACTCCAACTCATCGCTCACTTTTGTCGTTAGATATTTTATACTCACAATTGCTCGTGGGATATTGAATCATTATTACTCCCATCCAAACAACTTTCTTCACCTTCCTGCTCATTTTGAGTCTTTCTTCTGACTTTCCCGATTACATATGCATTTACATACTTATTTGAAAGTACAGGTAATTTAGTTAATACTGCATTTACTAATGCTATGTTTCTTACTTGACCGCCTAATCGCAAGTTTAACCCTTACACGGCCATTCAGCACGTGTGTAATTTGCGGCACTGTTTATGATTGTGTTAAACAACAGAAATAGAACTTCATAATAGCCGACTTTTTGTAGATGTAGATAATGACATTCTTATTTCTTAAAGAGACATATTGTAAAAAAAAATGAAGAACAAGTAATAAATTTCACGCTTATCGCAATTCGACAACAAAATATACAATTGAAAACTATTTTTTTGCTACACCAAATATTTAAATTGTCTAGATTGTCTAGATAGAAATATCCCATATTGAAATTACTTGTATCGCTAAATCTTTTAACACACATTTGAACAAAAGCATAGGAAATGTAAATCATTTGAAGAGTATTCAGTTTACTCCTAAAGTTCATGATAGTCATGGTTGTAAGTAAACTTTTAGCCATATTTTTTTTCTGAATGAACAAGGTGCACGAGTACATAGAAAACTTTTTCCCTGTGAACTATGTATGTATGTCTGATTTGTATTGTATCTAAATTACACAGACGAACATTCAACTCGGCAATATTACTATCTTTCATTTACTGTATTTAATAACAGTCGTATGTAACTCTTTTCAGTTGGACGCGACACTCGGCCGAGAGCGGAACACAGCGCAGAAGCGCTAAATCCATTTTCCCACTCTGCACAATTTATTATTTTTTACACAAATCTCACTCTGCAAGAAATTCCTTCACATTTTACGTTAGATCACCTGTGAAAAATCAAAAGTGTGCGTAACCTTCGCTCTTAACCTGTTACTTTTTCACAACTTTTTTTGTTTTGCTGCATCCGATCATTTTATTGTCAATACAGGCGGATAGGAGAAAAATCGTAGCTAATATGTGAGTATAATATTTTAGTGAAATCGTCTGCTTTAAAAGCTATAAAAAAAGTGTGATAAACATAAGAATAAATAGTGCCTGTGGTGAAGAGACTTGAGAACTTTTTTGATGGATTTTCCACTCGTCTTGCCAGTTTGGTTTCTTTCAAAAGGAATATTAATGAAATTCCATACATGTAGCTAGCAGTGCGTCAGAAGTAAATCTAACATTATTCATGATACTGCCAACAATCTTCCTGGCGACCTCTTACCACGTCGCAAGTGTGTCACACCACGTTGAGATTTTCCTCAAAGAACACACACTTCCGTCACCATGCAGTTATTATTCATTACATAAAAGCCAACAAATTACGAATTAATCTCCAGAGACTTACTGGGTGGCTTTTCACTTTTCTTCCATGCTATTATTCTTATCTTATCACAGAATTGGTAGATTGTATTATTGATTGAATTATACTACACATATATATTACGATAACATCCAACCTAATATACTTTTCCAGTGACTAAACAGAAAAGTGGGTACACTGTTTTAAGCGCACTTAAGGCTATGTGTCGAAGAAGTGTATATAAATTTACCCTCTAAAGTGAATTATTAATGTCAGTGATGATTATCGTGTTTCTACTCTATCGGATATCAACAACCGTGGGCAAATGAGGAGAGAAAATATAGAAAGAAATTTATCTCAATATGTCTAGTACACTAATCGTCTGTTGTTTTACCTTCAGCGAACGAGTTCATTCACAAGAGAAAAAAAATGTGTATCATTGAGTCGGAACAGTAGATCAACTATCACTCTTGGCATCCAAACTCCTCGAAATTATTGCACAACAATGCAAATGGGAAAAGAAGTTTATCTATGTGAATAATTTTTACGTGGTTGTTAATATTGGGAAATATTAATGCTGTTCATTTAGACATCGAAGTTGTTTCCAAAATCATATTTACTATTTTCAATACGTTGTCAGCTTAATAAGCACAAAATGATTTTACTTTTAACGCTTTCAACATATATATAAAATAAAATAATTTTCTTAACCAAACTGTTTAGAAATGCATACATTTTCAAGATAATGAACATATACATATTTTGCCCCATTTTAGTATATACTTATACACATATATAAAAGAAAAATTAACGCCAGAGAACAATGCTAAAAAATTGAATGCTTCCATAAAAAAATACAACCACATAAGTGCTTGTAAGCAAAAAAATTCGGCGTGTATTTAATATAATAGCTCAAAATTGTCGCGATTCACGAATATGTAACTCAAATAGGAATTAAATACCAACAACTAAATATTCGAGCAACAAATTCGCGGTTTTTCTGATGAATCATTTCACAAATATATATGAACAAGATCTTAAATAAACATATTTTGAAACTTTCTTTTAATTACTGAGTCGACACTAATTGAAAAAGTATAATTCAACTAAAAGAAGTTGTAAATTTTAATTATTTCACGTAACTTCATTATCAAATACTTTTACTCCCTACATTTTTAAAAACTACGAATAACCTTACGTAAAAATACAACAATAATTATCAGAATGTAAAAGTAATTGAAAATGTTATTTCTCCAACGTTTAAGTCAAACATTGATATCTTCTCCATTCAAGCCACATATGAAGACTGATGTGTATTAGTTACACGACTGGTAAAAATGCAAATAATATTCGACTATTGTAGTGACAACAGGATTCTTCGCAATTTTAATATTCCTGTATGAATGAACTTGGATTAGTGCTATTCATATGCGCTATTATGTATATTTTTCAAGAGTACTTTCAATGGCACTGACGCTGAATAAACTTGTCACTTGTTTGCATTTGTGACCTAATATTGTCTTTGTTGCGACGTAACTTTTAGCACTTGACCATTAATAAGCCGAAAATTGTCGATCTCTTGGAGAATATTTATTGCGCATTTCCACTCAATCGGGAAAGGAATTCAGGGATTCAACACCCAAATTGGCACACTCAATTGAAAATGACCGCAATTGACATGTTGAAAGTGACTTGTTCTTTAGGCTTTGACTTTTGCTGTTGAAGATATGGAAAAACAATTACGTATATGTGCCACAACAGTATATTGTAGAGGTGTTGTAATTTGCATTGAGACGTGTTGTTTTGCAACTAGCACACATTGTCAATTGCGGACTTCTTCAACTGAGTATTCACTTTTTCTTTCATTTATTCCCACATTCTGAAATATATATTGAAGAGACAGGTTTTTTTTTGTTTTTCCATCACCGTGATTTTCCGTTACACACTGGATGATGATATAATCCTGCTAATTAATATGAATGTGTGAATTGAAATTGAAAATCCTCTGAGGAATCTGCTCGTATACTCAATGACTAACTTTCCCATCCACTTCTCTTGATTTCATGTGCAATTCCTTCGAATTGGTGAAAAGCATATTGAGAGACTTCAAATGGCGCTCGTGGACTTGGAATATGATCTCGATGAGGCACTCAAGCGTGAAAATCTCACGAGAGATAATTTGGGAAAATTGAGAGAACCACCAATTCCAGGCGTACCCACCAACATCACAGACAAACAGGTAAATAATTGTGGGCTAGAAGTACACACAAAACAACAATCAGCGAATCGAGGACATTTGAGTAACAATTCTGTCCCCTCTTCAACAACTTATTTACTTTAGCTAGCTCTCTTCTTAAACGCCTGTGGCACAGTCGACGAGACGCGCAAAGTTATTAAAATCTACTATGAAGCAAGGAGAAATTCCCCGGAACTCTTCGCTGAACGAGATCCCACTCGAAGTGACATACAGAAGTGCCTGCAATGCCAGTAAGTATGATCGTACTTTCGAATGAATGAATGCGTGGAATACACTGCGCTGACTTCGGGTCATTTATCATGGGAAAAAAGTGATACTTGAATGTATAGACACAATATGCACAGATATTTTCATCAAAGTATGAAATCACATTGATCTTTTGATTTTTTTTCTCATCTCTTTTGTATACAAAATGAAGACTAAAAAACTCACCATATTTTTATTGCTTGCAGGGATTATTTCTACTTGCCACTGACTCCTAAAGGATACCACGTCACTTTCCATCGTCTCTCTGACTACAAGATATCCAGCTACTTCTTTGAGAACGCTATAAAGACGCATTTCATGATGATAGGTCAGTTAATGGTCACCTGTCTGCTAACTCAAATTTAACTTTCTCCTCACATTTCTCTTTAGATACCTGTCTTAGCAAGCAGGGTCCTCGGCCGGGCTTGATTTTTCTCTTCGATATGAAAGGTGTCTCGCTCGGGCATTTGACACGAGTCCGCATCTCGACGATTCGGAAGTTCTTTCACTACCTCCAGGAAGGTCTGCCGGCGAAACTTCGCGCTATCCACGTCCTCAATGTGGTGTCCTTCTTCGACAAAGTACTGGCCCTCGTCAAGCCATTCATGAAGGCTGAGATCTTCAATATGATGCACCTCCACACGTCCAACATGGACTGGGAGGAATTCTATGAAAAACACATACCCAAGAGCTGTCTGCCATCTGATTTCGGAGGAGATTGTCCATCTGTGGCCGAGATGCATGAGGCATTTAAGAAGGAAGTTATGGACTTGAGAGATTACTTTGTGTCAGACGAGAAAACTACGTTTGGTGATCAGAAGATAGAGAATAAAACACAGGAAGCACAGAGTATGTTCAAGAAGCTTGACATTGACTAGGATACCTCTAGGGATTGTAGTAAAACTTGGTGATTTCTGTACATTGTACATTGCGGGTTATGTTTACCATTGTTACCAATAGTGCACTTTTATATATTTTGTTTGTATACACTGTGGAAAATGAAAATGAATAAATTTTTTAGGGTTTTTCACCTTTTTCACAGACAATGAGATGTTTCGTTTCATCCCGAGTGAAAAGATCGAAACATCACAACCTCGACATTGATCAAAATTAACATTCTTCACGACAACGAAATCTTCCCAGCCGAATCACAAAACTCTAAACTCAATTTTTCGCTTATCTTCCTCGACAAATATGATATAAACACTTCACGTTTCGTATCAAAGAGTACAGAGAGTATATTTTTTATTGAATTCAGGAAGTTGAGCAAACATGACAGCTTACTGGCTTCGCATTCGAATTACAAAGTGTGGGACATCATCTGATTGGCTGCTATAATTTATGACACAACAGCTGACTCATAGCTAAAGAGTATTTGTTTTGTGTTGCAATTTTGAGATAACTTTGCGTTTTTCGTGGTTTTCACGAGATAATTGAGGCAAAAGGTGCACAAAAATGAATATGAACATTTATATGTCCCAAGTTTCTCAGTTACTGACATACATGAGCTCAGATGAGCTCAAAGATTTGCTGAACAGTGATGATAAAATTGAGGAACGCGTCAATGATGCCGTAAGTTTACAATCAAAATTTATTTATTTTATATATTAAAATTAACTAAACAATTAGTGAAAACATGTTCTTGATTGAATAAATAAAGGAGTGTTATGTTACAGACTCAGAGTCTCGAGAAAGAGAAGGAGGAGATAATGGTGGAGAATCGCATAAAGGCGGAAGAGAATCTGGCCAGAGAACCGCAGCTGATTGAGCTGCGAGGCCGAGTGAATGATCTCTCTCAGGAAGGAAAGTCTCTTTATGAAACTGTGGAGCAGAAACTCGGTGAAATAAGTACGCAATTGTAGCAACAGGAAAGCTTCTTCAACGACTAAAACTGATTATATTTTTATTATCAATAGAATCAAAATCAGGAAGCATGTCTCAAGATACAGCGCTTGCTCTGCTTCAAACAGCTGCTGCTGAGAGTGAGGAGGAGTCCGAGAGCATTGTCAAACAGTTCATGGATAACGAAATCAACGTGGACAACTTCCTGGAGTCTTTCCAGGCTGCAAGGAAGATAATGCATTTGAGAAAGCTGAAAGCGGACAAGATGAACGAGCTGATGAGGAACAGCACTACTAATTCAGCAGGATACCCGGCATACCCAGTGCCTGGCTCTGTGCCATATCCCATGGGCCCCATGCCTATGCCAATGCCAGGCTTTAGACACTTCTGAGAGTGCCTCTGCCCTCAAAAAATATGTTAGAAACATAAGTTAATCTCTATTATCAGAATATTTACAACTAAATTTCACTATAGACGCTATATACTTATTTTTCGGACTCCTCCTTGGGCTCTTTTCGAGGCTTTTCGAGCACTCTGTCATTCTGGGCTTCATCCTGGCACACGAAGTAAATCAGTGCAAAGAGAATCGAAGCAGCTAATAGGAACGCTTCTAATTGGAGGTAGCTAGAATGCGCCTTGTGTTTTTTTATGAAGTTATTATGCTTCTTCTTAGCCCTTTGGTGTCGATCCAAGGAGTTGCCGTAGTGCTGTCGAGTCCACTCATCAAAGTTATAGATGGATTGATCATGCGGCACTTCTGATCTCTTGAAGCGGGATTTGTAAAACTTGGTCTGGGCATCGTCGTCGGGATTCACATCCGAGGGACTTTTGAAGTCTGATTCTTGAGCTTCAGGGGCCACGGCACTTGTTTGAAGCACTCCTTAAGAGAAATAGAAATCTTCTATATCACTATTCGACGAAATATAATTCTCCAAATACCTTTATCATAGAGCCTGCGAAGTCGATAGGTGCCCAGAATTTCATAAGCCGCGGTGATATCCCTAAACTTTGTCACCGCTTCTTCGCTGCCCTTGTTCTTGTCCGGATGATATTGCTTGGAGAGCTTGTAATAGGCTGCTTTGATATCATTCTGGGTGGCTTTGGGTGTGAGTCCGAGGACATCGTAGTGATTTTTTGCCTGAAAGAGGATTCTGGTTCGGGAGAAACAACGTGAGGGGATGCAACACTTTGTTGAACTAAGGTTAAGGCATAGTCTAAACATCACACTGTAACTACAAGGAGTGGATGCAGGGAAACTCCTGCAAAGTCCTCACATTCACCTAAAAATACCCGAAGAAAACCTTGACAAAACGAGAAGTGAGGTTAGAATTATTATGTCACACAATTGGCGCAGAGGGCAGATAGCCAACCCAGAGAGCCACAAGAAGAAACAACGACAGTCTTTTAGAACTTCCCAAGCACTTTATTGAACTGCTGAAGATGTATCAAAAACTATCAGGACGTTTTCTGCCGGTGTACCTTGTGTCTGCTCGTGTCTCTTTTCCCTGACGTCTTCGACGCTCCTTCTTGGCCAAAATCCAGTCCCTGGACTTCTTCAGGGGCTTCCCACGCGCTCTCTTAGCCATTTCCCGCTTTTTTGCATAATCCACCTGCTCAGAACTCCCATCAGTTCCTAAAGCTTGAGGCAGTTGAGCCAATCCACCAGTCATCAGAACCAGAAAATATTTCTTGGCTTTCGCAGAATTGGGAAAATCCACCACAAGGCCACCCAAGAATCCTGCTTTCATGGCCTGTGACGTTACCAATTCAATTTGACTTGCATTCTCAGGGTAGAATTGGAATACAGCCCGAGCAGTGCGAGTGAGGCAGGAGAACAGGGAGCTGAAGAATTTGTACAGTCTCTTTTGTGGATTGTGGCTTTTCTTGTCAGCATTGCAGAGCCATTGTAGTGCAGATATTGAGATGGCTCCATCAAATGTTCCAGCTCTGAAGGGCACACCCTGTCCCATGTCACCGAGAATCAAGTCTCCTTCAACTTCACGCTCCACGGCAACATCTGGAAGGGCAAAACAAGTCAATAGTATGCTTCAATTGCTGTGATATTATTTTGTAATACCCAACATAGCTTGCGCAATATCTAGTCCAATCCACGTGTGACTCTGATCTTCAAGAACACTTCCTGAGAGTCCTGAACCGCATCCCACGTCGAGAATGAAACTTGGCTGATCTTCTGGGAGGGCAAGTAGTTCCACTGCTCTCTCACACATTTGCACCTGAATATCGATGATTCGGGTACTGTAGAAGAAATACAGAAGCTCAAGACGGGGTACTTGGAGAGAAATTAATTGAGAAAACTCACTTATTTGTGTACTTTCGTGCCTCTTCTTCATTATAGAACTGCAAAAGATTTCGATTTTATTATCAAGTTAAATTCTTACAAAATTTGCTACTATCTTACAATTTCGGGTGGAGCCAAGTGTTCAGGACGTCTCGCCATGGTTTTCTCACGAGTCAGAAGATAAATTCAACGTGAAAATCTTCGAGAAAAGTGTAAACAAATCCTATAAAATTCTTTTGACACTTCGACACATGGTCTCCCGAAGATTTACGAATGTGTCCCAAACTGCGCTTCGTTTATCTTCGTGATGTTGATTTGTTGATTCTGAGGTTATGAGTCATCAGTGTTTTGCATTTTCGTCGGGAAAAGTCTTCCTTAATTTCCATTTTATTTATGCAATTTAATTTTTTCAATAGCTTGCACGAAGGTAGAGTAGTAGAGGTGCGTGTTAAGATAGTGATCGCAACTATAATTTGACTTGTCGAGATTGATTCGTTGGCGTTCTGCAAGCCGAAGATAAATATAGATTTTCTCCTCAAATATCGCGAATAATCCAGAATTTTCTATTCTCCGCCTCTGGTGTAGTATTTAGGGAGACGGTGTACTAAAATTACTACAGTCGTAACAATTTCCTCAAGATCTAGAAACGTGTGTGAGTATCGAAAGAGAAAGTAAGGTTATAGAGGGAGTCTTAAAGTGACCCAGAAATTGTCTTTTTCAGCTCAGAGATCGAGTAAATATGGAAGTTATCGACGAGGCTCTTCAGCACAAAGAGAAGGGCAATGAGTCCTTTAAGCTGGGTGATTGGGAGAAAGCAATTTCGCAATATTCCCAGGCAATCAAGATTGGGGGGGAAAATCATAAGGATCTGAGTGTTTTCTACAAGAATCGGGCTGCCTGTTTCTTGAAGACGTCCGAGTTTGCCAGGGCAGAGAGAGATTGTCTCACGGCATTGAAGCTTACGCCCAACGATCCTAAGGCGCTGTTCCGGAAAGCTCAAGCACTTGAAGGATTGGAGAAGTTCGAGGAGGCCTACAAAAGTGCTCGAGATGCGTGGAATACTGATCCAAATAACAAGGCTTTGCAGCAAATGCTGGAACGTCTCCATGGGATTGTCCAGGAGAGAGTGACCCAACATAATCTTACGTCCAACAAAGTCAGTCAGATGGTTCAACTTGCTTTCGACTTTGCTCAGCCCTCGGATAAACGTGTGACCGCAATGAACAATATTCACGTCCTGGCCAGAGAATCCGTAGCGGCGGATATCCTCTTCAAGGATGGCATTTTCAACCGCATCCAGCGACTGTTGAAAGTGGAGAAGAACAACGAGATTTACTTGAGTGCCATCCGAACTGTTGGGGAGATTTGCAACAAATCCGTGGAGAGGACACAGGGTGTTCTCAAGGATGTGGGCATCCCGTGGTTTTTGGAGATTATAGACAGTTCTTTGGAAGATCGTGTGAACGCTGCTCAGCACTGCATGCAAACTATTTTGAATACATTCTCAGGAATGGAGAACAAAGTAGACAGCAAACCAGTGAAAGCTCTCTGTGATGAGCATCAGAAGGAGATTGACACTCTTCTGTCTTGTCTTCTCTACTCGGTGACAAATCCTACAATATCTGGTTTGGCAAGGGATGCAATCATTCAGTTGATTACAAGGAATATTCACCATACGGCTCTATCCTGGGCAGAAAGACTGGTGGAACTGAATGGTCTATGGCGACTTATGGAGATCTGCAGTGAATTGGAGGAGTACAAGTATGAGAGCGCCATGAACATCACATCCTCTTCGAGGACCATAGCTTCCGTATGTCTGGCCAGGGTGTACGAGAATATGTATTACGATGCTGCCAGGGAGCGATTCCATGCGCAGATTGATGAGTATGTGAAGGATAAGCTGCTTTCGCCTGATCTGGAGTCAAAAGTGCGTGTTACTGTGGCGATTACATCTCTCTTGCTGGGTCCCCTTGATGTGGGTAACACTGTTGTCTCCCGCGAGGGCATTTTGCAGATGATTCTAGCAATGGCGTCCATGGAAGAGGATCCACTGCAGCAGAAAGTGGCCTGTGAGTGCCTTATTGCAGCAGCATCGAAGAAGGATAAGGCAAAGGCCATCATAAGTCAAGGCATCGACATACTCAAGAAACTCTATACGTCGAAAAATGAGGGAATCAGAGTGAGAGCTCTCGTAGGACTTTGCAAATTGGGCAGTTCTGGTGGTCTGGATGCATCGATCAGACCATTTGCCGATGGATCAACGAGTAAACTCGCTGAAGCTTGTCGGAGATTCCTCGTGAAGCCAGGAAAGGACAGGGATATTAGAAAGTGGGCAGCCGAAGGACTCTCATACTTGACTCTGGACGCAGAGGTGAAGGAGAAACTGATTGAGGATCGTCCAGCTATTCAGGCACTGATTGAACTCACAAAAGAAGGGGATCAAAGTGTCCTGTATGGCGTGGTCACCACATTTGTGAATCTCTGCAATGCCTACGAAACCCAGGAGATTGTGCCTGAAATGCTGGAATTGGCAAAGTTTGCCAAGCATCACATCCCTGAAGAACATGAACTCGATGATCCGGATTTCATTAGTAAACGGGTAGTTATCCTCGGAAATGAGGGTATTACAACAGCTCTGGTGGCCTTGGCGAAGACAGATAGTGACAATTCTAAAGAATTGATCGCGAGGGTTTTCAATGCGCTCTGTGGACAGCAGGAGATCCGTGGAAAGGTGGTGCAACATGGTGGAGCGAAGGCACTTCTCCCGATGGCACTCCAAGGTACCGACAAAGGGAAACGCCAAGCCGCCCAGGCGCTTTCTCGTATTGGCATCTCGATAAATCCTGAAGTGGCTTTTCCTGGACAGAGATCATTGGAAATTGTGCGACCTCTGCTTAATCAACTCCATCAAGACTTCACGGCGCTGGAGAACTTCGAGGCGATGCTGGCGCTTTGTAATCTCGCCTCTCAAAGTGAATCTGTGCGACAGCGCATACTCAACGAGCAGGGCCTCTCCCGAATCGAGATGTATCTGATGGAGGACCACTTGATGCTGCGCCGAGCGGCGGCACAGTGTATCTGCAATCTCACCATGTCATCTGATGTGGTGAAGGCTCACGAAGGAAGCAACGACAAAATCAAGTTTCTCGCATTGCTCAGCGAGGATGAGGATGAGGAGACTGCTGTGGCAGCTTCAGGCGCTCTTGCCATCCTCACGTCCACCAGCGATATGTGCTGCAAGAAGATCTTCGATGTGCAAGCGTGGCTGGAGGTTGTGCACACGTGGATCGCCAATCCAAGTCCGCAAGTGCAACATCGCGGTGTTGTGACGATTCTCAACATGATCAACAGTGGCAAAGAGACCGCCCAGAAGCTCTTCGACACGGACGTGATGGAGCTCCTGATGGGCTTGTCACAGTTGCCAGACGACAGTCGTGCCAAGGCAAGAGAGACAGCCATGCAGTGCCTCAAAGCAGCTGAAAAGTACCAGCTGATCGAGAAGTCGGACGAGCCCGCTCCAATTCCGGACGTTTTCAAAGAGGAGGAAGAACGGCTGCGACAGGAGCAACTCGAGGAGCAATACACATAGGTAAAAATGCATTACTTATCCCATTAATTCATTAGATAAGGATACTTCAAGACATAAAAGGAGAGAGCCGTGCCTTAAAGGTCGCCACTACATCAGAACATTAACATTTTATCTTATTTATTCGTGCACGCAAATGCATAAGATGGTTTTTAAAGAATCATAATAACAATTACATTATAATGTAATGTATAATAATATTATTATTATTACTGTTTGCATTGTTATTGAAAGAACAAAAACATCTGCAATGTGTCTTTTTTTGGCAAGGCTCTACAATTATAAATTTTCTATCTGTAAAGCCAATTTTCATTTATGTCAGATGTTAAAACTAAAACGGTAATTTTTCCCCAAAACGACAGGAGGAAGTGTGCGGGAATTGTTGTGCAAAAGTTACTTAAAGAAAAAAACTCATGAGACTTTAGCGAATAAATTTGACTATATTTACATGACTTTGCCAGCTGTAGTACTTCAAGTATCTCAATCAGTGGAATTCTAGCTGGCAAGCGGAAGCAAGAAATGCAGCTATGATGTGTTGACGCCTTGCTGGAACTCCAGTGACGCTTGTTGCTTCAGTTCATCTTGCATTTCCAGTGCCATTTTCTTGTACTTCTCAGCTCGCTCCTCATTCTTCTCGATACCATCTCCCCTCGCGTACATTTGACTGAGGTTTGCACACGCATACATATTTTTGAGTTCGCAAGCTTTGTACGCGAACTCGAAGGCCTTCTTCATGTCCTTAGCAACAATAAACTTGCCCGTCTTGGCTGCAGCTTCGGCTTGGGTCTGAACACCAGAAATATGCATTCCAGAGAGGTAGAAGCATGCTGTGGCGTTGTTCATTTCACAGCTCTTCTTCAGGTTGTCAAATGCCTTGGGGATGTCTCGCTTCATTTCCTTGGGCAGCGACTGGGAGACGAGCAGGAGTCCAGCGTGAAGACAGCTGTCGGCGTCATTTAAGTCACAGCCCTTCTCGTAGTATTTGTAGGCCTTATAAGAGACACATATGTTCATGTTAGACTTTAACCTCTGTGATGTTTCAAGACCTTAACCTACGCGAAGAGAGTCTCCCCGGCTGCCAGTCTCTCCCTTTCCGACAAAGCTGTAATGCCCATATTTTAGGCAGGATCTCGCGTAACCGTAATCATCACAGTTTGATCGGTAAACCTTTCCAGCCTTCTCGAAGTCCTTCTTTATGCCCTCTAGGTAGTCTCCAAGCAAGTGACACACTGAAAATGCCCAAGAGAAAAACAGCGGAAATAGCCGTGGTAAGCCGCTCTGCCGGAATGTTATGTCATGCGTTTACCTTCTGATTTCTTCTCAGAAAAGCAACCAAATCGGTATTCTATCCCTAAATTCTCAATGTATTCTTTCACTTCGTTCTCATCCTTGAGATTGTAGCTCATTTCCGTCCCTTTTTATAACTCTACAGACCCTCAAAAATGTTCATCAAAAAACATCAACAACCACACTTTAGCCTCGACTTTAGTACAATGACAACACCGCAATTGTGAGGTTAGAACGCTCACATCGCCATCTATGTTTCGATGGAGCTTTTTGATGGAGGCGCCTGGTGTGATATATATGTGTGCATTTTAGACTCTACAATATATATCGAAAATATGAAAATAGTGTTAAAAACAGGTTTTATCTTGGTGGTGAATATTTAACAAATGTCCACAAATATCACTCTTGAAAAGGAAATCCAAGAGGAATTTTTTTTAGGGCTTCCAACCCCTTAAAAATTGTTTTAGACTCTGTTTTAGCTTGAAGATTTGATCTTTGACGGCAGTAAATTCAAGACTTTGATGATAAAAAAGCTCCCCTTTTTCCCATAGAAATAGAATCATGCTCATTAAGTGCGCTCAGGAAAAGTTTTAATTGAATTAAATGAATGTTTGACTGTCCGCATTCATATTTTATTGGACTTATTTATGAATGAATGTGTTGCAAGCATAAGGCAGATTAATGTTTAAATACTGCTTGCGTCCCCGTGTGTGTGCGAGCACAGAAATCACATTAAATGATCTTTCTCTTCGGCTTTCTATTTGCTTCGGATTTTAATGAAATACAGAAAAAAGAATTGATAGTCAAACAAGTAATATACAACACAGTAGATGAAATTAAAAATAAATGGGATTGTGTGATATTATAAGAGTAACAATGTGAAATGGTAATTTCCCATGAAGGGAGAGCATTTAAAAGCCAGTATAACATAGATGTATTTAGGAATATCTCATTAATTTATTATAACAAATCTCTGCGTGATGTTTTAATGGTGAATTGTTCAGCGATGGTTCGCTTCTTATGTACTTATTTATTTCAATCTCAGTACTTGCAAAAAAATAATCACAAAGGGTCAGAAGAAATGAAAATTCATCCAACACAATTGAAGAATGAAAGAAAATATGAATTGTGTACCTCATATTGCACCTAAAGTTCACTTTATATGGCATTTTACTAATTGTAACACCATCAGAGCTCTGCAAGTGAGATGGAGAAATATTGGGTGTCACTGCTGAATGAGATATGGCGTCTCGCAATAAAAATGCTAATTAGTAAGCAGCGAATGACCACAATTTTTAGCCATTTTTGTGCCACAATGTAATCGATCTAATGTGTCGGCGACACAGATATAATTCATGAAACCATGTGGCAAAGAAAAATCGGCTACGAGAGAAGGTAATCATAGAAATTGAATATGAATCAATTATGCAATGCATTGACTGCAATCTGGATTTGTGTTTCACACCGCGAGCTGATCATTTTACATATCAAAATGCAATCTTAGGTCTCAATACGGTTCAAGTGATTAAAACGTGTTTACAATGGTGTAAATATGCGTGGTGGAATCATTTCATTGCTTTGATCAGTTATGCATGTTCTTGATTCCAATTTGTATTCTATTTTATCCTTAACAATTTAATTATTCATCACGATTTTATCCCTTTTTCTAAGATATCAAAGTATATGGAGTGCTCCCAATGACTCAAAGAATTCTTTTGACGGTTTTATTGATGGCAAAAAAGGAAAACAGATCCTTTAGGCAATTTCCGAATCCAACCATTTGGTAAAAGCAATGTTTCAGTGCAAATGGCAAATAAAAGCGTGCATTAGAAAGGTATTTACCCACAATTTATTGGTGGCAAAATTCCCATCTTTCATGAGCCCTGAGCCAGAGTCCATTTATCGCTATTTTCACTTGTGTTGATGGATGCAAGATGAAAAGTGCACATTTCGCACATCATAAAAATATACATATTCACCTTTCACTGTATTGTCACGACACTGCGAGACACCTTCGTCGCGCTTATCTTCCCAGGAGGTGGGCGCAGAAAGGCCCATAGTCTTTCTCCCATATTAGCATGGACGGGCCCGCGTGATTATCTCGCGGGAGCTCAATCAGTCACCGAAAGAAACGTGCATTTTCGTGATCATCACCCGCTGTAGAGATGGCAAAATGGGCGCGAGAAGGCGGGAAAGTGGATGGGAATTGAGTCACGCGCTTTCACAATCGGATATCCGACACACTGCAGTCTCTATTGCTAATGTGATTTATACTTTTTAATTCAGACACAGTGCGGCTTCGCGGTATTTTTATATAAAAATTTCTTTTCTCAAGAGGGACAGAGAGAAATTCTTATACCTGCGAGTCTAGGCAAGTTGACGCGGTGTGTTTTTGGTGGGAGAGACAAATAGGAAGAAGAAACTCCATATGTTTATTTGCAAATGAAATAACTTTTAACGTAGAGATGCTACCAAGAGTGAATTCCCACGAAAAATTTCTACCGCCTCGCCGTAGAATTTTCATTGTCACATATTTTCGCCTGATGGAGATCGAGAAAGCGGGATTAAGATGAAAGAGACTCAGTGGGAGAAAATGCGATTCTTCCAGTTTTATATATATGTATGTATGTATAATTACTTCTCTCCCACATTCCATTGCATGTGGATCTCATTAAATCGGACTGTATTGTATCATATGCAATTCTATTCACCTCACATCGTTTGTTTGTTTACACAACAGAATTATCACGCGCACACCAAACACAATCCCACTTTTAAAGAGACAAAGTGTCTCTAGGTCACTCGGCTATACTGTTCGAAGATGGAAGATGAAGATTCTCCGCAAAAGAGACATAAAGATTCTGCGAAGTATTTATTCCCTTTGCTCGAAACACTTGACTTAGCATTCATAGCTATAGCAAGTGAACCACAGTCGACGATAATACTACATGAAAAGAGTGTGCAATTTAATATTAGGGCTTTAAATTTTATCCTTTAAATCCTTTCAATATTGCTGAAAGGAAGAAGCTCTACTATTCTTACAATTCAATTGACTTGTACTTACCTTCAAAAACTACAGAATCTCTATTTCCATATCATTCGTAGCTGTCATATCAATGATTCCCGACATATATAGTGTGTGGATTTGCATTGAAAAGCCACTGATGTGTCGAGTAAAAATGTCTTTGATGACGAAGCAAAGGCGATGAAAAAAATGGCGAGAAATTGAATTTGAAGAAGAACAAGAAAGCAGCACAAGAGTAACGAGTACGTCACGAAGTTGTTGATTCTCCGTGAAAGCCCTCGAGAAATGAGATTCATTTCACCATCATCGCCGAGGCACAATTCATCTCTGCACACGTTTCTCATGCTCGGCCAGTGTGACAAATTTATTTGATCGTGGCGCATTTGGTTCCATTTTGCTTATCCGACCTGGCCATGACATTGGCACTAGTCAAAGAGACCACCTTCTCCACCGCGGGAGTGCCGTACTCACAGTCGATTCAGCATCGCAGGAGGGAGTGCCGTGGCCGTGGAGAGTGCACGGAGGTAAATTGCAAATTCAGAGAACATTTTCACGTCAGATGCACAAATTGCAACCTAACACCATTCGAATTGGCCGGTGAGACAAACTCTCGCCAAAGGGAATTTATCGCTGACATCATACTAGTAAAACTCAATTGTGATCTCTTCAGCTGCAGCTGAACTTCCATGGACAGGAAGTCAATTGTGGTGTTCTCCACAATGAAATCTTCCTAAAGTTTCAGCATAATTCCAACTGAAGAACGCATAACTAAGGAGAAAACATATCATTTTCGATATAAAATGATTTTTCTTTTACCACCTTTTATATTGAATGCACTTTCCGTATTTGCATTGTGTTTGGATGAAATTATAGAGCAGTTTGAGGAACTGCAATTTTTTTCATTGAACAATCTTCTTCTTCTTCTCTACTCAAAGTACATAATTGTTAACTGAAGTGGTTATTTCTCTGGTGAGAAAAATATGTGTAATAAATGAACATTGGAAGAAAGATACATAATTCAGCGGTATTTTGAAAAGACTAAAAGCGAAATCAAACAAATTTTTAATAAGATAAAACTGTAATAAAGAATATACTTTGGTTTATTGCTGATACTTTTTAATCTTCTATCTTTTTTTCATTACGCATTGCAATTATTCAGTAAAAGTTACCCTTTCGCAATATATGCATAAAATAATGTCATAAATTTCCCGTTTTTTGCTCATGAAGTAATTTCATTCGAGCAGATGCTTTTTGTAAATTTAAACCGCTACTTTAAGATCTGTGCTTGTGATGAAGCACTTTCAAAATGAAAGTGAAAAATATTAATGCGTAATGGATTATTGTGGTATTTGATAAGCATTTCAATGAGCTGAGGTCATTCCAAACATTTCCCACCCGCCATGAATCGTCTGATTGAATGGTTTCGCAAGAAATGTGAATGTTTCATGAAACTTTGACCCCACAGACATTAATTTGGCTGCAATTACGTGCTGAAAACTGATTCGAACTCAGTTTTTAGAATTGCTAAACTTTATGCAAATTTGAAAAACCCTTTGACTCACACCGATCATCTTTCCCACCCTCTCCCATGAGATGTTGATTTATGTGGCAGATTATAAATATTTGAAAACGAAGGGAAATATAGAGGTGAATGAATGTGAAAGAAAAACATCAATTTGCTTTTTCAGACCTCTATTGAGCAGACCCACGCCAAATACAAGCCAGTGGAAGTTGGCGAAGTTGTAAAAAACGAAGCACTTGAGGTGAAATGAAACCTGCTTCATGGAGATCTTGTGAGACGGAACAACTTATGAACTTCTTGGGCAACTTTCTTTTAACACCCCGCGGCAGTATCACTAAATTGTGAGTGTGCAAAATGCTTTGGCAAGAGGATCGTGCGATTATTCTGCAATCATGAAGAAAACTGACCACTTGACTCATTTTTGCCTCTTTGCACTCCACAAGTGTGACTTTTGCAAGGAAATTTACAGTATTCACCTGCACTGAGAGAAATTTCTTTGCTAAAGCGTCAGAGGAGATTTCGCTGAATTTATGCGTGAGACTAAATTGCAGTAATCAAAGAGTGGTAAAAAAAAGCCGTTAGACTGGTGGAGGGTGACTATAGGAAGGAAACGTCTTTGATGATCATTTTTGTGAGCTTCCTTGTATATAGTTTCTTTTTATTTGCATAAATCAGTGTGAGTTTTTTCCCCCTTTATGTGTTAGATGGGTGAAATTATTGCTGCGAAGTTACTCAATTAAAAATATTTATGATATTTTACACCAAGAAATTATCGCCATAGAGAATTGTGTTGACGCTGCAAATCAGTGGAGCTCGCGAGGAACGCAATTCTGTTTGATGTCACACGGTAAAAATTGGCGTTTAAGTGGCGGGAGGAACTTTCACTGTAGATTTGTATGAGTGATGTTATTGATGATCTTGAGGAGACTCGCCGGAGCCGTTGAATTTTTCACCATGGTGGCCTTTTTATTGGCTTTCCCCCGCCAGATAGATAGTGTTCAGCGGTATATCCTCACGTTCGGTGGGTTTTTGGGCGAATGAGCAAGAGGAGAGAGATGTTTATAGTCGATGGCGCATCAACATAGCAATTTTCCCCATCAGCAATTTGTGAACTGTACACACAGTTTTAATAAATCTCTGTTACTTCCTCGTTGCGTGTGCATCTATTGAATTTTCGCTAAATTATTAATGGCTCGAGATTTTTATCACATAAATATCTAAGAGCTAAGCGATTACATGTTACTGTTAGTTGCTGCAATGGTTTTCAAGTGCTTACAAATCACTGGTTGAACTGGGTGAGGTGTGAGAGAAGAAGTATTTTCACAGAGGAGAAAGAACGCCGGCTTGCTGGACTTTTTCCCTCACTTCTCCACCTTCTCTATAGATAGTTTTCTACAGTCTTCTTCTGTTTTCATCTTTCTCCTCTATTTGCTCGCGCAGTGGGTCTCGAAGGCGCAGCATAGAAAGCGAGAAAGAGGAAGAAAACCTTAAGCCATACAGAACGGACTCAGGTGTGTCCGTTGAAAGTCTTACAATATTCAAATCACTCAACAACATAATTTCCCACCGTTATTTATGCTGGATATGTGCTACTCTCCTCTAGTTGTCTGGAATCCCTCAGTGTCACTGACACACGTGAGCCTCTAAATGACCATAGTGACTAATTTGCTCAACGGAGCTTGTTAAGTGATTAGGTAATGCAAGCAAAAAGACTTCTCAATGCACTGCCTCATGGAAGTGTGATGCAGAAAAAACGGACTTTCAGCTATATTAATTGGATAAAAAGAGCCGGTATGCGGAGAAAAAGTCTACGTGTAAAATGATTTTAATTGGAATTTACCAGAAAAAGTGAAATTCTCTCATTATTAGAAGTTGTCAGCTACTCGATGAATGCAATTGATCTGTTTTTAATGGCATATTTGGTGTACAAATGTTAAGAATATTGTATGTCGAAGTTTCATTTAATTGAAATTCAAGCATGAAAACATGCAAAGTTAAAAAGAGGGTAAATTTATTTTATCCTGATTACTCCTGATAATATTAATCAAAGAAAATCCATTCAATTGCAAGAATATTATGTCAGTATTAAGTAGTATATGAGTGCAATTGTATCCATGATTGTCTACAAAGAGAATCGTAATCGTGTTGCTAAGATTCCCATCATTGACGCACAATCAATTAATCAAAAGCCAATCTCACAAAAAGGTGTGTATAGGTGGAATTTCACTTTTGAGCAAATGCACAGAATGGTGTAACATTTGGAGTGCAAAAGATCGAGAGCAAGAGACTGGCTACAGATAATTAATGTGTTGCTAGCCAGGTTCAATGTTAGTAACTTGAATTTGCTATTAGACACTTCCAATTAAAATATGGTACATCTATCTTACATGGAAATTCACGATCTGGTTTCTCAAGAAGACACATCACGTTTGTACTTCTTTTCCCTTCTTCATTGATTTATTTTTTTTCCCTCTCATAAGCACAAAATACATATCGACACATCGTGTTTGGCGTGTAAGCAAACTCCCTGTTGTATGAGATGCGATAAATGAACATAACCCAGTTCTGATCACATTCAAGTGATAGTGGTCCACATTTTAAAATTAAAACACAGTCGCAGTTACTCAACTAGTTTTCACGGCATCTCACATCTTTTTCCAGATACACAGCATTCATCAGTCTGTTGGGACCGAAAAAATTCAATCAATTTTGATTTCCTTTCAACTTTCTATAACACGCCGAAGCACTTCTCTAGCTTCTATCAACAATTCATTTTCATCAGGCACGACACACTCAGCCAGTGACTAATCGGCTAATTGAGAGGATTAATTAACAGAGACGAGAAAAGCCCACCTCTTGGTCCATGCGCGATGGTCAGGAGATTTTTGATCATTGCCAAAGAAATTTTACTGGCATTTTCATGCTGACACAAAAATGGTTAAGATTCTTATTTAGGGATCGATTTAACGACATGAAATTCATCAAATAATTCCACGGAAAGTGAAAGAGATTACAATAAGAGTAAAATTTGATAAAAATGTTCCAATCACTTTTTTTTCTTCAATAGAAAGAAATATAGAGTTCAAATTCCTTCCATTTTCTATACAATCTTTCTACAAAGAAATTGATCTATGGCTGTCAACAATAGAAAAGGCACTTTTACTGTCCTAAATAGAAATCAAAAAAGTCAAATCTCTGAGTTATTATTTGATTTAAAAGAGCTAATTTGTTAATTATTCACATTGATTTTGTACATTAGGATGCTACTCAGACATTTGTTCTCTTTAATTCAAATAAAACGATAAAATCATGAGTTTCTGCAATAAAGGTTATGCTTTGGTAAAGGTAAATAATTTGTTAAAGATTGTTTGAGAAAGTTGTGTGTTGATGGTGAAAGAAATCATCAATGAAGAGCGCAGCCGTAAAACCAGCAAAAGGATTAGAGATGACGAAAATGCGCCGCTGGTGAAAATTTCATTGTGTTAGTCAATAATGTTGTATTTGGCAGCTAAAGTGAAGATGTCGGTACTTAAATATTAGTTTACTGCCAAATGGCAGTTTCTCTTTCTTGGCTGTGCATTGTTTTTCTTTTCTTCCCCACAAAAGGAAGGCACGGAAGATATAATTCAGCTAAATGAGATTATTTTTCATTTGAATTGTCTAACAGAATTCACCTTTCAGTGTGTACAAAAGCCTCAGATGGTCCATAACAACCGGGCCATATGCATTTCGGATTTATTTGTGGAATCTCACGATTTGCACCATGCATTCAGTTCATCCACAAACGAAAAGAAAATGATGATTATTTTGATTTACCTAATTAATTTCATAATCCAGGGAAAAATTCTGTGTCGGCGGGCGGAAATCAAAGTGTGTGTATATGTAATCTCACTTTCATTTCCTCAATCATCTGGCTTTTTGGGTGGATGACTGCCCGAATTGCCGCGCTTGCAAATGAGGCTCCATTTTTGGATCACACACAAATTACACAATATCACGTTTGTCTAATTTGGTCCTCACCTCAGTCGACCTCATCGGCGATTGGCAAATTTGTAGTGCTTTCTATGATAATGAACAGGGATCTGTGCCATGCATAAAATCGTGCTGCTGACATTTTAGTGTAATTCGCATTGCGTCAATTGAGTGTTAATTGATACTCATTTTACCCTGTCTTTGCACATAGTGTTTTTTTGCAGTTTCACAGCTATTGCATCCACTAAAATGTTGAAATTTATACAAAGATAATTTTTTAGACTAGAAAAAGAACATCAGCAATGTGCTATGTTTGTGAATTCTCACATGTAGTGCTGAAAATCTTAATCGAAATCGTGTAATTTGCACCAAAAGAAGAAAAAAACAGCGGAAATTGTCGATAAAAATCATAGTTTCCAAAAGCAGAATAAAGCGTAATCATGCATTTCTCACATCCATCCTCCAGCGTACGCAACTCCTTGAAGTGACTTTCACACTTGGCAGGTACGATGGTGGGACATGATGAATAATTTCAATATTTGATATTTGCTTTACCTTTTTCGAGTGTGTTTAGTCGTGCAAAGTCTTTTCACTTAACTCACATACGCCAAACACTCTTGTCATTGCATCTCAAATAATTGCTCTCTTCTCTCTCTCTTTCATCACTATATTTGTAATATACAATCCTCATATTTATATAATACATTTACATAGTTCTCCTCATTCTTTTCTACGCTATTTTATAAGTTCAGTATATACCAGTCCATTTTTGCTTCTTCAAACCATCTTCGTTGACGTTAATTAGCGTACAATTAAAATTATTAATATGTATGCTGAAATTGCAATTTGTATAGAGACTGTTCCCAATTTCCAAAGGAAATCTACACTAGCAACTCACTTAAACAGAAATCTTACACGACTTGAACAGTGGCAAATGCACTAAAGGTGACTTTCTTGGGGAATTCAGGACCCGCAGATGAGTTTCCCCTCGTTTTGATCACAGGCTTCAACGGAGCTCGTGGCTTCGATGACATCAATCCTGCCGACGCTGCGAACTCACGCAATTTTTGCGACAATCCCGAAGATTTATTTGTTGAATGCGTTACTTGTGGCAATGATGATGGCGTTATGTACCTATTGAAGACACAAGACAAGAACGACTATTAACTTTACATTCAATTGAATGGACATTGGGTTCCGAAGCAAATCTATATCCTTAAAATTACATGAAATGTGGATGGAATTCAAATCAGTCTTAACTAAATTAATAAGATCAAAAACTCGCTAAATGTAAACGCTTTTTTTGTCTAATATTCTGACCTTAATGACAATGAAATGATGACCAAAAAACGAAAGCAATCATTGAAGACATTCCTAAGAAATAATTGGATGTGTGGTGAAACCGAGTGCTTGGGGTCATGGAAAATGAAAGTGATCTGGACAGTAGAAGAACGCATTATCACCTTCGATCCACATACAAATAATTTTCAGTGGAAACAATATTTCTTCATATTGTTTCTCAACTAATTGCTTGTCAATAGAAATTGACAGGGAAATTGATTTTTTTTGTTGGTTCTAATATCCGAAATTGTTTCATAGATCTGTAAAAATCGGTATTTTTTGGAATTGTGATCGTAAAAATGTATTTCATTTTACAAACAATTCATAACTTTCTAATCAGACGCACACCACAAAATATATTCTAATGAAAAGTTGTCTCATTTTCCTTTCAAACTCGCAACCACAAACGGGCCTCTTGGAAGACACTTTTCTCGCCATTTCAAAGAGCAATTGAGCGCAGTGACGGGACTTTCGCTGATGTGGAGGAAAAGCGCAGCGGAGTCCAAACTCATCGACTAATGGTTATTATCTCGATGAGTGCTAAATTACAGTTTCTATGTGTGGCAAGCGCTCTTGAGGTGATATTTCGACGTGCATCAAGTGCCTTGTTATTACTATTGCGACCACAGACACTCGAAGTCTCATAAATAAATCATTGCTGGAGAATGTGTCGTGGCACTATAATTATACACTTCTCAGGGATAATTAAAATTTCAACCGCGACAAATTTAAAGAATCGTCTCACCATCTTATGATCTAGCATTATTAATTGTCAGATTCTTCATAAATCCATAAATAATACACCTCTGAGTCGTCTATCTTCGATTACTCTCTCTATCTCTCTTTCTCTCTCTCTCTCTGTCCTCTCTTCGGCACTGATGGCCTCTGGAAATTCCATTGAGCTCCCCAACAGAGTGCAACCGTTTCGAATCTCCAAATACTTTGGCTCTATCAAATGTACAATAGATGTAGCGTACAGTTTGTCATGGTGGGAATAATTAAGACAAAGAAAAAGAGGTTCTTTAAAAGCATGTAAAAATTCTTGTCTTCACAAGAAATGATCAACAAATTAGAGTCGAAAGAGCTTTTACTTTTATTACTCGGTGCGCACATCGCGTCATACTTTGTTGGACATTAATCAACTTCGATACGGTCATTACGGCATGTCTCTTGGAGCCACGCAGGTAATTTAATTACAAATTGTCAAAAATTTATTGCCGCCTCACTTCCATAAAGCACGCGGCTAAGTGAAATGCCAATTATGAAAATATAATTTTTGTGCAATAACACGAAGAGAGTGAAAGCTTCCGTCACGTTTGCGCGGAAATCCGCACTATATCACCTGCAGTGCAATTTTTTTCGCCATACAATTACAGTGGTTTTCCCCCAAATTTCTAGCTTCACAATTGATTATATTCTCTTTTGTTCATTTACTCTATAATTGCCCATCTAAATTATCAATTAATTACGTGGGCACAAGAGCGAATGAAAACTTATGCAAATTTACATGTTTCTCCAACTTGAATGAGTATTTGAGTCAGCAATTTTCTAGTCCAGTTACCACCCTTGATGGTTTGTTATACTAGCACTTGTATTGTGAATCGTATTGAAGATCTTTGTTCAATCACGACTGAAATTTCTACAGCGTACATAATTTTTTTTTACTTTTATAGCCCAAGAGCAAAATATGATATAAAGTGAGTCTTAAAATTTTGACTGCCTAATTACACACACACACGCACGCATCGTATTATACTTCCTACAATGAATGCATATTTCTGAAAAAATTGAAAACTTTGATGTAAGTAGGGAATCGCTTGCGCTAAATGATCTGTCAAAATGTCTATGGTTCTATAATATATTTGATATGTGTGCAGCATGCCGAAAGGAGGTGTGATTGCACCTGTTAAAAGTTAATTGGTCTTATGTGCGAAAGGATTGCGTAACTTTCAATTTTGATTTTTTTGCACCTCGCATTTCGTCAGCTAAGAAATGTCATCTCGCATCTTGTCCATGTTTGAACAATAAAATTGGGAGACTGTGGGTCGAAAAATTGAAAGTAAGCCCGTAATGTTGTGGTCAGTAAAAGAAAGTTGAATATTAATCTCCGATGGTCTTATTAATCTTTCAATATTTCATAATATTTGATGATTTTCCTACAATTTGCGGACGGAATTTCCTAAGTATGCGGACTCACGAAAATAGTGACAAGAGGAATATATGTATATGACGGTTACATGGAGTGCCGAGTTGATAATATTGTGTCTGTTGGTGACATATTCCAACGGGGAGAGATTTATGTGTAACGTTAAGTGAGCAAATCGATTTACAATGGTCAAAGCCACGGATATTGGCATGGAATGTTTCGTGGAAATTATTGTGAGTTTGTTAGCAATAATGTGGTGCCAGGGAAGAAATCGTATACGACGGGAATGGAAAATTCTTGAGTGACTGAACGAGAATATGGGAATTTCTAATATGAAATAAATGATCTGACAGAAATTTCTCAACTTCTTCTGCAGCAATTGCACAATGTTGTGCGCGATCATCCCGGGTGAGACTTGCATGATTATATATATGGTGGTATATAAATTACATAGATTGGATGGATTGGAATGATTATCGAGCAACGTGGATTGGAGGGAATCTAATACGAAAGAAAACCCGCCAATTCAGCATGACAGTTATTTCCTCTGCCGAGTCTCCTCACTCTCATTCACTGCAGAATGCCCGTTATTGGCGAGTACCGCACCATCTGTCCGTAAATCTCACTTCAGAGGAATATTAACATGATCCACAGTGGCGGAGGTACATTCCCGCGCCATACATGAAATTTTAAATACTACCAGAAGTCACTTGACCGAGAATAGAATGGTATGAAAAAGTGAGCTGTAAATCACGAATAGATCGAGAGATCTTGATTCATGCTCTCGCACATTTATCGATCCGTCATCTCATGTCGTGTCGTGTGGAACAGGTGAAGGTGCGCACGAGAGGTGCCCATTTAGTTGAGAAACCATCTAATAGAGTGCTGAAAATGGAAAACATTTCTCTTTCGATGATTTAACACTTTTCCGCGCACGGGGGCGGGAGATTGCACAAAAATACACGCTCGCTGGGGAAGGAAGTGACAGAGAATCGACTCAGAGACAACATCACGATAAAGAGTAGCGAAAGAGGCCTTTTACCCATTTGGAGACATGCCGATGGGACAGGTTGAAAAAATTGACCAAGAAAGACTTTCATTTGTGCAATCGCATTGTCGATCTGCAACAACTCCTTCGGCTTCCCTTTTACCAATTCACCAGCAGTTACTTCATTATTCATGTAGACTCCTTTCGCCTTTTTCCAATTTGCATTGAGGCGTAAGAGCAAAATATACACGTAAAATGTTCATTGCTTGAATGTATTTGTCCATGATATAGCTATTTTAATGGTAGATATGCTGACTATCATTATTCGCATCCAAATTGCTGGAATTTAAAAATTTTGTAATCGATCATGATTGCCTAGAAGTTAAAGCAAGGTTTTATTGTTTTCATATTTTTTCACACTGTGACATTGAATACCCTTATTATTTCTCCAAATGACGAGAACGTAAACGTCTCAAGAGCACTGACTTTCATTCCTTGAGTAAATACTTTATTTGAGAAACATCACTTGAAATTCCAGTTTTTGCCGCGCAAAAAACTATATGAAAAATCAATATTTTTGATTATTACTTGCATATGTATGTACAGCTAAATAAACCCAATCGGTTATTATGGGATTTGCATCCAAATTTCACATGGAATATAATCATTTACTGTTTTTTTAAATCACACTGAAATGATTTGTACATCCAAGTTTAGCAAGGGAATTTGCATCGGAAGTTTAAAGAAGAAAAATAACTGCAATGATCATTATGAAAATATAAAGATTAAATCCAGTTGATTGATCAACACAGTTTCTAATTTCATTGGTCAAACTGTTAACCATCAATTGTTGGCAGTCGCAAGAATAGGGAGTATATAGGAACGGAATTCCACCGTAATTCCCACGAAGAGACTAAATGTTAGGACTATCAATTTGCTGAGCAAATATCAGAAAATCCATCAAATGAATTTTATTGGCACGCGAAAAGGTAGAGAGTCATTAGCAATTCATTAATCGTTAGTGTTCGTACACCGCTTTAGAAAGTCCTCTCTCCCTTGGTCGCAAATAAAAGAATCCACACATTCACGAATCTCGTCAAGATTGAGTTGAATGACACAGACTGGGAAGCCCTATTAGTCAAAGTCAGGTCCCCTTCACGGCCTCCCCCGTGAGTGGCAAAAGTTCTCGTGAGATGCTCGAAGTCATACAACTGTAACACTTTCACTTTCGCAGAAGAAATGTTGAAGTATTAATAAAGAGAGCAAAAGACGAAAAATACGTATTCATATGACTTGAACACTTTATGGGAGGTACAGTTGGGTGTTTTCTGTGCACCACTCTGGCAAAAATCATTAATTTTCATGTTCAATTCTCCACGATGCTGAATTTCATGCTCACCATTGCCGCGGAAGTTGATATAAATTGGCAAGAATGGCGGGTGAGAAAAAAAATAGTGGATGGCAATTGGACTCCAATACGCACCAGATAGGCAAAGATATGTCCAAGGAGTAGAGAAGGTGGAATTGAAAATTAGCTTATTGTTGCACTCCACCTCTTGCCAGTGATTATACGCCGCATGCGAGTCTTGGTCGCTGGTGGACGCATCACCTGTGATCTTGTGATTCGATCTAAAGAGACGCCAATACGCCAGGGCGAAA